GTGAAGTCTCCTATTATGCCTTAGCAAGCCTATATAACAATTATGTAATGTTATTACGTACACTGCGGTGCTGTCTCGCTAGCGCAAAGCCTACTTAGCGTATACGCGGAAAAGCTCGGTCGCTCGTACGGATATACTCGGTTGCCGGCTCGGTATATATACTATCCGTATATAGCCTAGTTAATAGTAAACACTCTGCCCTGTTCTAAGAAAGGTACGGTTTAGTTCTACTTTCTACTACGGCGATTAGTAGAGAGTGTTCTATACGTTGCTATATATCTATTTTCTTATAGTTCTAAACCGTCTACCCTTCGTAGCGGCCTATAGAACCCCGAAAGATAAACGTAAGCGATCCGAACGCGCCGGGCGCGGGAAACGCGTAGAATAATGCCCTAGGAGCGCCGATAGTATTAGAGAACGACGCGGCGATATAATAAGACGAAGCCGAATACTTATTACTAGGCGCGCCGAGAAGCGACCCGCCTACGGCTCGAACGATTTCTAGCTAAGCAAGAAGTGCTTAGGCTAGAAGTATAGGCTTAAGAAGCTAAGCGAGAGAATACGCGCCTTCGTACCCTTAGGGACGTAGGCGGTACGCTAGCTCCGAGTAGCGGCACTACTAGCGAGGATCCTACGAGGACCCTATCTCTAGACGAGGACGAGGACGAGGAAGAATTAGCTAACAAGTCGATTTAGAGGCCTAAATCTTAGAGAGCTAAATCTGTCTCGTATCGACTACCTCTTTCTAGAAGTACGCTAAGCGTAGCTACTATGCCTAGCATAAGCTACGTAGTCGCTAGTCTTGCGGCTATTAAGCCTCGCCTAAAGGAACCTAAGCCCTTTAAAGGCGATACGATTAAGGAGTCGAGGCGATTCCTTAGAGAACTTTCTATTACTTTTATACTATCCGGAGCTACCTATTATACGGACGAAAGTAAGGTGCTTTATAGTATTATATACCTTATAGGCGATACGTAGGAGTAATAGTATAATAAAAACAGCCTTAAGGACCTGCAAAATTATACCTACTAGGACTTTAAAACCTTCTATCGGGACTACGTCGGGGACCCTATAAACCGTATACTAGATATAACCCTCGAGTATAAGGCGGCCCGTTAGCGTAAGGGATAGTTAGTCTAAAGCTTTACCCTTAAGCTCGTAGTACTCGAAGATTAACTTAGCGACTATAGCGAGGAGTATAGGATCCGCTATCTCCTCGTTAAACTCTAGCCGGCGATTCGTAGCGCGATTATTAAATACTATATAGTACTAACGACGCGTTACGAACTCGTAGAGCTTACGACGCGTATCGAGACCCCTAATAAGCCGTCTAGTAAACGCAAGGATCGTAACTACGATAAAACCGGAGGTAGTAAAGGCAAGAAGCGTCGATCTAATAGTTAGGCCTACAAGTAGTAGTTAAATCGCGACCGTAGCGTAGGCGGAAAGTATACGAAGGGCGATAACTCGTAAGGCGGGTATAATATTAGCAAGGTCGAATATTATAGCTATCGCTAGAAAGGCTATTATAAGAACGCGTACCCGAACTGCTATCTCTAGAAAGACGATAACCCTACGGTATATAAGGTAGCCGCTAACGCTAAAGAGAAGAAGAACGACTCGAAGGCTAAGGGAAAAGACAAGGTACCTCCTAAGAGCTAGGGATAGGTACGGAATCTTAACTAAGTAGCTTAGTAGTAGTAGTACCTACGGGACGCGTACGCGGAGCAATCGTTATATAAGAAGGGGAAGTATCCGTCGAATGCTTATTAGATAATACTACTAATATTAATGTAGTATCTTAAGAATTCGTTCTACGATACTAGCCTTAGCGGATTGTTAATGCTGTACTACCTAGTGCCGATAGTTTCTAGGGCGACCGAGGATACTACTATAGAGCGTATTATCTACGCTTACGGATCGCCGACTCTATAGGCTAAGAACGCATTACTACCGGAGTGTTCTATGCTTTCGAAATGCCCCTCCCTAATATTATTCTTAGTAGGCCTTAGAGGCGCGATTAAAAGGTAATCGTCGATAGCTCGACGGATACCTAGACCTATAGGAACGAAGCCGTAGCGCGTTCGATACGCGTACGGGAACTATAGGAATTCTAGAAGGATATACGTAACGCCCTATACGTATATACGATTAGCGTTCGCTAGCTCCGCGACATCGCTAAAGGTTCCTCCTTACTAGAAGAATTTAAAGACTTCGAAGACGTCTTTATAATAATGCCCGAAGCGAGACGTAAGCTCCCCGAAGACGTAGAGCATACGATTAACCTAATCCCTAGAACGAAGCCGCTATATAAACCTCTCTACTATTCTTTAGGGAGAGAGCTTAGCGACCTTCGTAATTACCTAAGCTTAGCCTTAGAGAATAATTAGATCTAGCTTAGTATAAGCGAGGCAGGTACGCCGATCCTGTTTATACTAAAGAAGGATAGTAGTCTAAGACTCTACGTCGATTATAGGGGGCTAAACGAGATTACTATTAAAAATCGTTACCCCCTACCTCTTATTAGCGAAACGCTTAATAGGCTTAAGGACGCCGAATAGTATACGTCCTTAGACCTTTAGGATGCATATTACCGTATCTATATTAAGCGAGGCGACGAGTAGAAGACTGCGTTCTATACGCGGTACGGGCACTTCGAGTATAAGGTAATGCCTTTTAGGCTTACTAATGCTCCTACTACGTTCTAAGGATATATTAATAGGGCGTTAGCTAGCCTTATTAATATTTGCTATATCGTCTACCTTAACGATATTCTTATCTATAGCAAAACGCGAGAGGACTACGTACGAGACGTACGCGCTATCCTTACGCGGCTCCGGAAGTTCGCCTTATATACGAATAGAAAGAAATATTCCTTCTAGAAGAAAGAAGTCGAATTCCTCGGGTTTATCGTTAGTACCGAAGGCGTATCGATAGATTAGCGTAGGGTAAACGCTATTACCGAGTAGCCTCGCCTATTAACGCTAAAGGAGGTTTAATCCTTCCTTAGATTCTATAACTTCTATCGGAGGTTTATTCTAAATTACTCCCGAATCGTTATACCGCTAACCGCCCTATCGAAAGGTACCGTAAATAGCCGGAAGCTAGGGCAGGTCCCGTAGGGCGAAAGCGAGGAGCAAGCGTTCCGCTAGCTAAAGGCTACCTTTAGCTCGGCCTCGATATTGCGATACTATAATCCTACGAAGCCCCTACGTATCGAGACCGATGCCTCTACGTTTGCCTTAGTAGGAATTATATTATAATAGAGCGAAGATAGGAATTGGTACCCTATTGCCTTCTAGTTACGAAAAATAGTCCTAGCCGAGACGAATTATAAGACCTATAACTAGGAGCTCCTAGCGGTTATCGAGTCCTTTAAGTATTAGCGCCCGTACCTCGACAGCGCTTAGTATACGACCCGCGTAGTTGTCGATTACGCTAATCTTAAAGGCTTTATAAAGATAAAGTAGCTCGTCGGAAGGTAGGCAAGATAGGCAACCTTCCTTATACCTTTTAACTTTACTATTAAACATCGGGCTAGTAAGCGAAACCTAGCCGATACGCCTTTACGACGTAGCGACTACGAGAGCGAGTCGTAGGCGGTAAACAACCTTCTCCCTATATTGTAGTCGAAACTAGCTCTATAGTTAAATCTACCCGAGGATATCGAGCCGATTATAAAACGCATCTCTATTATATATATTAGGATACGAGACGCTAGTATAGCGCTAGCGGAACGCAAGAGTTTTATTAGTAGTCCCGTAAGAGTAGCGGCTACTATCGTTAGGAATAACGGGCCCTACTACGAGACACCTAATATAATCCTTAGTTTCGTACGTACTCTATAATAGCTAGAGTAAGCGAGAGGAGGAGGCTTATACGAGACAAGCTTACCGTCGGGTAGCTTAGCCTCGTTAAGTAGTTCTAACCTCCCGCCTAGCTATTCTCGTCGGGGTAACTTTATTTACTATAGCGATACGCTATATATCCCTAAGGACTACGCCTTGCGTACGTAGCTAATACGTATATACTACGACGACCCTTTAGCTAGACACTTTAGTATAGCTAAGACTATAGACCTAATACGCCGAAAGTACTTCTAGCTAAAGATAGCCGAGGATATTACGGCCTACGTCCGCACCTATAGAATTTGTTAACGGTCGAAGGCGAAGCGCTATCGCCTATATAGCGAGCTCGCTACTCTACCTATACCGACCCGACCTTAGCAAGAATTAACGATAGACTTTATTACCGATCTCCCGCCGAGTAAGCTCGGTACCTACGTATATACTACGATCCTCGTAATAGTCGACCGCTATACGAAGATAAGCCTCTTTATCCTAACGACAAAGAAGTATATAGTAGTAGAACTCGCGGATATCCTTTAAAGGGAGGTAATTAGGCGTTTTAGAGTACTATTAGGCATTGTTAGCGATCGTAGATCGCTTTTTACTAGCTAGTTTTAGAGCGACTTCTGCTTCGAAGCGTATATAAAGCGTAGGCTTAGTATAGCCTTCTACCCTTAGACCGACGGGTAAACCGAACGCGCGAATTAGACCCTCGAGCAATACCTACGATACTATTACTCCGAGAACTAGGATAATTAGGCTAAATTGTTGCCTTAGGCGGAGTTTGCCTATAACAATAGTGTTTATCCTACGTTACGTATAAGCCCCTTTAAGATGCTCTACGGCTTCAACCCTAATTTAATACCGAGCGCAAATAAGCTACTAGCTCGGGACGAGCTAACTAAGGGAAGGGTACTAGTAGCTATCGACGCTACGGAGCGACTACGACAAGTATATAAAACGCTTACGGAACGCTAGCAGAAAGCAGTAGAATACTAGGCAAAGCAATACAATATATACTATACTACTAAAATATATAGTATAGGTAACCTAGTCTTGCTATCGATAAAGAACATTAGCTTAGATGTCCTAAAGAAGAAACTTAGCCCGAAGTATATAGGGCCTTTCTATATTATTAACGTAGTTAGAGCGTAGGCGTACCGCCTAGCACTGCTATTAAGTACGAAGATCTATAATGTTTTCTATGTTTCCCTCCTCGAGCCTTAGTATAGGCGCGATAGCGAGGAGTATAAGGTAAGTATACCTGTCGCTAAAGGCGATAAGTAGCAGGTAGAAACAATCGTAGCAAAGAAGATAAAGAAGCGGAAGGCGTACTACCTTGTTAAGTAGCGAGGATAGCCTAAAGAATATAATACTTAGGAGCTAGCTATTTATATTAAAGATTCTATAGCGTTAGACGAGTTCGAAGCTTAAGCGAAGCGTAAGCGTAGGTAGTAATTAAAACAAAAGAAAATGAAACTTAAGAAAAATAGTAGATACGTGCTCGTTTCGCTACTAAAAAAGGCCTATTAGCCTAGTATATATAAAGAAGGCGCCGTATAGGCGCGGCGACGGCGGGCCGCCTACTCTACTTATCCTCGGACTCCTCCTCTTCGTCCTCCTCTTCGATACCTATAGCGGTATCGATAGCAGCGACGGCGTTAGCGCCGACGCGCTAAGCGAGGTTCTAGTACAGTTAGTATACGAAGCGTAGGTAAGACGAGGCTATAGGAAAAAACTATACCTAACGACCGATCTCTACTAAGCCGGCTAAGTTAGTACCGATATTCTCGAGGGCACCGAGTAGGTTAATATCCGTAAGAGACCCGCTAGCGGCCCCCTTACGGGCTAGGGCTTTGCCGCCTAGAGTTACCTTATTCTTATTAATATAGAAGGCGTCGAGCGTAGATAGGATAACTAATAAGGAGGTTAGTATACGAAGCGTAAGCGGAGCGTATAAGAAACCTACGTACGACGACGGCGTCTAGGTTAGCCTAGAGTGCCTCTAAGGCCTCGTTAGACTCCTCGACGGAGTTATAGCCGTCTAGATCGTAAAGGTCGCGCGTAGCGCGTACGGCGCGGATACGGGCTAGTAGCGACACTAGCGCGCGTACCGTAATAGGAGTATAGGTATAATAGCTACTATAGTAGCGATTATAGTTGCGCTTAGTAGCAGGGTCTATATTGCCGCCTACGTAGAGCTTAGACAGGTTATCTAAAGCGAGTTAGTTGCGAAGCGCGTACGCGTAGCAAGGGGCGAGAAAACATACCGTTAGCCGTTATATGCCTAAAGCAACGAGTGCAGCCCTCTAGGACTTTTAGTAGGCGCTAGGTAGGCGGGTAGTGTTTAGAGCGCTTAGAAAAAGAAGAAGTTTTTAAGCGGGCTTCGAATGCTTTAAATACTCGCTTCGCTTTCGGATAGCTTGCGTTCTCGCGTAGCTACCGCGTTCTTAGAAATTTAGGCAACCTCTAGTTAGTGCTAGAAGTAGCCGCGCTTTAAATCTACAAACAAACAAGTAACTACGAGGCAAATTATAACGCGCCTAGCAACTATAGCCTAGCGACAGGTACGTATAAGACGCGTAAGTGCAGCGTAGAGTGTAAGAAATAGTATAATTTACTATATTGCCCTATAGCTAGGATAGCTATACCGGGGGAAGGAGATAATTATAAGAACCTAAGTAAGTAAAGTCTCCTATTATGCCTTAGCAAGCCTATATAACAATTATGTAATGTTATTACGTATACTACGGTGCTGTCTCGCTAGCGTAAAGCCTACTTAGCGTATACGCGGAAAAGCTCGGTCGCTCGTACGGATATACTCGGTTACCGGCTCGGTATATATACTATCTATACGTAGCCTAGTTAATAGTAAACACTCTGCCCTGTTCTAAGAAAGGTACGGTTTAGTTCTACTTTCTACTACGGCGATTAGTAGAGGGTGTTCTATACGTTGCTATATACCTATTTTCTTATAGTTACTATACCTACTATATAGTAATCTAAAGACTAAGAGTAACTGTATGTTAATTAACCTAGGCTACTCTCGCGTTATTAACGGCACTAAGGTTAAGGGTTACGAGAACTTAATAGTCTCTTAGGTTGCTAAAGCGTACCGTAATCTAACCGCCCTCCTAGCCTCTAACTCCTTCGTACTATTCGCTTTCCCTACGGCTATCTTAGTCGAAGGCCTCGGCTGTATCTCCGACGCCCTAGTTAGTAGGATTCCTTAGTTAAGTTACGTTATTTAGAACGAGGTTGAATAGATCCTCTAGCTTAATAACGAGGGACTTAAGGAATATCTATACAATTAGGAGAATGCTACGAAGGAAAAGGCTACTAACCTCCTCGTTAATCAAGCTCTCTATAAGGGATAGTACTTCGGTACTAATAGCTTTAACGTATACGGAGGAGATTTCGAGAGCCGACTAGTAGATAAGGTTATTGCTAGTAAGGATTACGGCGCGTTAAAGCAATAGTAAGTCTATATAGTATTGCTTAGGAGGTTATTTTTATATAATTATAGTATCTAGGATTAATGCTACCCCGGGGGTATTATTACGGAGTTCTAAAAATGGCCTTAGCTAAGAGCGCTAAGGATGCATATATATTTGTTTTAAGCGCGCAATATAAAGCGTATCTAGTTAGATACGAAGAAAGGGAGGGATATTAGCTAGTAACCGGCCCTATACCTATAGGCTAGTTTTAAGCCTATATAAGAGGCCTCCTTCTAGAGAGTAGACAGATTATCAACCTCGTATAGCACATTGTTTATGTTATACTTCTATAATGCCTATATTATAGGGCTCTAGTTATTAGCCTAAGCGATAGTCTCGTTATCCTATCTTGCTAAACATAGCTACCTATATTGCTATAGGTTATGTTACCCTCGGTAGCCTATACTATTGCTACAAGTAGTAGTAGTAGTATTAGTTTCCGTCCTTTAATAGTAGAGAGGTTTATAAGGCGGCTTCGTTCCGGGAATTAGGTCGATCGTATACTCTACGTCTTCGGGGAGCTTACGTCGCGCTTCGGGCGTTATAGTAAAGACGTTTTCGAAGTATTTAAATTCTTCTAGTAAGGAGGAACCCTTAGCGATATCGCGAAGTTAGCGAACGCTAATCGTATATATATATATAGAGCGTTACGTATATTCTTCTAGAATTCCTATAGTTCCCGTATACGTATCGTACGCGCTGCGGCTTCGTTCCTATAGGTCTAGGTATCCGTCGAGCTATCGACGATTACCTTTTAATCGCGCCTCTAAGGCCTACTAAGAATAATATTAGGGAGGGGTATCTCGAAAGCGTAGAACACTCCGGTAGTAATACGTTCTTAGCCTATAGAGTCGGCGATCCGTAAGCGTAAATAATACGCTCTATAGTAGTATCCTCGGTCGCCCTAGAAACTATCGGTACTAGGTAGTACGGCGTTAACAATCCGCTAAGGCTAGTATCGTAGAACGAATTCTTAAGATACTATATTAATATTAGTAGCATTATCTAATAAGCATTCGATAGATACTTCCCCTTCTTATGTAACAATTACTCCGCATATACGTCCCGTAGGTACTACTACTACTAAGCTACTTAGTTAAGATTCCGTACCTATCCCTAGCTCTTAGGAGGTACCTTATCTTTTCCCTTAGCCTTCGAGTCGTTCTTCTTTTCTTTAGCGTTAGCGGCTACCTTGCGTACCGTAGGGTTATCGTCTTTCTAGAGATAGCGGTTCGGGTACGCGTTCTTATAATAGCCTTTCTAGCGATAGCTATAACATTCGACCTTGCTAATATTATACCCGCCTTACGAGTTATCGCCTTTCGTATACTTTCCGCCTACGCTACGGTCGCGATTTAACTGCTGCTTATAGGCCTAACTATTAGATCGACGCTTCTTACCTTTACTACCTCTAGTTTTATCGTAGTTACGATCCTTGCGTTTACTAGACGGCTTATTAGGGGTCTCGATACGCGTCGCAAGCTCTACGAGTTTATAACGCGTCGTTAGCACTATATAGTATTTAATAATCGCGCTACGAATCGCTAGCTAGAGTTTAACGAGGAGATAGCGGATCCTATATTCCTCGCTATAGTCGCTAAGTTAATCTTCGAGTACTACGAGCTTAAGGGCAAAGCTTTAGACTAACTGTCCCTTACGCTAACGGGCCGCCTTATACTCGAGGGTTACGTCTAGTATACGGTTTATAGGGTCCCCGACGTAGTCCCGATAGAAGATTTTAAAGTCCTAGTAGGTATAATTTTGCAGGTCCTTAAGGCTGTTTTTATTATACTATCGCTTCTACGTATCGCCTATAAGGTATATAATACTATAAAGCACCTTGCTTTCGTCTATATAATAGGTAGCTCTAGATAGTACAAAGGTAATAGAAAGTTCTCGAAGGAATCGCCTCGACTCCTTAATTGTATTACCTTTAAAAGGCTTAGGTTCCTTTAGGCGAGGCTTAATAGCCGTAAGACTAGCGACTGCGTAGCTTATACTAGGTATAGTAGCTACGCTTAGCGTACTTCTAGAAAGAGGTAGTCGATACGAGATAGATTTAGCTCTCTAAGATTTAGGCCTCTAAATCGACTTATTAGCTAATTCTTCCTCGTCCTCGTCGTCGCCTAGAGGTAGGGTCCTCGTAGGACCCTCGCCGGTAGTACCGCTGCTCGGAGCTAGCGTATCGCCGGCGTCCCTAAGGGTACGAAGACGCGCATTCTCTTACTTAGCTTCTTAAGCCTATACTTCTAGCCTAAGCACTTCTTACTTAGCTAGAAATCGTTCGAGCCGTAGGCGGGTCGCTTCTCGGCGCGCCTAATATTCGGCTTTGTCTTATTATATCGCTACGTCGTTTTCTAATACCGTCGGCGCTCCTAGGGCATTATTCTATACGTTTCCCGCGCCCGATATATTCGGATCGCCTACGTTTATCTTTCGGGGTTCTATAGGCCGCTACGAAAGGTAGATAGTTTAGAACTATAAGAAAATAGATATATAGCAACGTATAGAATACCCTCTACTAATCGCCGTAGTAGAAAGTAGAACTAAACCGTACCTTTCTTAGAATAGGGCAGAGCGTTTACTATTAACTAGGCTACGTACGGATAGTATATATACCGAGCTAGTAACCGAGTATATCCGTACGAGCGACCGAGCTTTTCTATATATACGCTAAGCAGGCTTTACGCTAGCAAGACAGTACCGCAGTATACGTAATAATATTACATAATTGTTATATAGGCTTACTAAGGCATAATAGGAGACTTCACTTCCTTAGGTTCTTATATTAGGTCTATATAGACTATAACAACCTCCGTAGAATTACGAAGGTTACTAGGGTTATAGGTCGATAGGCTAGATAGGCCGTCTACCTCGCTAGGTTTAATTTTAATATATTATATCGGCTAGGCGTAAGCAACCCTACTAATAGCCTATCGAGGCGACCTAATTACAATAGCGAAACCTAATCTATTAATTCGTTGTTTCTAACCCTATAGTATAAGATTGCTATAGACCTCGTAGTAAAGCAAGCGTAGAATAAGCGGCTTACCGGACTCCGCGACGGCTTAAAGTATATTAATGCTCTTACTATATTAATAGTACGTATTAAGGACATAGATAGAAGAAGTTATAAGAACTCCCTAGTCGATATCGCTATATATAGCGATAGCGATAGCACTACTATAGTTAATCCGGCTACTAGTGCTACTAGATACATATAGTGCATACTACGTAAGACAGCGAGGGTGCTATTAAGCGAACTTGTAGAAGGGGATAGACGAGCGTTTATAGATAAGCTATTATATGCTTAGCAAAGGGACGCTTTTGCTACTGCTCGTATAGATTAGCTTAGAAGTAGCCGTAAGACTAGATCTAGTAAAAATTGGTCGATTAATACTAATAGCTATTTGCGCTATAAGAGTAGGCTCTATGTCCCTACCGAGCATTCGATCCGATAAGAGCTTCTTAAGCGATACTATAATAGTAAGCTTGCTAGTTACTATAGTATAGAGAGGTCGTACGAGCTACTATCGCGTATATACTACTAGCTAAATAGTAAGCGGGATATAAAGGAATATATCGACACGTATGCCGTATACTAACGTATTAAGGTATTAGAGGCTATACGTAATTGGTATATAACTAGCTCGAGTAAAGCTAGGGTCTTAGTGCCTTAGGTAGGGCTTAGCGCTTAGCGTTAGGCTAACTAGCCTGCCTTCCTCCTTCTCCTCCTAGTTCTCTATCGAATACTACTTGTACCTACTACTACCCTATCTACCTACTAATATACCCTTCTAATACAGTATTCGATCTACCCTTTAAGGGCAGCAGCTAGATAGTCCTTATTTCAAGCTTTTAGCGGTATAGCTACGAATAAGACTAATCTAACTATATTGCGCCCGAAGAACGGGACCTATACGTACTATTCTATCGAAACAACCGTACTAATTATTAAGTAAGGCCTTCTATACGGCCTATTACACTAAATCAATCGCACTAAGCCGATATCTACTAATTCCGCTATATCCGTATCTTAGGGGCCTACAATATATTATTAGTGTTACCCCCTATTATAATAGCCGGCTTATTACGAAGCAACAACAACCGTGCTGCCGCTAGTAGCGCTAGTAACGACAATGCTAGTAGTACAGTACCTACTAAAGTGCCTACTAAGGTACCTGCTAAAGTACCTTCTAAAGAGCCTACTACTAGGCCTGCCGAAGAACCTATAATTCTAGGTAACGACCTAGAGTTGCCTATTAACGACATTCTTAATAACATTGTTAATCGACGATATAGCTAACTAGCCTTTAGCCCTTAACTAGTAGGGAGACTTTAAGAAGCTACTTAAAACAGGCTTACTGCCCTACGTTAAGAACAACAGCTAAAGGATAATCTCCTCGAGATTCGCCGTCTATAGGAAGCCCTAACAACTAATACTAAGCCGATAGTAGGGCCTTCCTTACTACCCGTCCCTATCTAAAAGAAGGATGCTAAGCTTAAGGACTATACCGTATTTAACGGCTCTAGTCGTAAGCAATACAATAATTATATATGCGATTGTAAGCTTAACTAACGAAATGCGCCGAGGGCTCTTCTAGATAACTATTTACTAGTTGTCTACGCTATATAGTACATTAATAGCGACCTAAAGCGCACCTAGGATAACTATTTCGAATCCCTTACTAATTAGACCGCTATTTAGTAGCAAGACTACAAGACTATTATACTAGACACCCTTAGAAACCCTATACTAAGGCAACAACACGCTTAGGACTAATACCTTCGAGCTAAACAAAAGACTAATTAATCGGCTCGCTTATTTGAGGCCTATTTAAAGACCCTCGAGGACGATTTGCTAGCTAAGACCGACTCTATCTAGATTTCCGAAATACGCCCTAAATTGCGATAGGAGCTTATCCTCGAATTAGACCGTCGCCGTATATTCGAACAAGCTAACCTAATACGTATTCAATTTATAGTCGAAGTAGAAATAGCCGAACGAGCTATCTAGCTCTAATAACGACTAGAATCGAGGATCCGACTAGCTAGTACTAACCGTAGCAACTGTAGCCGCGGAGGAAACTAAGGTTCCTACTATAACAACAATGCTAATAATAGGAATAGTAACGACCGTAGAAGAGGCCGTAGCCGGCGGCTATATAGAGGAGGCCGCGATAGGGGCCGTAGAAGGGGCTCGTATCCCTATAATACTAACCGCTCGGCTAATAATAGTAACAATAGCTACGGTAGTCTACTAACCGGATTGAAGTGCTTTAATTGTAATAGTACTAGCTATCTACTAGGCTAATGCGATAAACCTAAGGACTAGGCCCGAATTAACCGTACTTCCGCTAAGTATAGGAAACACCTTTTAGCCGCTAATACTACCCTAGTCGGCTCTTTTAACTAGTCGAAAAAAGAATAAGCGCCGTACTAACTGTTAGCCTTATACGGCGTAAGACTATCGACATTGTACTAGCTATAATACGCTCCTACCTTATATAGGATACGAAGGGCACTACCTATTAAACTAAGGTTATACTAGATCTAGGAAATTCAGTTAGTGCCCTTATTAGCTATCGACTAGCTAAGCAATTAGACCTTCGACAACTGCCGAAGACTAACCTACTAACCCTTGCTTAGTTTAATAACGCTCGGCACTTAACCTATAAGGCCTACTATGTTCCTATAGCCCTAAAGGACGACCTCGGAAATAAACGCCTACTAGACTTTACTACCTACGTAGTAGATATAGACAACCTATATAGGGGAGCTACTATTATTATTAGCAACCCTGTTCTTAAGCACTATACTGTAGTTATAGACTTAGGCAGTTAACAATAGCGATTTAGAATCGCTAGGAGAGAGGACATTAAACACATCGATATTAGCGAGTGTCCTAATAATATTAGGGTCCTGTTTATTAGCAACCTAACACTAGCCTCCGCCTTAGCTAATCTAACGGCCGATTTGCTCGGTAGTAATAACGATGAACCTATGCCCCCTAATAATCCTAATTAGCTTGCTCGTATACTAGAGCCTATCCGAGAGACCTACATTAATGTGTTTAAATACTACCTAGTATCGACATTACCTATGTTTAAAGAGACGGATTATAAGATTGATATTATAGAGGGCAAGGAGGTTCCTTTTAGGCCCCTCTATAACCTTAGTAAACGAGAGCTTACTATATTGCGTAAGTATCTAGAGGAAAACCTAGCTAATAGCCGGATACGGTATAGTAATAGCCCTACTAGCGCCCCTATCCTATTTGTACTAAAGAAGGATAGTAGCCTACGCCTATATGTCGACTATCGTAGGCTTAATGCTGTTACTATTAAAGACCGCTGTCTACTCCCTCTTATTAATAAGACCCTCGATCGCCTTTCGGGTGCCTATTACTATACTATATTAGACATTAAGGACGCCTATTACCGCATTTGTATTCGCAAGGGCGATAAATAGAAGACAGCCTTTCGCACTCGCTATAGCTATTTTAAGTACTTAGTTATACTATTTAGGCTAGCTAATACCCCTACTACATTCTAGTCCTATATTAATCGGGCCCTATTAGGCCTATTAGATTACCTCTATATAGTCTACCTAGATAACATCCTAGTTTATATACACTTACCTAACATTGCGGAGCACTAGGCTATAGTACGTAAGGTTCTCGACCGCCTACGAGCCTATAGACTATATTGCAAACCTTTTAAATGCACCTTTGCTACTAAAGAGGTATTATTCCTTAGCTTCCTCGTATTAACCGAGGGTATTAAGGCTAATCCTAATCGGATTAAAACAATTACTAAATAGCCTATCCCTACGTCTATTAAGGAGCTTTAATCGTTCCTCGGCTTCGCTAATTTCTACCGCCGTTTTATTAAGGGCTATTCGAGGCATGTAATGCTATTAACTGAGCTTACTAAGACTAAGGCAAACCCTTCTAGAGAATTTAGGTAGACTAACAAAACACAAGCCGCTTTTAACGGTCTAAAGAAGCGATTTACTAAAGTCCCCTTACTGCACTATTTTATACTAAGCAAGCAGATCCGTATTAAGACTAACGCTTTATAGTTCGCTATATCGGCTATTATATTACAGCAATCAGATAAGGACTATTACTAGCACCTAATTGCCTTCTTTTTACGGAAGATAATCGATATAGAGCGTCGATACGAGACCTACGAGTAAGAGCTCTTAGCAATCGTAGAAGCCTTTAAGCATTAGCGCTACTATCTTAATAGTGCTTAGTACACAATTTAGGTCTATATAGACTATAACAACCTCCGTAGTATTACTAAGGTTACTAGGGTTATAGGTCGATAGGCTAGATAGGCCGTCTACCTCGCTAGGTTTGATTTTAATATATTATACCGGCTAGGCGTAAGTAACCCTGCCGATAGCCTATCGAGGCGACCTAATTACGATAGCGAGACCTAATACATTAATTCTTTGTTTCTAACCCTATAGTATAAGATTGCTATAGCCCGTATTATTAATAAGCAAGCGTAGGATAAGCGGACTTCCGGACCCCGCGGCGGCAATAAATACTATAGCGGAGTTGTTGTTCTTCTAGTACGCGTTAGAAAGGACGTAGATCGCTCGAGCTATAATAACTCGATTAAAGACATTGCTATCTATAGTAATAGCCTATATAGCGATAGTACTATAGAAGAGGTTGTAGTAGTTCCGGCTACTAGTACTATTAGATATATATAATACGTACCTCGTTCGATAGCGAGGGTGCTATTAAATAACCTTGCAAATAGGGATAGTCGATCGTTTATAAATAAGCTATTACGTACTTAGTAGAGGGACGCCTTTGCTATCGAGCGCATTAATAGGCTTGTAAGTAGGCGAATATAAAGGGCTACGCCCTAGGTAGAAAGCGCTAGCCTTAGGCATTCGGCCTACGCGACTCTAACCTACTGCTTAGCGCTTAGCGTACCGTACAAAACTATTCGGATTCACGTAGATAGACTTAGCTCTTTATCGAACCTATTAAGTCTTATATCTAGCATCTACGTACGCGTTACTTACCCGTAATATTAGGTTCGATCTTTAATATAGGAAACGCTAAGGTTTATTAGGAACCCGAGTAAGATAGCTAGGGGAACGCTGCCTCTGCCGTACTAGAGATAACTAGGGACGAGATTTATCGTGCCTTCGAGAGTCTCTATACTAGATAGTAGACGATAGAAGCCTAGCTATAAGCTACTCGTTCTGCGCTCTAATACGCGGAAGCGTCTCGCTAGCCTAGGCCTCCCGAAGCTAGTTTAGTACGAGACTAGTCTACGAACGAGATCCTAAAGGGACTGCTAGAAACTCTCTCGGCTTCCGGCTAAAACGTAACGGTATCCCGCGAGTAGAAACTACTATTATAGGATAGGAAAGCCGAGTCGTTCCGGGACTACCTACTACGACTAAGAAGTTCGTACCGAATTCGTTCCGGGCTGAAACTAAAGCTCTCCGAAGATTACTACTAGGATACCGTATACGATACCCTACCGGCAAAGGAACGCGCTAGGATGCGCTACTTCTAGGAAAGAGGAAGCCTTACGAAAGGAAAGGACCCCGAAGCTTTCTTCTAGCAACTCGAGGACGTCTTCGCGGATAGCAACGAAGCTATAAAGGCGCTAGAGCAACTCTAAGCCCTAAGGCACTCCTAGGGACAACCTTAGTACGACTACTAGCTAGAATTCGACGGCCTCCTACTAAGCGTAGGCAGAGACCGTTAGATAGACGATACGAAAATCGGTTATTTAAAAAACACCTTCTCGAACGCGGCTAAGACCTATACTACCGCCGTACTAAAGATCAAGGATTACCGCCTCTATATAGAGGAGGTCGAGTAGATTATAACGAACCTCGAGTCGATAGATTAGTTCAAACAGGCTACGAAACGCTAGCAAGAAAGGAAGAAAGAAGTAGCGAGTCCTACGGTCGTTATTCCCCCCTATACGGCCCCCGCGGCGAACCCGAAGGTCGACTCTAATAGAGACGTAGTTATAAATCCCGCTTAAACTAACGCTTCCCGTAGAAAGAACCGCGGAGCCTAATAATCGATAGCGGGGAAACCTAGGGCTAAATAGGTCGACTCTATAGAAAGAGAGAAGCGTAAAGAGAAAAGACTCTACTTCCGCTATAGAGCGAGCGGATACCGCATTCGAGATTACCCGTACGCCCCGCCGGCTTAGCCTACTAAGATTAGTGTCGCCTCCGTATAACCTATTCTAGAGGATATAGAGGAATAGTCGGACTTAAGTAGTTCCGACTCGGGAAAAGAGTAACTCCTACTCGTAGTTAGGAGTCGGGAGTAGATAGAGTACGGGCAAAGAAATAGGAAGAAGTTAAAAAGGACATAAACGGGAATCTTATATATACCGATATAGTCCTCGAAAATAACGTCGGAACTTCTACTCTTATCGACGAAGGATACTAGTATTACGCTACAATTAATACGGGCCTAGCTAAAGGCCTCGGACTTAGCTATATTAGCCGTAAGTCCCGAGAAGTAAAAGGAGCGTCGGCGGCAATATAAGACGCGAAAATTATAGGAGTCGTCGCCTTCTAGATAGAAATCAATGGATTCTAATAAACGGTATACGCTTACGTCGTACCGGGATTAGCTTTTCCCCTTATCCTAGGGAACCTATAGAAGGTATATAATAAGGTCTAGACCGCGCCTAAAAAACGACGGTACTACTACGAGAGGGCTCGGTATTAGATTAAAGAAGGGCGCTATTACCGCGAGGTCGATACGAACGGGAATATCGCTACGATTAACGCCGCAAGAAGCCTACTTACCGCGACAATTGCCGAGGACATTAAAAAGGCCCTAAAGACGAAGGAATACCCGACGATCGAGGAGCTAAAGAAGAAGCTACCCCCGGAGGTTCGCGATATAGCCGCGCTATTTTGTTAAAAAGAAGCCGATAAGTTAGCGCCCTATCGCCCTAGCATCGACTATACGATAGAACTCCGGGAGAAACTAGACGGATCCTAGCCTTAACTCCCTTAGGGTCCGCTCTATAGTATATCGAAACAAGAACTCTTAGTCTTATAGAAGTCGCTAGACGAGCTCCTAAAGAAGGGGTTTATAAGACCGGCGAACTCCGAAGCGGCGGCGCTTATACTGTTCGTTAAGAAGCCTAGGAGAGGACTACGGTTCTACTACGACTATAGGGCACTTAACGCTCTAACGAAGCAAGACAGATACCCCCTCCTACTAATCCCGGACACTATAAGGAACCTAACGGAGGCCCGGTAGTTAACTAAGGTTAACGTAGTCTCGGCCTTTTACAAGATTAGAATAGCGAAAGGATACGAGTATAAGACGGCCTTCCGGACGAGGCTAGGCTCGTTCGAATAGCTAGTATATCCGTTTAGTTTGTCCGGAGCCCCGGCTACATTTTAACGGTATATTAATACTCTCCTATAGGAGTATCTAGACGACTTCGCGTCGGCGTATATAGACGACGTAGTTATCTACTCGAGCGGGTCGAGGGAAGACTATTTCCGTAAGGTAAGAGTAGTACTTAAGAAGCTTTAGGACGGAGGCCTTTACCTCGATATTAAAAAGAGCGAATTCGCCTAGAAAAAGATTAAGTACCTAGGATTTATCGTCTACGCCGACGGAGGAGGAGTGTTAGCCGACCCTAAAAAGATAGAAGCCGTACGAAAATAGGTAGCACCTAAGACTTAAAAGGAAGTTCGTCGTTTCTTAGGATTTACGAACTACTACCGTATATTCGTACCGAACTATTCTAAGATCTCCGCGCTATTAACTGCGCTTACCGGTAAGGGAACCCCGTTCGCCTAGGGAGAAGAATAGGACAAAGCGTTCGAGACGCTAAAGGACAAATTCTACCGCGCCCCGGTCCTTACCTAGTAGGACCCGTCCCTCCCTACCTTCCTTAAGACGGATTGTAGCGGGTTCGCGATTAGGGGCGCCCTTATCTAAGAAAAGGCGGGAATCCGCCGACTAGTAGGCTTCTTTTCGAAGAAACTAAATAAGGTAGAGATTAATTACGATATCTACGATAAGGAAATGCTCGCAGTCGTATCTAGTATTAAGTTTTAGAACTCCGAGCTAAAATCATATAGCCCCTTTACGATTTAGACGGACTATAAGAACCTAGAATACTTTATAGTAAAGCGCTAGCTATCCGAAAGATAGATCCGATAGTAGGAAGAACTAGCGAAGTACTAGTTTACCCTAGTCTACCGGCCGGGAATCGAAGCTATCCTACTAGATACCTTATCGAGGAGGGAATAAGATACGTTAGGCTAAGACGACAAGCTTTCGAGGTTCCGGAGATTCTTAGAGCCGGACCTCTCTCTAAACTAGCCGGAAAACGTCTAGATTTCTAGTGCTACTATCCGTAGCTTCCCGCGTATAACGAAGGCGAGCCCGTTATCCCTACTCGCGAACGAAACAGAGCCCGCGTAGCCTTCGCCGGAAAGCGCTAAACTATTCTAGGACCTAGAGATAAACGATATATAGAAGAGCATTATCGAGAAAGATACGGTATACTAGACGGTAGTACGAAAAATCCGTAAGGGAGGCAGAATATTGCAACCGGAAATTAAAGCAAAAATTTAGATCGGGGATTATATAATAGACCCTAAGGGGTTCCTTCGCTACCGCGGCAAGCTCTAGGTTCTAGGAGCCCTAGCGACGACGGAAACCGAATATAAAGATATAGGGGCCGAGGAACTATAGTAGGATATACTACGTACGAAGATTATCTAGTCGATCTACGACTCGCCGCTCTACGGCTACCCCGGCCGGGATTCTACTACTTCTATACTAGGTCGCGACTTTTACTAGCCGCTATAGTCGAAGCAGGTGCGGCAATTCCTACGGAACTATAACTATTATAGACGCAATAAAGTATAGAGGGAATACAAATACGGCCTCCTAAAACCCCTACTAGTACCCGACTATTTCTTCTAGGAAATCTCGATAGACTTTATAACTAACCTACCGGAGTTAGATAGGAACCGGTATCTATAGGTAATTAAAGACCGTCTTAGCAAATAGATCGCCCTTATTAGTACTCCCTCTATAAAAGCAGAGGAATGCGCGGTTTTGTTCCTAAAATACTAGGTTAGGTATTACGGACTTCCTCGTACTATTACTAGCGATAGAGGTACGAATTAGACGAGTACTTTCTAGAGAGAGATGTGTCGACTACTCGGTATAAAGTAGAGGTTAAGCTCCGCCTACTATCTATAAACCGACGGAGGTCCTAAGCGCGCAAACTAAGACATATAAGCTTACCTACGGAACTATATTAACTAGATACAGTCCGATTAGAACTAATAGCTTCCTACGGTAGAACTAGCGTTCAACGGGAGACACTAAGCGGGGTTAGGAATAAGCTCTTTCTTCGCGACTTACGGTTACGAATCTACCTCCCCCGTCGCGTTAGAGGAGGACCTAGCTATCGACAAACGGCTAATCGCGGCGAAACGGGCGGAGGAGTTCGTAAACAAGATTAAGCAGATCTTAGATCTGTACTAAGTATAGATAGCAGAGGCCGTATAGAAACAAGAGGACAGCGCGAACAAGACTAGAACTCTAGCGCCGGTATATTATATCGGAGACAAGGTCTAGCTCGACCTAAGGAATTACTAGACCGGTAGACTAAAGAAGAGCCTCGACTCGAAGTACGCTAAGTATACGATAGAAGAGGTATTGTCGCCTATCTTAGTATAACTCTCGGGGATACCTAGTAACATTTACCCGGTATTCTATACCGACCTTCTAAGACTTGCGAGCCGGGACCCCCTTCTAGGGCAGGTAACCGACGACGAACAGCCGGACCCTATCTTAATCGAGACGTATAAAGAGTAGTAGGTCGAAGAGATCCTATACGTCCGAAAAAAGAAGTAGGGCCGAGGGCGAGAAGCACTCGTAAAATAGAGCGGGTACTATAAACCTACGTAGGAACCTCTAGACTATATCGCGGATACCTCCGCGCTAGACGACTTCGAAGCGAAATATAGACAAATCGAGGAGAACGACGGGCCTCTAGGAGATTAGGAAAAGAGAGGAAAACGGAAGAAATAACGCGGCAACCTAGAGTTTTTCTACGGAGTAACGGGTTTATAGATTCTAAGGACTTTTATTAACTTCTAGAGTTTGGATTTTCTTACTAACTTATTCGACTTAGGTTTGCTAGAATACTAGAGAAGAGAAACATAATTAGGAGTTAAGAAGAATTTTATTTAGGTATTTATAAGTAAGTATCGGGTCTCCGCCCGAAATTAGAAGGTTACCTTAGGACTACAAAAAAAATAATAATAATACATCCGAAACTACCTAGAGCCTACTAGAAAACCTACGGAAACCTTTACTCCTCTAGCGGACCTATATAATTATTGCCGAGACAGAGGGCATTTAGAACGCTACTAAAAAAGAGAGGTTAGCGAAAGAAAGTCGGAGGGCAGCGAAGGACTTACGTCTAACTCTATTAAGCTACGATATTAGCGACGGTGTTTATTACCTCCGAGGCGATAGCGCTAAAATAGACGGTTAGCGAGGGTTTTATCGCGGGAAACGGGGAATCTTACCTAGATAATAACCCCTACGGCTAGAGAGACTTAAGGGCTTTCTATACCTTAAGAACCTTAAGAAGCTCGGAGTGCTTCTCGGCGACATTAGCGCGGGTCGCGCGGGTATAGTTAGCGTAGGCTATGTAGGCTATTTAAGGACTAAATAGTTAGCGAGAGATTTAGTACGGGAATCGCGATAACTTATAGTAGGGCGTAAGCAATTCTCTTACGAGCGCAATTAGCGCAAGCCCTCGAGCTAGCGGGCTTAAGAAAGTTAGCGGACTCTGCGACGAATCGGACGGGAACCTTATAGATTAGTCGGCGTAGTCTTCGCCGGAGTTATAGCAACTAACATAGTAGATTCGACGAGCTATCTAGGACAAGTTAATTTTGCGAAGGGAACCGAGGAGGAAGGGGAGGGACTTGCGGTGTTAGTAGTAGTAGTAGTAGTAGAGGTGTATATAGAAAAAGAAGAAGAAGAAGAAGAAGAGGGAAATATTAATACTTATAGAAAGCGATACGGAAGTAAAGGTCGCGAAAGTAACGGAAGGCGCGAGTATAAGTAAGGCGCGTTTTAGGAAGGGGTAAACAGGTAAAAGAGCGCAGTTTAGCAGTCGCAAAGAAAGTTATAGCCCTTAAAGCCTAGGATACGGCAACCCCGACCGGAAAGTAGTAGAAACCCCGATCGCAAAGGAGGAAACTACGAGCGCGTTACTCTAGAGAAGCTTAGATAAGTGTAGATCTAACGGATAAAGTAATAGCGATAGAAACTACGGAGGGCTTTCTATCCCTACTAAGGAAGGGGAGGAGGACGGGGGTAATATAAAGGGCTACGCCCTAGGTAGAAAGCGCTAGCCTTAGGCATTCGGCCTACGCGACTCTAACCTACTACTTAGCGCTTAGCGCACCGCACAAAACTATTCGGATTCACGTAGATAGACTTAGCTCTTTATCGAACCTATTAAGTCTTATATCTAGTATCTGCGTACGCATTGCTTACCCGTAACAGCAAACGACTCGATCTAGTAAGAGTAATTAGTCGATCGACGATAAAGGTTACTTAAAGTTTAAGGGCAGATACTATATCCCCGCTAAACAATCGATTAGATAAGAGCTTTTAAAGAGGCACTATAATAGTAAGCTCGCTAGTTACTATAGTATAGAGAGGTCGCACGAGCTACTATCGCGTATATACTACTAGCCAAATAGTAAGCGGTATATAAAGGAGTATATACAGACCTATATAGTTTACTAGCGAGTTAAAGCACTAAAGCACTTACTATTTAGCGAGTTGTCTTTACTTCCTGTTCCTAGGAAGCTATTTACTAAGCTTATAATAGACTTTATTATAGGCCTTCTGCCTACTAAGCGTAGGGGCAGCAAGGATATATATAATACTATCCTTATTATAGTAGATCGATTTACTAAAGGCGCTCGATACATCCCGGCGCGTAAGGATTAGACTACTATTAATATAGTAGAGGCGCTATAGACTAACATCTTCTATACCTATTAGGGAACCCCTAAGGGGATCGTATCCGATCGTAGATCGATACTAATATCTTACTATTAGAGCGAGATTTGCTTATAGCTAAGACTAAAGCATCGGCTATTAATAGCCTTCTATCTATAGACTAACGGTTAAACAGAGAGGTAGAATGCTACCCTATAGCAGTACCTACGTAGCTATATTAATAAGAACCCCGAGGATTAGGTTAACCTCCTATAGCCTATAGAATTCGTATATAATAATAGCGTATACTTATCTACTAAAGTTTCACTATACATAGCTATAATAGGCTAAAACGCTGCCCTACTACAAGGTCTATTTACCTCGCTCGAGGCCGAGCGTAAGGAAAGGGAAGCGCGTTAAGTACTAGAAACACTAGCGGCGATAGAACGTGTCTAGAAGATACGAGAAATCTACGCTAAGATAGCTAAGAAGCTAACAAAGGCTTAAGAGTATTAAAAGGCCTACTACGATAAGCGCTATATACCGATAACCTTTAAACAAGGCGATATAGTTATGCTTAGTACGAAGAACCTCCGTATCCGCAAGTACCTATTACCTAATAGCAAAACAAGGCCTAAGCTCGTACTAAGATACATTAGCCTATTCCGTATTCGAGAGGCTAAGGGCATATAGGCCTATTAGTTATAGCTTCTACCCTATTATACTATCTATAACACCTTCTATATATCCCTCCTTAAACTATACTACTAGCGCGAAGGCGATAAAGCGCCTACTAAGTTAGAAGAAGTCTTAGCTAATAGCGAAGAGCTATAGTCTATAGAACGTATCCTACAACACCGGACTAGGAAAGGCAAGAAGGAGTACCTATTAAGATAGTAGGGCTATTTACCTAAATAGGACTTATAGGAAGCTAAAGCCTCTTTTAAAGACATAACTAAGTTATTAGATAAGTATTAGACTAGCGTAAAGAACACGAAGAAGGCTAAGAGCTTATAATGCCTATAATGTTACTACTAAGCCTAGGATTAATACTACCCCCGGGGTACTATTAGCTAACTAATTAGCTACAAGCAATTGTTAGTAACAAGAGGCAATAAGACTATACTACTATAGTGAACGCGCACCGAGTGTTAATAAGCGTGCTACGACGCGTTAACTAATTGCCTACTCTTTTAAGGACTCTACCTCTTTACTAATGCGTCCTATAGGTCCCCCTCTTATTCCCTTATTCTATCGGGGCCTCGAGGCCTAGGCAATCGGCGAGGACGGCGCGGCCGGCGCGGCTATATTAGTAATAGTGTTACGGAGTGTGTTCCTGTTTAAGAAAGGAGGGATACAGCTATATTAGTAACGGTGTTGCCGAGTTGTTATTAGTTAAAGAAGGAAGTTAGAAGAAGGTAAAGTTAGCGCTAAGACAACTAGCGCCGCTATTATTAACATTACTTACTATTATCGCTGCACTTGCGAAGACAACCTTACCTATACTACGGCCTAAGGCCGGAAGCGCGCTATACTAATTAAGTTAAGAGAATAGCTATATTAAAGGTTTAATTAAAACTTTAAGGCCAAGTCAAAACTTTAAGCCGCTTAAAAGATTAAGTAGACTAATAGATTAACTAACTAAGGGCAAAAACTATAGAGCTAAGCTAGCCGGGGTCGATCTTGCGGATAATAGGTTACTCCTCGATCTATCTAACCCTTTAAGCGAGGCGAACCTCTACTACTATACTTATAATAGCCTTTATCTATAGAAACTAGACGAGCTGTATTTTTTCGAAAAAGATAAGATAAGATTAACAATTAAAGGCTACTAAACCTAGCTAATTAGGGCTAGCGAAACTACGAACAATAAGAACAATAACCCTCGGAAGCGGACATTGCTAGATCTTTTAAGAGTAGATACAAAGAACTCGGTACGACATTACTTAGAACGGAGGTAGGGCTGTAATACCTCGTACGTCTACCTATTGCAGTAGGGAAGACGCGCTCGTATTGTAATTAGTCGATAGTCCTTAATTCTTATAGTTATATATTACTTTATTGTATGTAAGGATAGCGTAGTTAGAGTTAGACATTGTATTGAAAGTAAGGTTTAATATAGTTATATAATTAGGTAGTTAAGTGTTTAATTCAGCGCGGCTAAGCAGCTTATTAAACTTGCTAAGTTAGTAGTAACGGAGGTCGAGGTTAGAATATAGAAAGGCTACGAGGGCGCGGCTTTTAGAAGGGAAGCGTGTATTAGAGGCTATACGTAATTAGCATGTAACTAGCTCGAGTAAAGCTAGGGTCTTAGTACCTTAGTTAGGGCTTGGCGCTTAGCGTTAGGCTAACTAGCCTACCTTCCTCCTTCTCCTCCTAGTTCTCTATCGAATACTACTTGTACCTACTACTACCCTATCTACCTGCTAATATACCCTTCTAACATAAGGTACCGAAGCATTAGCCTTTTAGCGAGTTGTCCTTATTACTAATCCCTAACAAGCTATTTGCAGAGCTTATAATAGATTTTATTATAGGTCTTCCCCCTACTAAACGAAAAGGAAGTAGAGACGTCTTTAACGCTATACTAGTCGTTATAGACCGATTTACTAAGGGTACTCGCTATATTCCTACTCGGAAGGATTAGACTACTATTAATATAGCTAAAGCACTATAGAACAACATCTTCTATAGCTATTAGGGAACCCCTAAAGGGATAGTTTCCGACCGAGGCTCGACATTTATATCTTACTATTAGAGTAAGATATGCCTATAGCTAAGACTTAAGTATCGCCTATCTATAGCGTTCTATCTAAAAATAGATAGCTAGACCGAGAGGCAAAATGCTACCCTATAGTAGTACCTACGCAGCTATATTAATAAGAACCCTAATAACTAGGTTAACCTCCTATAACTAGCTAAATTCGTATACAATAACAGTGTCTACTTATTAATTAAGGTCTCGCTATATATAGCTATAATAGGCTAGAACGCTACTATGCTATAAGACCCCCTATCGCTCGAGGCCGAGCGCAAGGAAAGGGAAGCGCGTTAAGTACTAACACCTAAGACACTAGCAGCTATTAAGAGGGTTCAAAAGATACGAGAGATTTACGCTAAGATAGCTAACAAACTAGCAAAGGCCTAGACCTATTAGAAGGCCTATTATAACAAACACTACACACCGATAACCTTTAAGCAAGGCGATATAGTTATACTAAGCACTAAGAACCTCCGCATCCGTAAGTACCTATTACCTAACGGCAAAACAAGGCCTAAGCTCGCACTAAGATATATTAGTCTATTCCGTATTCGAGAAGTTAAGGGCTCCTCCGTATAGGCCTATTAGTTATAGCTTCCTCCTTATTATACTATCTATAATCCCTTCTATATATCCCTCCTTAAGCTATATTACCTACGCGAGGGGGAGGAAGCCTCTACTAAATACGAAGACATACTAGCGGATAGTAAAGAGCTGTAGTCTATAGAACGTATCCTATAGTACCGGACTAGGAAAGGCAAGAAGGAGTACCTATTAAGATAGCAAGGCTATTTACCTAAATAGGACTCGTAGGAAGCTAAAGCCTCTTTTAAAGATATAACTAAGTTATTAGATAAGTATTAGACTAGTATAAAGAACAAAAAGAAGGCTAAGGGCCTATAATGTTACTATTAAGGCCTAGGATTAATAGCACCCCCGGGGTGTTATTAGCTAACTAATTAGAGGCCGGCAAACTAGGACAATAAGACTATACTACTATAGTAAACGCGTACCGAGTATTAACAAGCGCGCTATAACGCGTTAACTATTCGATACTCTTTTAGAAAATCACCTCTCTACTAACGCGCCCTATAAGGCCCTTCTCCTAGTATTTAGGTCCCCCTCTTATTCCCTTATTCTATCGAGGCCTAGGCAATCGGCGAGGACGGCGCGGCCGGCGCGGCTATATTAGTAACGGTATTGCGGAGTATGTTACTAATCGAAGGAAGACGACGCGACTATATCGGTAACGGTATTGCTAATATTATTATTAGTTAAAGAAGGAAATTAGAAGCAAGGTAAAGTTAGTACTAAGACGACTAGCGCCGCCGTTATTAATATTACCTACTCGCTACTATTATTAACCTTACCTATACTACGAGCCTAAAGCACTATACTAACTAAGTTAAAAGATTAAACCTATTAAAGGTTTAATCAAAACTTTAAGGCTAAGTTAAAATATTAAGGTTTAAAAGATTAAGTAGCTTAATAGGCTAACTAACTAAGGGCAAAAACTATAGAGCTAAGCTAGCTAGGGTCGATCTTGTAGACAATAGGTTACTCCTCGATCTTTCCGACCCTTTAAGTAAGGCGAACCTTAACTATTATACTTATAATAGCCTTTATCTATAGAAACTAAAAGAACTAAGTTTTTTGAAAAGATATAATTAGTAGACCCCGCAGTGGTTCGGGTTAGTTTAGTTTAGTTTGCTAAGCCGAAACTCTAGTTTAGTTTAGGTTGGTTTGCTAAGCAACTATATAAGTAGCTAGTTCGAACTATATAATTTATCGGTTTTTAAGAAGTGTACGAATATATACGTAGCTTCAAGTAAGCCCTTTGTAAGACTTAGCAGTGTGGCCGGCAGCGTAGCCGGCATTTTCAGTCCTTAGTACTTATAGAATTTTCGAATCCTACTTAGGCTACGTAGTTATATAAAGGTACTTATATAACCTCAAATCTATAGACAATTAGCTAAGGGCACTAACCAATCAAAAGCATATATACATATACAAGGCATTATAGTTCAGTTCGGAAACTATACTCCTTAGGTATAAATTTCATCCTTTCGTTTACGGTTCAATTCCCTAACTGCTTAGTAGAATGTCTTTATCTAGATCTAGGCAGAACTTATCGATTTCCCTAGAAGTCCTCCTCCTTAAGAAGTTTATACACTTTCCTACCGAACTATTCGACAACATTAAGTACTAGGATAGCTCCTCCCTCGGTATCGGTATAGTATATAAAAGAGCTATAAGGCAGCTCTATAGAACGTTCCACTAGTCACTCGCTATACTAAGGCCGAATGCTAGTTCGTTCCTTAGAACTCTTAGTTATTTAGGAGATATAAAGGGTAGGGTAGGTAGTAACTTCGTATTGTATAAGGAGGTAGAGGCTGCTATAGAAGAGGCCTTCAACCTATAGAAGATAGTGAAAGATATAGAGGCAGCTGTAGGTCTAGGTACCTAGTTGAATTTCTAGTAGGTAGAGTATAAGGATATTTAGAGGGAGTATTAGGTAGAGTTGCGAAGGCAGGTGTATAATATGCTCTAGAAAACAGGGATAGTACCTATAACTATAACTATTAGGCTCTTCAACCTTCCTTATTTTTCCCTATTTTCTTTTTATAAAAATCTAAACTAATACAAATCAACCGGAATGTCTATCTTCTTTTAGTTCTTTAAAAAACCTAGTAGCGTAGCTAGCAGCGTAGCCGGCAGCGTAGCCGGCAGCGTAGCCGGCCTTTTTACTCCTTAGTACTAACGGGATTTTGGGAGACTTCTATTCCGTACGGCTAATAAAGCATACTGTACTATATATATATGCTTAGAGAGTATTTAGAGCGCGGTATATAGCGCCGTATAATAGCGGCTCATTTCGTATATAGAAAAGCTTATAGACGACACTACGAACATCCTTCCTACTAGTATATCTATCCTATCTAGCACTATCTCGAATATAGACATTCTAGCCTTTTAGGATCTAATCGAGTGCTTTAAAATCCTTATCTATAATCGTTATACGCTTCGCGTAGATAGCTATAAGGTTGACCGCTAAAATAGTATTAGTATAGTCCGAAAAGAGGTAGAAGAGAAACATACATTCGAAGATACGAACTAGGTAGGCTTCTATAGCCTCTTAAAGGGCGCCTATCGCGGAGGCTTAGAAGCGAAGGTCTATTCTATAATCCTAGGCAATTTCGCGAACAAGTCGTTAGAAAGGAGTTTTGCGGATTAGGAGCTTAGAACTCTTCTAATACTGCCGAATCTTACGGAGGGCTACGGCTAAAGAAGGATTAGTAAAAAGACAGTAAGAATGCCGGCTACGCTGCCGGCTACGCTACCGGCTATAAATAGGACTTACTTCCTAGGCGCTATCGACGCTTCGCACGATTGCTACTAGTAGTAGAAGCGCTAATTGTCGTCTTATATAGAGCCTTGCCCGCCGTTGTCTTGCGCGGAGCCTTGCTCGCGACGCCCTTTCTAGCACCGGAGCTAGCGGCGGCAGTAGCAGCTATCTTGCGTTAATGTACTATACTCGTTCCTTTATTTCCGATCTTATTGCGACCCGTAGAAGTAGTAGGTCCCTTCTTGCGAGGCGTCGTAACTTAGTTAAGTGGATTCGCTATTATAAAAGTCGTCGAATTAAGGAAAAAAGTGCGTTACGAAGGTATACGAAGGCGCGCGCGGAGCGAGGGTGTTACGGAGGTAGTAGATATAGAGCGTAGAGGTATAGGTATCGATGCGAAGGTTGAATATAGCGAGAGAGGTAGTATCGCGGTATCGCTAGGTAATAGAGTAAGCTTCGCGCAAGCCTACATTATAGTAACGTTAGAGTAAGGAAAGAAGGCAGGCACGGCTAAAAAAGGCAGGTACGGCAGACTTTGAAATATAGCCGGTATATATAGCCGGCATAGTAATAGGCGAAAGCCTCCTTTTAATAAATAGCCGGCGTGATAATAGTATCCTACTATAGTATAGATATTCTTTAGTAATGCCTTTACTAGCTATAGTAATCTTATAAGTAACCTAGGCCTATTGCTAGTAAATATAAGAAATATCAGGTAGGCTATACTAAACAAGCTAGTTATTTAGCAGAAAAAGGCCTACTACCGTCTCTATATACCGGCTACGGGTGCCGACTATCGCTCTAAATTCAACTCCGCCCTATCTCGGAGGCTAAGGTACCGAGCGGAAACCCTACAGCTTATATTCACTCGGTTGTCGCGGAGCGCTTATAGGTGAGGTATTAGAAAAGAGTATAAAAAGTACGAGAAGAGCATCCTAGGATATAGGTCGTAAGTAAATAAGAGTAGCACGCCTAGTTATTTATATAGTACGTTACTCTATACGACTAAGAGCCTATATTATCTTATACTTCGCTTATAAGACCTCGACTCTACTAGTATACTATCGATCTCCTCCTCGGTCGCTAATACGCTGTCTTAATTCTTCTTCGAGTTACCGGACTTAGTGCGTATCTATAGCTATGCAATAGCGCTACGTATTATAGAGAATTTCTCGTTAAAGTTTCTCTCTCGTAGGCTTGCTATCTGCCTCGTAGTATAGAGGATCAAAGTGCTAATGCTAAAGAATCTCCTTATAGTTAGGATACTAGGGCTCCTTAGGACCTTTGTGTTTTAGGTCTAAATAGAGACGTATTATAAACGTTCTATCGCCCTTTCGCTTACTACCCGCTAGGTCGCGATATACGAAGAAACTAATCTGAATGTAGCTCGTCTCTATAATAGCCGGGTAAATATAGAGCGTTAGGTTTCTACTTCGTACCTTAGATTTAGGGACGGCGCGGAGATAAAATCAGAAATATAGCCGGCACCTATAGCCGGCAAAACGATACGAAAATGGGCCTCCTCCTAGGTTAATCTAACGACTAAATACAATTTCCAACTAATCCGCTATAAACCGACGCCGAATTTTAGCTAGAAGCTGTATATCTTTATTTTAAAGAGTAACCCGCTTCGTATAGATAGCAAGGAGGTTTAAAAGCTCAAGCTCGGTTACGAGAAATGCCTCCGTAGCTTCCTAAAGAGCACTAATCGCCTTAGCCGTAAATCGCATACTAGACCGAAAATCTAATGTAATTTCTCGGACGAGTCGCTAGAAGGGAGTCTTAGGGATTAAAAGCTCGGTCCCTCTTTTATTTTAGAAAAGCCGGATCTAGCGAAGGGCAATAGTACCTAGTTTAAAGCGCCGCTTCTTTATCGTCGAGTCCTGCCTTATTCCCTTTCTTTTAATAGAAAGATAACTTTTCTTCGCGACAGTCTTTGTCCGCCTACTCTTTTTAGCCTTCTCCTATCTACCTACAGCCTTCTTATTTTTCGGTACTATTTTCCGAGGAACCCCCTTCCTTCGTATATACTACGGAGAGCCTTGCTCTTCCGATATCTCGTTCTCGCTACGGTCTCCCTATACTTAGCTTGCTTTACCCTTGCCCTTTAGCCTCTAAAGATATTTATCTACGCGTTTAGGCGACGAGGGTATATCGGTAGGACCTAGAAATTAATAAGCATATAATCGTAAGGAGACATTAATGCTTCTTGCCTTCTAGAACAAATAGTCTTCTATTAAACCGCCTTATTAGGTTATCGTCAGATTCGAATAAAGGATAGTAGCTTAAGGAAGGGGAGGCAGCCGGCTTAGGAAGGCCCGAAGAGCCGAATCCTTAAGGCATATTTGTCTTTAAGAATATAGGGAAAGGGAAGAAGGAGAGGAAGAGCGAATAGAGAATTAGAAATAGTCCGCAGGTAAGCGGGGTCGGTTGCTATAGCAACTAGTCTATTTAGGTCCTAGGAATTCGAAACACATTTCGGATATATGCCGGCTATATACGCCGGCTATATTACCTTATACGTAAACGCTTCGTCTCCTTAAAGCTACTCTAAGCCTATATACGTTTCCGCTTCTCGACCCGGTATCGCCTTCTACCTCCGCCCTCCTCCTCTTCGTTATCGCTAATTAGGGTTTCGCTTAGACTAAATTTCGCATTCTCTTCGCGCTCCTAGGTTTCTTCGATCTTAAGGTTTTCTAATTCCTCGATCAACTCCTTTAGTATAATCTTTAGTAACCTACCTTAGCGATTCTAGTAGAGGAGATAGTATCGGAATACTATAATAGATTCGAAGGTAGTAGGCGAGTATATTCGATTAAAGCGGCCCTAGTAACGAGCGATACTAAAAGACCTCTTATAGCCTATACCTACGCTCGGGATAGCGAGGACGTCCCGAGCGACCGACGCTATCGTTAGAAACTTAGGCTCTAACCGCTACTATATAGCGAGAATATCGTCTCCGAATTCGTCTAGAAGACCGGTAAGATCTAGAGATTATTAGCCCTCTTTCCGAGCCTACGGGTTTGTACTTACTCGCGCGCCGATAGAGATCGAACTCTTCTTTATTTACTTTAGTAGTTGCTTCCTCTTCTGCCTCTACTTCCTACCTACGAAACAGGTATAATATCGGAGCCTTCTAAACCTTCTTTTTCTTTATAGGAGCTGTATTTAGACTAGTTTCTTTCCGACGCTCGTAGAACATCTTTTCTAGAATAGTCTAGTAATACTTCGGCTATACCTCGTCCGCCTTCTATTCCGGCCTCTGCTAGTATATATCCTTTTCTACCGGGTTAAGTAAGTACGTAATGCTATAGATATCCCCGAACGAGTTAAAGGTAGTACTGTAATATTTATACAACTTAGTATAGGAGGTGTCTATAGCTTTCGTTATAGCTACTTTCTAGGGAACGCTCTTCCTAGCTAGCTTAGCTACGGTTTCCTCGAGCTCGTTAAAGAGCTAGTTATAGTACGTAAAGACAAGGTAGATCGTCGGTCCTCGGGTTCTTCTAATCGTAGCAGTAACCTTCGCGTAATGCTTACTAATATCGACGAGATACTCTGCTTAGCGCTATTCGGCGGCGGTAAGGCCGAGCTACTTAATACCCTCGGAACTCTAATAGATCTCGAGAGCGGTACGTAAAGTATATCCCTTCGTAACTATATAGAAAGTCGAATCGAACCGGGTCTTAACGTCTTAGGTAAAACGGAGTAGGCGCTAAGGAGGCCGCTTTTGCTATCGCTTATTCTATACGATATTCTAGGCATCGGTTTTAGGGCGCTCGATTAGGTTCTTTTAAATAGCCTCGAATCGGTTATATCTCTATAAGCTCGAGTTCGTATATATTGCTAGACGACGAAGCTAGAGAAAAAGAGTTAGAACTATACTAGGTTGCCGGCTATAGGTGCCGGCTACGGACAAAAGTTATACCTTATATAAAACGAGAGCGAGGCTCTCTGCCTTATCCCGTCTCATTGCTATAATAAGTTTCTCGACTTTCGACTTTGCTTTATCCTTATCTAGGATCTTCTATTAGTCGTCGTTTAATAGTACAATTTTAAGCGTCTTAAAGAGGGCTCGGATCGCGATTTGAACTATATAAGCGAGGTAGGGAAACTTCTATAGGGATATAACTAGCAACGACGTCGGCTCCGATTTAATAGGGCTAGGGCTATTAATAGGCTCCTCTTTATCGTTATCATCGTGCGTATTGTCGTGCGTATCCGGAATCGTAGCGAGCTTAATATTCGGAAGATTAAGCTAGATTATAGACCTTATAATCTCCTCTACGTACTCGACCCTATCGATACAATTAGTGATTTTAAAGATATATGCGAGTAAATTGTATATACAACGCCTTATATAATGTTCGATTATTACTAGCGTTGTCCGTAGTAATCGAGATTAGTTTCGTTATTACGCTAACCCTGTCTATTACCGTATAGACAAGCTTCGCTATATCCTTACTAGTATAGGAACCTAGAATTTTAGGGAATCCGATTATGAGTTCCTAGAGTTTCTAATCCGAATTAATAAAGTATAGTATAATCGAGAGGAAGGAGGCTCTTATAGTCCGGCTTAACTAGCTATCGATAGTAATAGCTACTCGGCGAGTATTACGGAGGATCTCCCGAATATCGTCTAACGCAGCCTCTTTGTTCTTTTCGAATATAATACGCTAGGTTGTCGCGCCGAGAAATAGGGGAGGGTAGTTTGTAAGACATAGGTATATCTTCTATATAGACTCCCTTTCGTAGAAGTCTTCCGGAAGACCGTTTGTAGCTAGTATTTCGTTTGCTAGTTGCTTAAAGTCTTCGGGGGAGAAATCGGTAGCCTTTAATCCTAGAGCTTCCTTAAGCGTAGCCTATAATAATTAGCTAGATCTCTACGGTTAATTTAGGTAGCCGGAATCTATAGCCGGCAGCTATAGCCGGCAGCTATAGCCGGCATTTTAGAAGACATACCTCTTTCTAGAACGCTATATCTATATTAACTCTCCTCTCTCCTTAAGATTCCCGATACCGTTTAGAATAGAGATAGTTCGTAGGCGATAAGTTCCTATCCCCTAGTTTCGGGTGTTTCAAGATTAAACCGCAGAAGTTGCAGACAATTACTAGTTAACCTTTAAGTCGAGAAGTCGTATAACGGTGCAATACCCCCTCTATAAAGAACTTCTAGAATGTGTCCGTTCGCTCCTTACTCCCCTATCGCATCGAGTACTTCCGGAGTTTATACTCCTTCGAACGTAAGTATAAAGGGAACTATATCTTATAGACCTATTAATTGAACTGCTCTATATACTCGGGTTTCTAAAGATACGCCTAGCTAGCCTTTTCGAAGATTTCCGGGTTAATACTCGATATTCTTATGTCTCCGAACAACCTTCTACTTAGACTCCGTAAAGGTAAGGACTAGGTAGTAGTACCCTATAATGAATTCCTACTACTAGGATTCGGAGAGGATAAATCTAGCCCTAATCGTAGTCTAGGACTCGATAGGCTCGAAGGTAAGTATACGACCTCCTCTCGACGTTGTCGCAATCTCGCTCGTATACTAGACTGTTTCGACTATCGTCTCGTTGTTACCCTTCCTAGTGTAGCGCCTAGTGTATATATAATGTCGGTCGGCATGTTTTAAGGTTTCGTACGGTAAGGTAAGGACTTAGGAGTAGTAGATATATACTAGTAGCTGTAGGGAAACACCCTTTCTTTTATAGTATCGTATCGTTAGGAATAGCTAGGCAGTAAATAGCTAGCTACCTTTTTTTTTTATTTCCTAGCTACCTAACTACCAGATTTTTTTTCCTAGCTACCCTAGCTAGCCTAACCACTAGAATTTCTTTCCTAGCTACCCTAACTACCTGAATTTTGCCTTCTATACGGCGGCTCTCTCCTACTAACGGAACCGAGCTACTATACCTAACGAATCTAAGCTCGTTTTTAGTCTTAATCCATCCTCTTTCGGTATAAGACACTCGATAAGCAAATGCTTAGGCCGAGTCTAACTACGAAACCTAAGACTAACTAATAGCTCTATTAACCAATCCTAATCCTCGAACTCCTTCCGCTTCTTAGTAAAGACCTTAAAGAGCGCTCGAGCTTCTTTAGGTACCTGCGGAGTAGTCGAGATAAAGCCGTATCGCTAAAACGGGTAATCCTTCGGAGGCTTATATAGAGATTTAGAGAATTCTAACGCTAACCTATCCTACTAGCAGCTTAGATTCCGGATACAAGCCCTCTCTACCTTAGTAAAGATTTTATATAGCAGTAGCACTCTACCTTCGAGAAACGCTTTCTGTTTAACTGTTAGTATCTGCCGGCTACGAACGCCGGCTATATATGCCGAGTATAGAATAATTACCTATACCCCTTCCTCCTATAGTAACACTTCTGCCGTCCTTAGATACCTAGCCCCGATCGCATTAATCGCAAGCCACTTTGCCTTTATAGACGCAAAGGCTTCGCTCTAATACTAATAAAGAAACTTCTACTCTATATCGAGGATATAAAGACGACTAGTCTCGATTCTAATCCTTGCTAGCTTTTCGTAGTAGCTTTAACTATAATTTTCTAGATTAATAGGACTTATGCCTTAGCCCTTTACTAGTATCTCGTCTCTTTAACTATACTCGATCTACTCCTAGCGCTTATCGTCTATAGCGTTAGGCCCTAAGACTGTACCTATTACTAGATCGACGTATAGTATCTCCTCGCTTTTTTCAGTTCCTTTATTCGTAGCATTAAGCTCTGTCGCGGCATCCTAAACTCTAGCATTGTTGTTCTCGGCTATCTAAACATCTCCGTTACTATCGGTCGTATCGATAGAGGTAGCGACTATAGGTCTGAATACTATTAGTTAACGTGTTAAAGAAAAATATGCCGGCTATAGCTGCCGGCTACGGCTGCCGGCTATAGCTACTAGCTACGGCCGCTAGCTAGATTAACTTACGCTACTAGAACTTTACGCTCGAAAACTGGCCGCAATTCTTTCCTCCTCTTAGCCTTCTCTTAGGTTGTCTTCTTATTCCAACCTTCACTTTTTTCTATAGGCGCTAGCTATCGATAGAATGCCTTATTCCGCGCCTTTCTTCTCTTATCCTTAGCTCTTTTATCCTTATCTATCTTATCCTTTCTCTCGCGGTCTCGTACGGAATTCTTCTTCGTAGAGTACTCCTCTTTAGTCTTACGCTTTTTAGTTAGACGCTTAGGCAAAACAAACTCGCGGTCTTTAGTTCTATCTTCTATTTAGCGCGCGGCGCGCTTCTCTCTTACTATTATAAGGGAAAGGGGCGGGGGCGTAGCGTATAGTAGTTATTATCGGTATAGGTATAGAGGAAGAAGTTGAAAGTGTAAGAATATCGCGAAGCCCTAATTGTTGCCGCCTACGTAACGTTATATAGGTAAGCTTTCGCAACTACGGCAACTACGCCCCGGTAACAGTAACTACGCCCTAGCAACGGCAACTACGCCCTAGCAACGGCAACCACGCCCTAGCAACGGTAATAAAGCGTAGTAAATACAACCTAGTAACTATTATAGCCGGCAATCGTAGCCGGCAGTCGAATAAGAGTGTCCTTATAGCAAAACTACGCCCTAGCAACGGCAACTACGCCCTAGCAACGGCAAAAGAGCGTAGTAAATGTAACAGAGTTACTATTATAGCCGGCAATCGTAGCCGGCAGTCGAATAAGAGTGTCCTTATAGTAAAACCAATACAGTCTCTAGTTCAAACTAGGAATCTATATAGTTCGAAAAAACCAAACCGGAACTAGGGAGCTAGTTCGCCGCTAAGAAACCAAACTATATACGTTTGGTGGTTCGGAAACCGAACTACTACGGGGTCTAATAATTAGTTAACACTTAAAGGCTGCTAAACCTAACTAATTAGGGCTAGTGAAACTACGATAGTAAATAATAGTCCTTATAATAATAAGAACAATCCTCGGAACGGACAAACTCTCGGAGCAGACATTTCTAGGTCTTTTAAGAGTAGACGTAAAGAACTCGGTACGATATTACTTAGAGCGGAGGCAGGGCTACAATACCTCGTACGTCTACCTATTATAGTAGGGAAGACGCGCTCGTATTATAATTAGTCGATAGTCCTTAATTCTCGTAGTTATATATTACTTTATTATATATAAGGATAGCGCAGTTAGAGTTAGATATTATATTAGAAGGTGAAGTTTAATATAGTTACATAATTAGATAGTTAAGTGTTTAATTTAGCGCGGCTAAGTAGCTTATTAGACTTGCTAAGTTAGTAGTAATAGAGGTTAAAATTAGAATATAGATCGGCTACGAGGGCGCGGCCTTTAGAAGGGAAGCGTATATTAGGGCTAAAGGGGCTACACGTAACTAGCATATAATTAGGCCGAGTAAAGCTAGGGTCTTAGTACCTTAGGCAGGGCTTAGCGCTTAGCGTTAGGCTAACTAGCCTACCTTCCTCCTTCTCCTCCTAGTTCTTTATCGAATACTACTTATACCTACTACTACCCTATCTACCTGCTAACATAACCCTTCTTACAATATAATATATACGACTTTCTAAGCGCCCTCTAGAGTCTAGTTAGTAGAAATTAAAAGCCCGGATATACCTAGATACCTAACTTTCTAATATTTATATTATACCTACGAGCGGCTATATCGTAATTCCTAGATTGCTAATATAACAATCTATAGTACATTTTATACTAATCGTAAAATAGTTCGATTCCTAGCGAATATAGTCTAATAAAGACGATTCTTTTTTATATTTTTATAGTCCTAAGTATAGTAGAGCTTTAAGATTTAGCTTTTAATTGTTTATAGGCTTGTAGAAAATAAAACATCGTAGACTCGTAGCTGTTATATTATGTGATTTTTGTAATATGCTAAACGCCAAGAATTTAGTGCCAATTCGGGTGAACATTCGCCGAGCACTTATGGCTTCCAACTCTTTTGCCTTACAATACACAGCATGGCTTCACAACCTCTCGTTCATCAGATCGTACACAAACATGACCCTCTCCTCTCAATGAGCACGCGCGATTTGGTTGCTTGGAATGGAGCGATCCCTCAACATTCATACTGACATCACGACTCTATTCATGACGCGTGAATGACCAGAGCGCGTCACAATGTGTAACGACAGACTAATGGAATTGTGCACCGTAGGTGCATATACATACAGATGTCTCGATTATTTGTGATGCGTGGGTTCTGCACTCGGTCTACACTCACAACAGCAGCATCAACACTTTCGGAAACCTCAAAACATTCGCACCCATGAGCTCAGCGATCAATGCCGCCGCTTCGACCCTTTCCGAAAACTTGGGAGGTGTGGCCCACAAGATTGCACCTTCTCATACGAAGTTCAGTAGCGATGATATTCCAGACCAAAGTGGGAAGGTAGCAGTCATCACCGGCGGTAGCGAGGGTCAGTCACATCAGCATGTATCTGACGCCCATGAATTGACATTCTCCACAGGAATTGGATATGGAGTCTCTTACACCCTACTTTCGAAGAACATCAATCGCGTATTCATCCTTTCCACATCCAAGGAAGTTGTTGGCAAAGCGCGAGATGCCGTCCGCAAAGAGCTTGGAGATGACAAGGCGGACAAGACTTCGTGGATACAGTGCGACCTCGCTGCCTGGGACAAGATTCCTAGCATAGCGGACCAGATCAAGAATTCCACAGATCGGATCGATATATTGGTGAACAACGCAGGCAGAGGTATCATGACTGCTGAGCATACAAGTTACGGAGTGGACAGACACATGGCGCTGAACCATTTCGGTCATGTTCTTCTCACGTCACATCTCTTACCACTGCTCAAGAAGACGGCAAGTGATGGCCACATTGTACGAATATCGAATCAGGCATCTAATGCTCATGAATCTGCCCCCAAGGAGACCTCATTCGCGGATCTGAATGAACTCAACAAGGATTATGGACCGTTGGCACAGTATGGCCGTGCAAAGCTAGCCAACGTTCTCTATAGCAAATATCTAGCCCGACATCTGACCAGGGACAACCCACGAATTCTAGCCAATGCCACGCATCCTGGCATTGTGTCGACGAAGATGAGCAAAGACGATATCCATGAACCGTATCCGCTTGCAGGCTACGGAATGTCGTTGGTGTTGGAGCAATTTAAAAAGGATCAATTCGATGGTGCTCTGTCGACGCTTTACGCAGTGACCAAAACTGAGAACAGCGGCGAGTACATATGTCCGCCCGCGGCAATCGAGGCAGGCAGCGAACTTGCGAGGAACGAAGAGCTGGGAGAACAACTCATGGAGCTGACTAGTCGAGTGATCAAGGAGAAGACAGGCCACGAGCCTCCAGCTTTCTACTAGATGCGGGAAAAGGTCGTATTGAGCATGCTATCCCTTGCCGAAGTTGATAGCATACGAGCAGACATGGCCTTTATGAGAACATCGATTATGTCCTATCCTTCCATTAGAAGGACTTGATCGTGCATCAACGCGAAAGTATCGCGTCCTTACTCCAGACGTATTAGCGGCATCAGCTAAAATAGCGAAAAGCTCCTTAAGTGCGGGGCCCTCCAAGCATTTAACCTTCATATTTCCGGAGTCCGCGGACCCATTGGCAAAAACTAAGCATGCCTAATCGCACCATGATGGAAGCATAGAGATAATTTGCTAGGAACATCGAGATCGAGAACAGTAAGATACATGTAGACCCGGTGCCTGCTGGACAAATAGGACAGCAGCTTCCTTGGCACCTCCCAAATGGCAGCATCAACAGAACCATTGACCAACGGCGAGCCTCCGCAAGGTGATGCAGCCGTCGAGACGACTTTTCTCATCGTGGGTGCTGGACCTGCAGGAGCCTCATTAGGCTGCTTCCTGGCTTCCTACGGATTGAAAGGTATAATTGTCGCAGCTGCTCCTGGAACTGCGAAGGAACCCCGAGCACACATCACGAATCCTGCGGCATTAGAATGTCTTCGAGATATTGGATTGGAGGAAGAAGCAAAGAAAAATGCTACTCCTGGAGGCTGCATGGCACATACTCGATGGTGTCACGACATGGCTGGCGAGGAATTCGCTCGGATCTATTCGTGGGGAAACCAGCCTGATCGTAAAGGAGACTATGAGGCTGCTAGTCCTTGTAGACATGTTGACTTGCCTCAAACTCTACTGGAACCGATACTTACCAAATATGTCATCAATCATGGCTGGACTGTGCGGTTTGACACTCCTTTTATCAGTTACAATCGAGAAGGCCCCACAGGTCCTATTGTATCCACCGTCAAGGACAATCTTACGGGAAAGACATACGATATCAAGTCCAAATATCTGTTCGGCTGCGATGGAGCTCGAAGCCAGGTGATGAGGCAGCTTGATTTGCCGCTGATCAAGTCTCCGGGACAAGGTCTTGCTCTGAACATCTTGGTCGAAGCAGATCTATCGAAGCTCATGACAAATCGCATTGGCAACCTCCACTACATCACGACTCCAGACATTGAGCATCCACCTTGGGGATGGTCGTGTGTTCTGCGGATGGTGAAGGTTTGGCATGAGTGGATGTTCATCATGCTGCCCGAGCCGGGCTTTACGGATTTCAGCATAAGACCAAGCCATGAGGAATACGAAAAGCGAGTGCGACAGATGATTGGAGATGATTCCATTCCCATCAAGATCTTAGACGCTTCCAAGTGGTACATCAACGAAATCGTTGCCGAGAAATATAGCGATGGCAACATATTTTGCCTAGGAGATTCTGTTCATCGACATCCGCCTTTCAACGGTCTTGGAAGCAATACTTGCATTCAAGACGCTTGGAATCTGGCCTGGAAGCTGGCGTATGTCGAGCGTGGACTTGCAGACCCAAGCCTCCTTGACACCTTCACTCTGGAACGGCAGCCCATCGGAGCCGGCGTGATTAAAAGAGCGAATCAAGGTCTCCGTGATCATGGACCAGTCTGGGATGCTCTAGGTGCCCTGTCCCCAGACGTGGAGGAGCGGAAGAAACAGCACAATGAATTGAAAGCTGCCACGCCTGAAGGTCGAGCTCGACGAAAAAGATTCAACGACGCAATAGCGTATACCACGCATGAGTTCGGGGGCATCGGGATTGAAATGAACCAGAGATATGAGTCGAATGCTGTATACTTCGACGACGAAAAAGAACCTCCCCGACCTGCCCCGACAGATGCTGTGCTGGAACATCAGATATCAACGTATCCTGGCTCAAGACTACCACACGCATGGTTGAACACGCGTGCGCCTCGAGAACGGATCAGCACTATTGACCTCGCTGGTCATGGAGCATTTTGTGTCCTCACTGGCATTGGAGGTGATGCTTGGAAGAAGGCGGCTCACGATGCGGTGAGATATCTTGGGGTCAAGATCAATGCGTACTCGATTGGTTGGACTCAAGATTGGGAAGATGTGTATGGTGATTGGGGTCGACGGAGAGAGGTCGAAGAGGATGGGTGCTTGTTAGTGAGGCCTGACAGGACGATCGCCTGGCGTAGCGTGAGCATGAGGGACGATGCTAGTGCAGCACTTGGGAAAGTTCTCAAGGCAATTCTCGGGCGGGCAAAGTAGGGGCATAGGCATAATAGATGTCAGAGATATACGAGAGACTTCACATTACTCCTCGTAGGACTGGTTGACAATGTGGTCGTGGCTACCATTTTGAGCCTAGCTTGGCGCATTTCTCGGCCACCTGCGGTTTACTTCACGCGACCCACTCTGATTCTATGGCTTCCATTCCAACTCTCAGTTGACCGGGCCGGGATCTTTTGGTATGCCAATGGATACTACACTGAAGCTATGCTGTCACGGTCAATCTGTTCGCCGGTGCTGCGAAGGCTAAGTAGCCCGCGTGTCCTGACGCTGCCGCTGCTCGCATCTCAATCATCACCGAGATCTTGGCCGGGCGGCGTACGGGGCGGCATCGTATCATCTCATAAAATTCGCTTCAACTCTTCTGCTACTTACCAAACAGTGCGATACTTTTCTTCTTCCCTCAACATGGCGTATGGCACTGAGCAGAAGCAAAATGGCACGAATGGTGTCAACGGCACGAATGGCAAGATTAATCACTGGGCCTCACCAGGCATGACTGCGTTCGATTTTCGAAGTATGGACCATCATCTTCTCATTCACATGCTTTCGAATTCTGAACGATCACAGGCGATACGATCACAAAACCCAATGGCCGCATGCTAGAGGCTGTCGCTGCCACCACCCTCGCCGACGATGTCTTTCAAGAAGACCCCACCACGAATGATCTCGAGAAGCTGATCGTCTCCATCACGGGCAAAGAAGCCGCTCTATTCGTCCTCTCTGGTACCATGGGCAATCAAGTCGCGATTCGAACACATCTTCAAGGCCCACCTCACTCCGTCGTTGCCGACCACCGAGCACATATCGTCGAATATGAAGCGGGAGGAGTAGCTTCGCTTTGTGGAGCCATGTGCAAGGGAGTGATCCCAAGCAATGGAAAATACCTGACCTTGGAAGACGTTCAAAAAGCCGTCGATCTAAGAGACGATATCCACGGCTGTCCGACAAAGCTCATCAGTTTGGAGAATACTTTGGGAGGCGTGATATACCCTCTCGATGAGATCAGAAGGATCAGCGATTGGGCTCATTCACATGATATCATAATGCACTGCGATGGTGCACGGCTCTGGGAAGCAGTCGCTGCCGGAGCTGGCAGTCTGAAAGAATATTGTGCTTGCTTTGACAGTCTCAGCTTATGCTTTTCCAAAGGTCTGGGAGCACCTATCGGGAGCATGATCGTCGGCACAAAAGGCTTCAGGGAAAGAGCTCGTTGGATTCGAAAGTCCATCGGTGGAGGCATACGACAGGCTGGAGTGATCACTGCCGCCGCGCGAGTGGCTGTCGAGGACACTTTCCTCGGAGGTAAACTCCAAGGATGCCACGAGAGAGCACGACAGATCGCAGCTCTCTGGAAAAGTTACGGCGGAACCACTTCGCATCCAGTCGAGACCAACATGGTATGGCTGGATGTGGAAGCAGCTGGTCTTTCTGTCGACAAGTTCATCGAGCTAGGCCAAAAAGCAGGCCTTCGACTTTTGGGCGGCCGACTTGTCGTTCACTACCAAATCGGCGAGGAAGCCATCGAGAGATTGGACAATTTGTTCCAAGCCATTTTCAAAGGCAAGGAACTCCACGGTGTCGTCGAATTCTCTCCAGAGTCGATGAAGTCTGCTGTAAGATTCGAAGCCTACTACTACCAACCCGGAAAGTGATGGAGGACCGCAGAAACATTATTTGCGTGCGAACTTCAAGCTCGACGTGGGAGAAAAAGTTTTTACATGAAACCTCGAATGCTGACGATACTCATTTTTTCCTAGATTGAACCCGATATCAAACCTACTGCCCACTCCTACGGGTAAGCCTGCTGTCTATCTATGGAACGCAGTTGTCCCAGTCAGCCGAACGCCACAACCACCACCATATCGAATCGAAAAAACGATCCGAGATCCCTCGCTCAACTCAAGAGGAGCCCGATCTACCTACCGTAGCTGTGAGCAGAACCAGCCTGTTCGCGCGTTGAAGACAGTTGCTTGTCGTCTCACAGCGTCGAGTGTTTCTGAAACACTCATAGCAGATGTCTAGCCCGGACGCGGGCTTCGCGGCTCTAGGATCATTTTGGAGACTTATCTGGGACGGGACATGGACCAGGACTTAATGCAACATCCTGAAGGATTGGACTCTGGACTGGACTGGACTGACTGGATCAATACATTGAACGTCTGTGGCGGAGAGATTGCGCAAAGGGAGAAATATGAGCAGAATAGCACAGACAATGGAAAACCATTGGGTATCTTACTCACTCTCAATCTCCCTCAACAAGCTTCTTTTTCCTCCTCAAACCTCAAGCCTAGTCCTACTCTGCCTAGCAACCCACTTCTTGACGCCAACCCAAGTATCCTGCTTCGTATCCGCACCCCCAAGTTCACTCCCAACCTCAAAAACCGTAGTAACACCATCCAGCCCACCCACAGCCACATGTCTCCCCTGATTTTTCTCCCAAGCTAACTTATTCAAACTCTTAAGAGCATAAACATCCTTCTCCTGATTACTAGGTCTCGCGCCACCAACCGGCACTTCCGAACTAGCATTGATATCATAAATATCAAGTTTCCCACTCCCATCCACACACGCAAAAACTCCGGGTTTCGTAGGCGACCATTTCGCATCGTAAACGGAATCTTCTCGTTGGATTTCCAGCAAAGGTTTGATGACTTCTGCGTTGCCGGAAATTGTGCTGGATGTTGTGGACGGTGGGCGGGCGCGCCAGATTTTTACGCTCCAGTCCAGACCGCAGGAGACGAAGAGGTCGCCGAGATCGATTTTTCCGCGTGCTGGGTGGAAATCTATGCCTGTGACTGGGGCTTCGTGACCGCGGTAGCTGGTTCGGACGTCGACGCCGGATTTTGCGCCTGCGCGGTCGTAGCGATGGACGGGGAAGATTGAGCCTTGTTCTGTGCCTGCTAGGAAGTAGGTTGGATCTGAGGCTGGGAAGGAGATGCAGGTTGGTGCTACGTCGTCGGTTTTGTAGAGGGATGGGTTTGGAGCGTGGAGTTCGAGGTATTCTTGAGGTTGGGTGAGGATGTCTGTTGACCAGGCGCATACCACGCCGTCCGTGCTGACGGACACAACGGAGCTGGCGTTTTGTGTGCCTACTACTGCGAGACTGTAGACTGGGTGTGCGTGACCGGTTCGACCGCCAGTAAGTGGGGTTTTTTGCACAGGCTCGCCTGTGCGTTGGTTTCGTGCTCGTGTATCCCAGAGACAAAGCTGCCCTGAATACGTGCCACCAAGAATTAAGGATGGGTGATACGGGTGGAATTGGCAGGATAGCAGGTCCGAGGTGGCGTGCAAGCTGTACTCTGGCCGGCCTTTGAGGTGCAAGTTCCAGACATTGAGTAAGCCAGGCGGTGTGTGAGGTGATGATTGTGATTTCGTGCAGGCGGTGCAGAAGAGTTCGGGAAACTTTGGGCTGAAATCGATATCGCTGATTGCGCGCTTCTTGCCCATGGTGTCGTTCAGGTCGAATTGTGCCACTTCTTTCACCCTCCTCCCTCTTCGCCCAGTATACTCGTCGTCGTCGTCTTCCACTTCTCGAGCCTGCAAAGCATAGTCGGCCAATACATCATACTCCTCGTCTAGTGCCCTTTCGATCACTTTGCTGCTTCGCTCCACGAAATCGAGGAAGTCGTTGCTGCTCGTCACGGCGTTGAGCTCGTCGGGTGCCAGGGCTCGTACGGGAAAGCGTTCCTTCTCAGCTTCGACTTTTCCATGCAGCTGCAGCGACCTCAACTCGTCCTCGATTTCCTGGCGTAAGCGTTGACGGATCTCCTCTTCTTCCAACTGCTGCTCACGCTGACTGAGTTTCCTGCGTCTTCGCGACGGACTTCGGGAGGCGGTATCAGCTTCAGCTGACTCTGCAGCATTTTGTTCGGGCTGTGTGCCGCTATCTGACGTCTGCACGCCTTTACTGTATGTAATGATTTCCGGTTTCGACTCGACGGGAATCTCAAAGACAGTCGTCAGGCCGGCGAAAGACAGTGTCTGTGGCTCACCAGAACTCTCGTGGAATCGATTTGAAGATGATGCGCCATCCTCAGACTCCTGCTCTGAACTGCTTATCCGCTTCTTGCCAGTCGGTGTGCTGGGAGTCGCGGACGAAGGCCGGTCGACCAGGGAGGAGATGAGAGAGTCGATATCCTCTCGCTTGACACCACTACGCTGAGGTGAAGGCGCTACTAGCTGTGTTGTTAGTTAGTCAGAATGGCAGTCGCATACCAAATGCTACACATGGCGTACCTCTGATGCATCGAGACTCTGCCTGTTGCTGCTGAACTCCTTGGATCGCAGTTCTCGTTGTCGCTTGAGCTCGGCGAGCTTAGCCTTCTTGGCCAAGATCTCCTCTTTGCGCTGCTGGAACGACGACATGGTGATATAGCAGAATGCTCTATACAAGATCGTGTTCCATCATTCGCATTCCACGCGTGGAACTGAGAGAGCGCGTCAATACTTGAATCGGCAGGCGGTGGAGATCGGAAAGTTTGCCGACACTCCGAGCTGTTCTCTTCTATGCTTCGGAGCTTGTTGAGAAAAGAAGCGCAACCACCGCCCATATATCCTTCCTTCCCTGCACCGCGCATCCTCCGCTCGAGAAGCGAATCACGAGTGTCTGGTGCTGACCGTCATACTCGCCGTCGACATCTCCGCAACGAGTCCGCACCGAACATGTCTTCCACCGGCGTGAACGTGAGCCTCTCCCTGCCACCAAAACATCCATTCCAAGCCATTGAGCCTCGATAAGCCGTCAAAGAGATGCCGATGTCAGAATATGGTCTAATACAAATGATTCTTAGGTCCTCCGATGGGGAGCGCTGGTCTTTGGCGTCTTCTACGGCTTTTCACATCAGCAAGTCATCAGCTCGAGAGACAAGCGGGCCGCATATCAGCATGAATACGACCGAAAAGCCAAGCTCATATCAGAGGCGAAGGCTAAATTTGCAGAGAAGAGCCGGCCCAGCACTGGCAGCGGTGGTAAGTGGCTGGAATGGAAGCATTGTAGCATTGGACACTGCCTTCTGGCAACAGATGCTGTACGATATATGGGACAGCGTTGACGCATTGCCTGCAGTGATAACGAACCCTGACGACCCAAAATTCGATCTCGAAGCATACCTGACACAGGTCGCAAAGGAGAGCCCGTAGGTGTGGAGGAACGAGATACGCAGGGCATGAGCGAGACCTAGTTCTCCAGAAGAGCTATACCAGAGAGCAAAATTGTCGGCGCTGCGGATAGAGGTTGCCGCATCGAGTCAATCGGACCATCAATGCTATTAGAGGACTTGCATTCAATGCTCTACAAAACCAGCTGCCCCAAGACTGACGAAGGCCGGGAAGTGCACCTTCGCCAAGCAAAGAATCTTGTATATACCCTGTAACAACAAATTCTCCGTCGTCCAGCTTGCCGCGCGATGTTCTACATACATGGCACGCTTCGGGGCGGCCACTGCCGTGGACGGCAAATACATTCTCAATGCGACGCGCATGGAAGAGCTCCGGATTTGCAGCACGTGACGGTCCGAGAGATCTCCAGGCAGCTGCGCAATCGCGAACAAGGCCAACCGGGAAGTCTGTATTCCGGGTCCCATATCGCCTGTGCTGGCATCAAAAGCCTTTCGAACGACACCTTTGGGGGCCCCTTCGCCTTCGTATCCCGCCCTACCCGGCTCAGGCAGTTGTCTCAAATCTCATCCCCGCAGTCGGTACCGGAGGTAACTATATCGGTAAGCGGGACCATAGCAGCCTCAAGACCTGCCACGGTCCGATGGTTCTACTTTGACCTCAGGACTGTTGACGTAAGATCTCAATGTTCGGCTGACCATTATACGCTCGAGCATTCAAATATCCGTGAAAATGGATACCATTGTTGTCGAACTCGCACACCCAGATATGGGGAGGATCAAGGGCAAGACCAAACTCGGTGTCGCGCAGTTTCAAGGCATACAATTTGCCACTCTCAGGAACCGCTTTGCGCCGGCAGAGCTTGTCAAGTATGATCAGACTGCGCTGGTAGATGCTACAAGACCTGGGTTTGAATCCCTCATGATCGTGCCAACGAGGCCAGTGTTGACCCCAGGGCAGTCCTCAAGCTCTCTGCCATGCACCAGGCCCCGACTTCGAACAGCAGGTGTTGCTGCAGCATACCCTCGAATACGATCGCAGTACACAGTACACTCACGACCTCGACTGCTTGCATCTCAACTTGACCGTGCCGGTATCTGCCAATCAAGATGTGAACTCCAATGCAAAACTCCCCGTCTTCTGTTTCATTCATGGAGGTGGCTTCAGTACTGGTTCTGCTTCATTTCCTCAATATGACATGAGCAAGTTTGTGAAGTTGTCGGTTGGGATTGGTTCTCCCATCATCGCCGTATCGATCAAGTGAGCTGAGTCAAGACAATAATCTCCAGGCTCATACTCACAGTCTATGCAGCTACCGTCTCAACGCGCCAGGCTTTCTCACGTCCAAAGAGCTTCGAAACGCTGGATACGAAACGAACAATGCTCTAAGAGACCAACGAACAGCGCTGCACTGGATCCGAAGATACATCTCCGGTTTTGGCGGCGACCCCGACAACGTTACTTTAATGGGGGAAAGCGCAGGCGCAGTCTCAGCAAACTACCACCTCCTCTCCCCAGAACCCTTATTCAAACGTCTAATGCTAATGTCCGGCACCATCCTCCTTATCCCCCCAATCCCCTTAGAAGCCGCAGAATCAAACTACCAAAAAGCAATCCAGGTCCTCGGCCTCGAAACCTCAACCCCAGAACAACGAATCCACACCCTCCTAACCATGGACGGCATCGACTTATGCTCCAAGATGCTCACATCCGGCATTCCCACCATCCCAGTCCACGACTCCGACATCATCGACTGTCGCCTCACATCCCCCACCTTCGAAAACATCGGAACCGCATACCTCGACATCCCAGGCAGAAAATGGTGTCAAGCCGCCCTCATCGGCGACTGCCAATTCGACGGCAACATCCAATTCCTGCGCCTCGCCCACCGAAAAAAAGACATCGCCCAAAACATCTACACCTCCTTCACCAAATCCCTCGGAAGCGCTGAATCCGCCTCCGCAGTCCTTGAAGCTTACAATCTCTCCCCATCATCATCATCATCTTCATCTTCAGACATGAATAATGACGAACAAGCTTTCCACCGCGTCTTACTCCTCTGCAACGACATCCAATTCTACGCCCCCACAATGTCCCTCGCCGCAAACCTCTCCCAAGTCATGCCCACTTACATCTACAGATTCAACGAACCGAATCCCTGGCCGGGGAAATTCTCGGGCCAAGCAATCCACGTTCAAGATTTGACTTGGTTGTTGCAGAATTTTTCTGAGGTTTTGGATTTTCCGCAACGGAGGCAGGCGGAGGAGTTTGCCGGGAGGGTTTTGAAATTTGTTTGTGATGGTGGTCAGCACCCGTGGAAGGCTTGGAGGACGGGGGAGAAGGTTGCGTTTGTTTTGGGGCCGGAAGGGAAGTGGGAGGTTGTGAAGGATGAGGGGCCCGGGAATGGGAGGAGGGGGACGATAAGGGTTTTGGCGGAGAGGTTTGGGATGGATGTTTTGAGTGAGGCGTTGGGGAAGTTTATGAATGAATGAATGAATGATTGAATGAGTGAATAAGGAATTAGCACTTTTTTCAATAGGTTGCTGGATTTTCTCGTGATTTGATATGGGATAAACTACTATTTCTCATCATCTCGACGTTCTGGCGAAGTTTCAGCCGAAGCTTCTTCAATTGTGTTTCTTCTCATCATCAATCCGTCTTCTCCTTGGCTTTTCGTCACGCTCTGGCTCAAGGAACTCGTACTGCGTTCCAAACCACCGACTTCCTCATTATCACCATGATTCATCGATCGTGCGACAGAAGACCTCCTACGTCTGCTGACCACGCCCGGGAACATTCTTGGCTCGGAGCCATGGATGAAAGTACTTCCAAAAGCGGATTGGTTGCCAGATGGCATAGGTGGAGGCAACTCGGCACCTGCTGGGAAGAAGGGGAACTGAGCGCCTTGCGATTGATGTGGCTGTGGTGAGTCTCGTGATGGATAGAGATCGAGGTTGGACCATGATTGTTGTAGGCGAGCGGCTTGGGCATTGGGCTGATATGCGTGTGGTGTAGCCACGCTATTTGGAGTGGTGTATTGAGAACTGCCAGGCTTGAAATTTGACGAGTCAACAGCGTGCATTGGGTTGGTGGCGGAAGGATGGGTCTTGACGCTTGCGGTTGGGCTTGGAGGGACGGCCGAAGTGTTAGTAGAATGTCGTCCGGGCGCCAATGCCGTTGTGCTCAGTCGACCGCCAGGTGGAGCATTGGTGTAACGGTCGATCATTGCGAGCTCTTGAAGCCAAGTCTCGTGTCGAAACGCCTCTCGGATGTTTGGCACGTTGACCTTGGCCATGTCGTTTCCAGCAACGCCAGGGAGATAGTAATTGTTGCCGAGCCATCTTTGCTTCATGGTATGCTCGAAGCCTGACTGCGTGACTGAGTGCTTGGCAAGCTCGCACATATCCACCGCCGAGAGTTTGTAGATTTGTGCTGCGACAGCGTATTCTTCGATTAAAGGCTCCTTTGTGAATGCGAATTGAAGCGGGTCGTCTGTCGACAAGCTCACGTTCAGACCTCGGCGGAAGTATTGCAAGAATGGGTTGCGTTCGTAGGCCAAGAATAGGGCATTATTGCTCAGTGGACTCATGGCAACACCTATCTGTTCAAGATAGAATATGTATTGGAGGAGAGGAACCTTGCGCAATAGTAGGCCATGGCTAATGCTGTGGCAGCATAACACCGCTGCAGCCAGATGATCCGTGTCGCCCGCTTCACCACAGTGGGGTCGCAAGACGAATGTATTGAAGCCGCGTTGTTTCCGCCAGACATTGAGCGAAGCAATGTTGGCGAACAGGTAATAGATCCAGTACGTGTAAGGAGGATTCTGCTTCGTGTCCCAGTCTTTTGGAAGAGGAAATTTGCGATAGATGCGGCGCTCAGTCTTGCTTTCATCGTCGACAGAGTCAAAGCCAATGACGCGATGCAGGAAGACATGCAGTTTCGGATGACTGCTTGGATCTTGAGTCGCTTCGAAGAGCGGCTGGAAAAGATTCTTGAGCACTTCCTCGAACCTCTCCATGGTCTTCGAAGCTTTGTAGACATCATATAGACGCGGCACTTGAATCAGCCACCTGACATTGGGTGAGTAGAGTTTGTTGTCGACCACCCACGCTGCAAGCTTGTCCCATTCGTCCATACTGCGACCATAGATGCTGATGCGCCACTCTACCATCTGATACTTGCTGCTCTCGAGATCCGAGATGACTTCTTTGGTTATGTCTGCCAAGTATCGTCCTTGGATATGGTTGTCGGTCTTCAAGAAGATTGTTCGCAGCCTACTCTCGCCCACAGGATTGTACTTGAGATTGAATTTGTCAAAGCGATGGAAGGAGTCTGTATGCGCGTGCATGTCGAGGGTGTCGATGCTGAGGTCGTAAGCGGTGAGATTCAAACTCTCAAAAACTTCTCGAAGAGTCAAGTATTTGCCGTCTCGATGAATCACAACTTCGTCCGGACACTTCTTCATTTTGCTTTTGATGAATCGAAGTAAGTGCTTTTGATTCATGCAGGCAGAGTGATGGACGTGGGTGTCGACTTTACGAACATTGTAAAAGTCACGATGAGGCACTGCTTTGGTATCCGCGACCTCCTGATACTCGTTCAACAGGACATACAAATTAAATTTGCCCTCGAGGTATTGGAGGCGGCGATACGCAAAGGACTTGCTTGGGCCATCTGAGCTGATTCGCAGGATCTCGTCAAGATCCATGAAGTACTCTCTAATGTCTGGGATATGCACAATCGGTTCGCCAAGCTCTGCGGATGGCGAGGTCTCGTACACCTGATACACGCCTTTGGAGTCGAGCTTGAAGGTCATTTCGGATGCTTCGGGCAGCGGAAGACACTCTTCAAAGTCGAAATCCTCCCCGATGTCTTGGCCCATTTTGCGTTGTGGTTTCTTGCTGGTGGCAGTGGTTGGCGTCTTAGGATCAGCCTCGCCATCTTGTTCAGTGCTGTGGTCTCTTCGCTCCTTGTTGTCATGCCATACTGGCTCTGGCGGGGGTGGATATATGTGCCACCCAGGTTCGTCACGCGGATTATCATGAGGCCCTTGCAGCGAAAGGCGAATGTATTTATGCCTCAAGTCTAGCACCTTCTGAATATTTGCATAAATAGCATTGAGCTCGGTGGTGACGCTCGACTCGTTTTGGGCGTCCTGGCCAATTCCTGCACCAGCACCATGAATGCCCTCTTGCTCTAACAACGGCTTAGACTCGTGCGGCAGAGCAGGATGGTGGCTGTGAGCCCTTGCCTCTCGATCAGCTGCCAGCAATGGGTCTTCCTCAGCATGTACGGCATGAGAGTGCACACCGTTGAGGCCCTCGAATCGGCCTATACTCGGTGACTGTACCGTAGAGGCATCTGGATGCTTGCGGGGATCGCTCAAACCAACAGGGAGGGCGGACTTGTAGCCAGGCTCTTTGTGTCCAGCTGCGCCGTGCTTGCTTTTGATGCTGCCCGTGCGTGAGAAAGAGTTCGGATCAGCAGCAAACTGTGCTGACCAGGTGCTCGCGCGCAGGACGGGACTGGTGCCCATGATCGGACTTTGCGACAGACCCTGTTCATCGAGCGTGTTTTGTCGTGCCTGCCGAAAGAATTGCTTGGCTTCCACATGCGACATTTGCTTTTCCAGCTTGTAGCTGTAATGAGGTGTTCGGCGCTGCTTGTCTCTCGGGAGCATGCCCTCTGGCTCGGACTCTTCTGCTGTCGTCTCAGGCTCTGCGGCGGCTTCCTCAGAGCCTTTCAGGTCCTTCGAAGCTCTCCGCATCAAGCTTGACGATTCGTGAGCATGGTGCTGAGGGGAATCGTCACTACCGTCTGCGTCTTCCGAAGACCCTGCAGCGTCTCCATATTCGCTGTCGTCCGAGTCTTCACCTCGCGATATATGGTGGGGCGCGAAGGACGGCGGCATGGGGCTTCTCTGCATCATCGTCTCTCGTTGGACGATCTGTTTCAGTCGTGCAATCGGTCGTGGTCGCGCGGTCGCTTGAATCGCCGTTTCAAGGCTTGGGAGACAGGAAAGTCGCCAATGGTTCTACGGAGTACAGGTGAGGGGAGATGTGGGCGTTAGGAGGCTGGCGGAGAGCAATTGTACGCAGGCAGCTAGGGAAACAAACGATCGCTTACGCGCAAGCAAATGGAATGAAGATGTGTGGTGCGACGACGTGGAAGCAGCACGACGTGTCGCTGTACTGTGTCGCGTGCGCCTTCGCTCACCGTGTCTGCAGAGCCTTTCTTCTCCACCAATCGCATGTGATGAGGCCACGGCTGGCTGGCTGCAATGCCGCCTGCAGGAGCACATCAATTGTCATGATGGCAGTCATGTTGAGAACACAGTGTACTGTTAAGATACGTGTACCTCGAATCGCCGGCGGCAGGGCGCGTCTGAGATCATGTGAGCTGAGTCTGGTGCAAGCGCCTCTCTTCATTCTCACTCACCCACAGCATGTTCAGTGCAGCACCAAGGACTATTAATAATATCACGTACATTCGCTTGGAATCAGTCCTTGTATGCTCCTCGGTGCATGTAGAGCGAGTCTGGCCATGAGTCGCTGGCCGCTCGCTGGCACTGATGGCTGCCCGATCGGAGAAAAGCGTTGGACCCACGTGTCCGTCAAGAGCATGTATTGTAAGTGAAGGCGAACGCTGCTTTTTCCATGTGAAAACGGCTGCTGCCGAAGCTTCCACATCTCAAAGCACACTGCCCGATTGACCACTACATCATCTTCCCGCGGCCACTGCTGCCAACCTGCGGCACGTCATGCCGACCCTCAAGCAAATCGGTTGCTCATTAGAGATCGGTCCGAACAGTACGAAGCTGAAAGAATATGCCCACCGCTACACCGATGGAGGCGTCGAGGCATTCGTCGCAGTACCCGACTCAGACATTCCTTTCCATGTTCGCGTCATCTCAAATGGCTACATCGCGCCAGGCCTAGCAGCGTACGTCTTTATGGATGGGCAGTATCAATGCAATCGCAATCGCCAGCGCCTGCAGCTTCCAGCGCCCGGCATGGACCCACGCGAATATGAAGTGGATTTCAACTTGCGCCAGAGAGAAGAGAAGACTTCCAATGGACTGTTCGTGGCACGCGAGTGGACATTCGCGCAGCTCAAAACAGGCAAGTTGCGGCGCATCCATGTGACAAACCGCCTAGTGCTGACTTGATGAAAAAGGCAACGCCGATAGCGCACCAGACGTCAACAAGCACTTCGCGCACAATGTCGGCACCATTGAAGTTGTCATCCTCCGTTGTAGGGGCCGTCAACACCAGACTCTGCCACCTCCTGAGCCACTGCAGTCGAAGCCAGCTTCAGTGGCAAAAGCACCATCTGCAAAAGCACCATCCAAAGCGCCATCCAAAGCGCCATCCAAGGCACCTTCTGACGCAGGAGGCGGCATGATGGGTGACATGTTTGGCATCTTCGACGGTGCTGGCGACGAATGGGACCACGACATTCAGGGAGGATTAGATGGCGCGTACGATGAGCCGGGTCTTGATCGACGCGATGAACCAGACTACTTTGGAAGGCGTCCTGTCCGACCTGATTACGAGTGGGAAACCAAGACTGGCATCTATCAACGTGACCGAGCATACAACGACTCCCGGAGAGTTTACGACTCATACGACACCCCAGAGAGCTATGAGCGCGCGGGTGTCGTCCAGCATCGACGAGACGCTCATCGACGCCTGTCGCCAGTGCAGCCACAACAAGCACGCAACGACTTTGATTTCATCGAAGAGTCGTGCAAGGAAATCGAGAGCCTACTTGAGCAAGGAATGGCCGAGGCCAAGAAGCACGCTAGTATGGAAGAAGAGGCCTACACCCGTCGTGGTGATCCTGACATCTACCCTATCATCCTTAGAGCCTTGGAAAGAAAAGCGCAAGACGTAGAGAGATTCAACCAGGAGATCGAGGCCCTTTACAAAGCAGTCAATACCTGCATGATGCAGATGGATCGGCAATCATATGAGCGAGTTCGAAACTTTCTCCTAAACAGACGCTTGCTACCGGAATTACAGATAAATTTGCCGAACCCGCCATTTGACACCCCAATCCAAAACCATAGACCAGCAGCTCAGAAGGATCACCGACGTCCACCTACAGCTTTCTACAATGCTCCACCACGAGAACGCGGCGATTGGCAGCAAGTTGGACAAGGTATGATCGGCGGAGGACCTGATCTGCCACTATGGAAACGAAAACAGCTACAACATTCCCAAGAGCACACTCCAAATGGGCATCTCGGCGGGAATGCCGGTCCAGCGCCACAGTACAGATCTGACCCTGGATGGCGCGGACAGCTTCAGTCCCGCTCAAATTCAGGCCAGGCGAACGAGTGGGCACAATCTCCGCGACGTGCGTCCGATCGGCCTTGGGGTGTGCCGGCTGATGCATGGGGAACACCGAACCAAAACGATGACAATGATATGGATGGCACGAACAAGCACACAACTCCTCAGGGCTCAAATGGACGTAGGTGGGGAGAGCCGGTGCCAGGCAGTTTTCCGATGCCACAAGCAGATGAGTGGGGTCAGAATGACGATAGCTGGGGTTCTGGCAAAGACAAGAGCCCTCAGAAGAAAGATGATTCTCAAGAAGGAAAGGATTCTTGGGGTGCAGACCAAGGCAACGATCAGCCGCAGGGAGAAGACGATTGGGGAAATCAGGCAAATGATAAGAAGCAAGATGAGAGCGGCAAAGACGATCAAGCAGCTTGGGGCCAAAGTGCTGACGAACCGCAAAATGGGAACAATGCGGACGAAGGACAAGGAAAAAATGTCGGAGATGACAACGGCGGTGCGAGAGAACAGGAAGGTGGGAATAACGAGAACTCCGGCGAACAAGACGGTGGAGACGACAACGGCTTCGGGAATCAGGCTCAAGATGGAGGCAACGGTGAAGATTCATGGGACCATAAGCCGTCCAAAGACGAGGGCAACGGTGGAGATGCATGGGGTAATGCTCAGCCCAACAATCAAGCTGAGGGCGGAGGAGACTGGGGTGATGCGAAGGCCGACAAGCCCGCGAAGAGCGCTCCTACTGCCTGGGGTAATGATGGTGCTAAGCCCACCCACTCAAGAACCACTGCCACGTCAAGTGCAAGCGCTCTTCGACCAGTCATCAAGGATTACTGGTCCAACTGGAACGGCGGCCCACCAACCTCAAAGCCCAAAGTTCAACCGCGCGATGCATACGTCTACCCAGCTCCACCACCGCCAGCAGCCTCGAAGAGTGTGGCGGACGCCGCGAGCCAATACGTTCAGTCTGGCAAAGGCGCGAGTTACGCCCACAAGATCGACAGACCGGAGTACCTCGATACGATGAATCAGCCCTACGCAATCTTCACATTCAAATATCGTAGCAAAGGCGCTCTGGAGAAGATTCTCAACCGGAAGATCGATACAAGCCATATCACGCGGGCCGTGCAAGAGACAGAGCAGGAGCGTTTGATGAGGCTTCCAAAAGATGAATTGGTTGCGGAATTAATGAAGAGACAGAGTATCAGCAAAGCACCATCTAAAGTCGCCTCGAACAAGCCAGCAAATAATGGTGGAGCTAAGACAGCACAAGCTTCGAATGCTTGGGGAGCCAAATCAGCGGCTCAGCAGCCATGGGGCGCTGGCGCTGTTGAAGAGGTGAAGCCATCTGATTCTGTGAGTCAAACGGGTGGTGGCAATGATGGATGGCAGCAGGTCGGCCAAGGCGAAGTCAATAATAATGATGCTTGGGGTAATAATGCTGGTGGAAATAGCAAGAAAGGCTCCAAAGCGGCTAGCTGGCCAAACAACGACGCTGGAGCTAGCAAGAAAGCCTCTCAGAATGGGACTGGTTGGCATGCAGACCCAGGTGGAAATGCTGACTGCGACAAAAAGAGCAACAAGACAGTGGAGCACTTCGACCCTGCAGATCCTGCTCTGAAGGGTACTGGCGGAAAGGACGAGAACGCGGAATGGGCGGCGGCCGGCTGGTGAGATTCAGCATGATTACAGTACGCAAGTCGACGACAGTCTAAAGCCATCTGCATGTGCGAAGGAAGCCTCTTTTCGTAGATCTCCTTGAACTGGCGCAGTACATGCGGGCTAAGATTGCTTTTCAGGCGATCGCAGGCGAGCACTTCGACTTCGCCCAAGCAAGCGTTCATCAATCGTCCCAATGAGCCATGCGCCAGGTACCTATAGCATGAAGATTAATTTATGAAAGAGGCTCTGGCATCTGCAAATCAGCTCATCTCTGTCCACTGTCGTAAACACATATATCGTCAGTGGAAAAGTCGCAGGTTCAAGGCACCAAGAGACTTATCAGTCGCTTGCATCTTCTCACTCCTAACTGTGAACCGAGCCTGAAAAGGCTTTGCATGACTGATTAAAGTATTTGTGGGGCTGGACGGCGAAATCAAAACGTGGCGAGAGCTGGAAAGCAGACGAGTGCAGTGAAGAGTAAGGACTCTAGCATAGTATCGAAAATGTAACGATGTCTGCAAGTCACGGCTCAATTCTTTTCCAAGAAACGCACCGATCAGCGAATCGACTGTGTCGAAATGATCTGCAAGTTCATGCAGCTTTAGCGCGCGGGCATTTCTCACTGCTTCTTGATACAGTACCTTACAACCACAAGACAAGAACCTTGAAAATGCCAACCCAACCCCCTCCAAACATCACCATCAACACAATCACATCCAAAAACCTAACAGACGAAACCCTCATCCCCCTCTTCACCCTATCCCAAAAAGTCTTCTCCTCACCAACCGACTCGCATCGCCCCTCCCACAACCTAGAAACCTGGCGGTCTTACCTCCAACAGCCGGGCTCCATCCTCCTCTACGCCACGCATAGTAACTCCCCTCAAACCCCTGTAGGCCTCCTATTCCTACACCCGCGCACAGCGCCCGAAATCGGATATTCTTTGCCTCATATCTGGATCGCGGCTGTGGAACCTGAGAGTCGGGGAAAGGGCATCTTTGCTTTGCTTATGCGGAGGATGTTTGACTTTGTTCGCGATGAGCTCGGAGAGAGGGAGGTTACGGTTTGTACTTATCCCGAGAGGTTTGGGAGGATGTATGGGGTTTTGAAGAAGATGGGGTGGGAGGCTGTTGCTTGGAGGGAGGAGGGGAAGAAGGTTTTGATGAGGGTTGGGGTTTGAGGATTATCATATGCCTTCTTGATCACGGTGCTATGCTATGATATGATACAGCTGTGGTGATTGGTACTGGTGTCATTTTCCTGGAAGTCATCCACCAGATTGCAGTACCCGATGCGCAGCGAGAAATTGATACGCATCATTGATTGATCCTCAGGAATTCCCTTTCAAGAACAGGTACACCGAGAATCTCACACAAAGGTTCCCAAACTCCCTGAACCTGATACTCAGGTGTCCTGTCCTCTCCTGTCCGCCGGCGCCGTTTCCCTGAGTTTTTGCTTCTCCTGAGCCTGCAACTGCTAAGATTGAATTTGTGCTGGAACTCCTTTGTAGAAGTCAACCATAACGTGTCCGTTCTGAACGCGGAGCTCTAGGTCTGTCGCTCGGTCCGCCAGGCGCTAAGATATGTGTCAAGCGATCATATGTAGTCCGGTATGTCGTAGTCAGAGTTGGTTGGGTTTGGTTTGGTCAGGTCAGGGGATGGAATTCAGTCACGTGTCAAATTGTCAAAGCTTCTCGGGCCGATTTGACCGAGCAATTCCACTTCTCGCGCGTCGCAGTCTTCTCCTGCTCCTTCTCAACACCCACCCGATCCACGAGGAGCGACGATGTCGTGGAGACAGAATCTTGGTCAGACTGGTGCGAACACCATTCCGCTTGGTCCACGGCGACGATTCGGTGGCGATGACGATGGTCCTGCCACTAATGAACCGCCGCGCGACATGAAGCGTGGCCGTAGCCCAGAGCGCAAAGAACCAGAACTGAACCCAGATGGCACTAAGAAGCGCCGCAAGCGCAATCGATGGGGCGACGCAGCTGATAACAAGGCCGCTGGTCTGATGAATCTGCCGACCGCTATCACTGCGCCTATGACCGCTGAACAGCTGGATGCCTACGTTACCCACTTGCGAATCGAGGAGATTAGCCAGAAGCTCAGGATCAACGATGTTGTCCCTGCTGATGGCGACAGGTGAGTCCTCCCCAGAGTCACCATAGGTCCCTTGATCATTGACCATTGAGATACTAACTCCTGCTCTAGATCTCCCTCTCCTCCTCCACAGTACGATAACTTCGGTCGACGTGTGAACACTCGCGAGTACCGCTACCGCAAAAGATTGGAAGATGAGCGACACAAATTGATCGAGAAGGCGATGAAAATCATTCCCAGCTACCACCCGCCCTCTGACTACAGGAGACCTACCAAGACCCAGGAGAAGGTCTACGTGCCGGTCAACGATTATCCGGAGATTAACTTCAGTATGCTTTTTAACCCGCTAACCCACTCTTTTGCTCTGCATTCATTCTGCACACTATGTTCGCGACGATCAAAAGTCGTACTAACCCCTTTGCACTAACTCACTGCACTGTCCAAAGAAACAATGACTAACACTTAGCTTCTTCTACTAACAGTCGGTTTACTTATTGGTCCTCGTGGTAACACGCTCAAGAAGATGGAAACACAGTCTGGTGCCAAGATCGCTATTCGTGGAAAAGGATCGGTGAAGGAAGGAAAGGGCAAATCTGACGCTGCTCACGCTAGCAATCAGGATGAGGATCTTCATTGTTTGATTATGGCAGACACCGAGGAGAAGGTCAACAAGGCCAAGGAGCTTATTCACAATGTCATTGAGACGGTAAGTGCAATCATGATCCCACGCTTGGTCTTGGTCTGCAACGCTAACACAGAACAGGCTGCCTCCATTCCTGAAGGACAAAACGAGCTCAAGCGCAACCAGCTTCGTGAGCTAGCTGCCCTCAACGGTACCCTTCGTGACGACGAAAACCAGGCCTGCCAAAACTGCGGAGAAATTGGACACCGCAAGTACGACTGCCCACAGCAGCGCAATTACACTGCCAACATTATTTGTCGTGTCTGTGGCAATGCTGGTCATATGGCTCGCGACTGTCCGGATCGCCAGAGAGGTAGCGATTGGCGTAACATGCCACCTCGTCGCGGTCCAGAAAACGCCCTCGACAACGACTACGAGAAGCTCATGAACGAGATCGGCGGAGGCGGAGGCGACACCTCAAATGCATCTAGACAGATCGGCTGGGACGGTGGAAACCCCGAAGCAGACGCCAACGGTGGCGCACGACCGGCGGCCCCATGGCAACGCGGACCAACCGGCGCTCCTGCTCCGTGGCAGCAACGTGCAGAGCCAGGCGGTGGCCCAGCTCCTTGGCCGCGACAGAGCCGCGACGATGGCTACGGCGGAGGCTATAATGGAGGCCCGCCAACTGGTCCTGCTGGTGGACCGGCACCATGGGCTAGAGGTGGTGGAGGTGGTGGAGGTGGAGCTCCTTGGCAGCAGCCTCAGCAGCAACAGGCGCCGTGGCAACAGCAACCAGCACCATGGCAGCAACAGCAGCATGGCGGCTACGATGCGCCACCACCTCCGCCCCCAGCTGACGTTCCTCCGCCACCACCCAGCGACATTCCACCTCCACCACCTCCAGCATAGGATGCTGATGACGCTGGCCTGAAGGAAGAACACGTCGCAGGAGCAGGAGCAGGCAAGGACATTCCATTACCAATCCGAAGCAAAGGCACGTCACCAAGCGCACACAAGTGACGTTGGTTAGCTACTGACTTGCAGCACCTTGAGCACATGCCAATTCAGATTGTAGCTAGTCGTTAAATGTGATTTTCAGTTCCGGCTTTTGTCTGCAGTATTATCCTGAATGTTAGATCCACGCCCCAAGTCACATGCTCGCCTGAGGCTTTCGCGTTGATGACCTCATCTAAGCGTCTGGAAGCCTAGACGGCCTGCAATCCACAGTACTCTTCAACCTCAACCCGTCTCAACTAATACACAGCGGCAATGATATTGCTCGCTAACTTCTACAATGGGTGTCACAGGCCTGTGGCAGATCCTGCAGCCCTGTGCGCGGCCCATCAAGATCGAGACGCTGAATCGGAAACGACTGGCCGTGGATGCCAGTATCTGGATCTACCAATTCCTCAAAGCCGTGCGCGATAAAGAAGGAAATGCGCTACGTAACAGTCATGTCGTTGGATTCTTTCGGCGCATCTGCAAATTGCTCTTCTTCGGTATCAAGCCAGTCTTCGTGTTCGATGGCGGCGCGCCAGCGCTCAAGAGACAAACGATACGAGCTCGCAAAGCGCGACGAGAAGGCAGGCGTGAAGATGCCGCCCAGACGGCAGCCAAGATCCTGGCCAAGCAGATGCAGCATGCCGCTGAAGCAGAAGAGGCGCGGCGAAAGGCGGAGCAAGAGCGCGGACAAGGCACAGCGCAGCAGGAGGAAGAGGTCGTGCCAGACGAGGGCTTGGTCTACGTCGACGAGTTGCAGATGACCCAGCAAGAACGCCAGCAGAACCGTAAATTCCGCAAGAAGGATGCATACCATCTGCCAGACTTGGACGTGTCAGTGAGCGAAATGGGCGGCCCAAATGATCCTCGTGTCATGTCTCTCGAGGAACTGCAAGCCTACGCCAGACAGTTTGATACAGGCGAAGATATCAACGTATACGACTTCTCCAAGATAGACTATGATAGTCCGTTCTTCATGTCTCTTCCTGCGTCGGACCGTTACAACATATTGAATGCTGCCAGGCTGCGCAGCCGTCTGCGTATGGGCTACTCAAAGGAGCAGTTGGACACCATGTTCCCAGATCGCATGGCTTTCTCTAGGTTCCAGATTGAGCGTGTTGCCGAGCGCAATGAGCTGACTCAGCGACTCATGAATCTCGAGAACTATGATGGCATCGAGTTTGGAGGTGGTAGAATAGCTGGCGAGAAAAGCAGAGAGTACGTCCTTGTCAAAAATGACGGCGTTGAGGGCGGATGGGCTCTTGGTGTGATCAGTGACGAGGGCAAGGAGGAAAAGCCCATCGATCTCGATCGGCCTGCACCACGAATCAAGACTGAGGATGATGATTGGGAAGAAGATGACGAGTTCGAAGATGTTCCTATTGAAGGACTGAATCGCTTACCGAAGCCGAAGCCACGGCATCAGCAAATGATGGATGAACTTTCAAAGCAGCGTCGAGCAGTCTATCAATCGAGGAGAGGCGGTGGGCGGCGCAGACCCAGACGCAAACCTGCGCAACCACGGAACGAGCTGTTTGTACAAAGTAGCAGTGAGGAAGAAGCTGAGGAAGCCGATGCATGGGAGGAGGTCGATGCCAAGCTCTTCGGAGAGGACGAACAGCAGGGTTCTGAAGACGAAGAGCTGCAGAGAGCCATTGCCATGTCACTTGAGAAGAATGGTGATGATGACCGCGTTCAGACCAATGAAGCTGATCAAGAGTCGGAAGACGATGATATGCTAGAAGTGTTCAAGCAGACTGCCGCTGCTGAGGCTAGACCAATTCCCAAAGGCAGTGGCAGAGACATTGCAAGCATTATTAACAAACGTGCCTACAACACCGCTCCCGAGAGTAGAGAAGTCACCTCGTTCGGCGTACCTACACAGAAGTCGGACAGCAGCGACGAAGACGACAGCATGGACTTCCAAGCTGCACTCGCCGAAAGCCGCAAGAATAAGCGCAAGACTAGTCCGTCTCGCCCTCAGAAACCAGCTCCGCCACCTGCAAAAGAAGCGACTGCCAGCGACATTGCCAAGAAAGCTGGCTTTAGTGGACCACTGCCATTTGAGAAGCTAGACCTTGGAACTTCGCTGCTCGGAAAGAAGAAAATGCAGGAACGGAAAGAAGAGGCGGCTGGTGGATTTGAAAATCCGGCTTTGGCCCACAAGGAAAAGAAAGCTGCTGGACCTCTTCCTCCTTGGTTTTCGGGTGATGTAGAGAAGGATATGAAAGCTCAGCGGGATCTTGAGCTTGAAGATCGACAACGGGCAAGAGAATTCAACAAGCAATTCATGTTCGAGGAGCGAGATGCACCAACGATAAGAAGGGGTGATACCGGGGAAGTCATTGATCTTGATGCTGATGAGGAGGACGAGATGAATGTCCCGAAGCAAGGCGAAATTATCGATCTTGACCCATTGGACAAGGATGCTGTTTCGAATGACAAACAAGATGTCAACATGGGGAACATGGCTGACGAGGTGCGAGCCGACCCTCCTCAATTGGAGCAGACCGCATCAAGCGCTTCAAACCCTCGAGAGTCTGCGGATCTTGGGAAACGGCCAGCACCAAACCCAGCAAGCACCAAACAACCCCAAAAAGCGCCACCCACCGAGCGCGAAGAGTCAGACGAAGAGATGATCGAGTGGAGCGACAGCGATCGCGAGGAACATGAGAGTCTCAGACCTGCACCGTCTAGTAATCTTGCTGCCGAACAGACTGAAAGTAATCGGCCAAAAGGTATCGAGGCTCAAGCTCGTTCACCATCGGCAGAACCAGAGTTCGAAGACGTCAGCATCCCTGAGACATCTAATGTAGATGATCTTGGCGACGCGGACGAAGAAGATGATGTGCCATCTCATCACACTTCGGGCCTGGTGGCTCAAGAGACGATTCCCGAGGACGAAGACTTTGATGACTTCTCCGATCCGGAAGAAGCAGAAATGCTGCGTAATCTGACCATCGAAGCGGAAGAGCATGCCCGCTTCGCTAGCACTCTTAATAACAAGTCTCAGGCTCAAAATATTGCCGACTACGAGAAAGAGCTCAAGCAGCTGCGCAATCAACAGAAGAAAGACCGTCGTGACGCAGACGAGGTCACTCAAACCATGATTCAGGAATGTCAAGCTCTTCTACGGCTCTTTGGCCTTCCATACATCACCGCACCGATGGAAGCTGAAGCCCAATGCGCCGAGCTTGTGCATCTGGGACTTGTTGATGGAATCGTGACCGATGACTCTGACTGCTTTCTCTTCGGTGGAACGAGAGTTTACAAGAACATGTTCAACCAAGCAAAATTCGTCGAATGCTATCTCACTTCAGACCTGGAGAAGGAATTTGATCTCACCAGAGAGAAGCTGATATCGATTGCACAACTTTTGGGCTCGGACTATACTGAAGGGCTTCATGGCGTCGGAGCCGTCACTGCTTTGGAGATTATTTCCGAGTTTCCCGACCTTGAAGCCTTCAAGCAGTGGTGGACCGGCGTCCAAACGGCAGTCATACCGAAATCTGCGGATCAGGAACATCCCTTTCGACGAAAATTCCGAAAGAATGCAAAAAAGCTTTTCTTGCCCCCTTCGTTTCCGGACGCCCGTGTTGCGATGGCTTATTTGAAACCAGAGGTTGATTCTAATCCTGAAGCCTTCCAGTTCGGCGTTCCAGACCTCGACGCTCTACGATCATTCTTGATGGCAACAATCGGGTGGACGCAGGAGCGAACAGATGAGGTTCTCGTGCCAGTCATCAAGGACATGAATCGAAGATTGGACGAGGGGACACAATCCAACATCACCGCTTTCTTCGATGGCGGCGTAGGTATCGGGGCCGCCGGAAGGAATGAGAAAGGTGAAGCGTTCGCACCTAGGAAGAGAAATCAAGCAAGCAAGAGGATGGGAAATGCGCTGGGAAAGATGGCGCAGAGAGCGAAGGTGAAGAAGAGTGGAACAGTGCCCGAGGCGGACGACGATGAGGCGGACAAGCCGGTCGCTGAGGGTGATGCCGATGCGCCGACAGCGCGAAGTGCAGCAGCCCAAGGCCAGAAGAGACGCAAAGCTAAGGCTCCGGAACAGACTGCTACATCAGCAGACGACGAGAGCGACTTCGCCGAGCCGAGCAAGAAGAAGACGAAACGCAAGTCAAAGACCAGCGGTCGAAAGAGGGCTGCACAGGTTGATGCTGAACAGAACGAGTAAACGATGAACTGATAGTATGAGAAACGCCGGCCGCTGTGGACTCCGTGTCTGGGCGTCTTGCACCCATGCTAAGTCCCAGCTCTTGATGTCATTTTTTCGAATTTCCAGGACTACGTGATCGGTGTCTGACCATGCCAGCCATGCGACCCGCCACATGTATCGACAGAGACCCAGCTTCGTTTTGATCGATTTGAGATGTCGTCGGGAATCTGACGTCGGAGCAGGGTGGCGTTGGAAGCACGTCGCAGGTGGTAGTTAGCGGGGGAAGCAAGGACGAGGAGAGCAGAAGATGGGCGATGGCGTGCTTTTCGGAGTTGTCGTTAACGTTGATCAGTTTCTTGGCCTACATGGATGGATCATTGGTATGGCAGCGCCGATGAGGTGAGCAAGGCAATTGCGGCAATTCCTACAGAAGAGGTAATTGCCGACACACGATCTTTCTCCAAATCAGCTCGAAGATCGACAGATATTCTAACTTACAGGCATTCATTCAGTCCTGCGATCAACACTTATTGCATGAGCTTAGCCGTCTGACATTGGGAGACACGCTCATTCGTTCCGGGGGCGTCTCTGCACGGAGCGGCAGAACTCATGATCTTGTCGTAAAAGTTCGGCAACCTGGGCGAGCTCTCATTTTTGGCCGAAGAGCCTCAAAAACCTGGTTCTTCTATTGGACACCAATTTGGTCAGCATGTCGACCTCTCTCTGGTTCCCGGCTCGTCAAAGCTTTCACTAATACACGCCGATGCCATGCTCAGGTGGCGCTTATGGTCTCGAGCGGGGGTCCATGGCCCAAACGACCTACTGTTGACGCTGAAGCAAAAGTGTGAACACATTCATTATTGGACTTCCTTCTAACGACATCTCTTCCTTTCTCACTACGCAAACAGTAATCTGAACCAGTACAAACTTCAAGCCAGCACCTTGACATCCATGCACTTGGCTCACAGTTCCATGTCCGATAAACCATCGCCGACATCCGCAGACGAAAGGGTCTATCGATTTATATCCGACCCATCACACAAGGAGAATCTATCGGGAAGAGTCCGAGCAGCATGCTTGACTTGTCGACGAAAGAAGATAAAATGCTCGGGCGAAAGAAACTGTCGAACCTGTCGAGAGAAAGGTCTTTTCTGTGAAGGTTTCCCGGCCAGGAAGCGGCTGAAGAAGGAGGGTGGCTTCGAAAGTATCCTTGCCCCGGTTCCTGCTGGTATCGATCGCAAAGGAAAGGGCAGTTCCGTCAAGAAAAGCAGTCCGAAGCAATCGAAGCTATCTCTACGGTCAGCAGTGGCTGACAATAATGGAGTATCCGGAGACATTCCCCACGACTCAGAGCAATCATCATCGACCGACGTCCACTCTGCGTTAAGCGCGGAGCTGGGTCAGCGGGTTGCCATTGACGCCAAACACGACTCGAGATCCTCACGTCAACTGGAGGCTCTTGCGCCTTACCAGGTCGACACCTGGAGGCTGGATGATCATCTGCGCGCGCAGCCATCAACGCTGCCGCAACAGGTAGCAACACCTCCGACCGGTTTCATCACGTCTGCTCCGCCCGAGCAAACATCATTCAACTGGACGGAAATGCAGGACGATGAGGATTGGTGGACAGATCGAATCATTGACGCCTCAGGCCTCAGCAGACGGCAGACAATAGCCTCCTTCCTACCCTCACCAGGCGGCAACCAGTTTGAAAGCAGATACGAGGTACCACAACCATATATTGGCCCCTTCGACGACCTTGCACTCCTTCTCGCAAACAGCCGTGCGCCGACTGTTCTCAACTCAAGCGCTGGAGACTTCTCGTCTTGGTGGGATGTCAGCAACATGACACCAGCTTTTCTGGGACAAGCGCAAGGTGTTGAGCGAGAGCGTCTTCCGCCGCCTTTTCAGCATACACCAACTTCGCAATGCTCCGGGATCGCAACGCAGCAGCAGTCGGCCGATGCATTTTTCGACCACCTATGGAACAATATGCCACCGGAATGATCATGCAGAACGAATCAATTAATTCAGTTGCCGATCTCATCCGCTTCTTCGTCAACACAGACTTCCTGCTCGAGCAAGTCTTGGGCAGAGATCAGTGCTTGAAGGATCTGATCAGCTTCTGGATCGCGGGCTGGAATTTTTTTTTTTTTCCCAGCAACTCGGTCTGCTCCTCGCAAGCCTTGGAGAGAGTTTTTGTCAGCTATATAGGTTACTGGAGCGGTGCAGGGGTGACTTACCATGCTGGTGAGAGCCAGTGGGTTGATATGGAGCTCAATCCTGAGAGTTGGTTGCTTGAGTTCGAGAGTAGGGGAAGGAAGGGGTGCATGGAATTGAGTGTCGATGACGGATGGTGGGGATAAAAGGCGAGAGTCTGTCGGCCGGAGTATGGTGCACGAAGTGTGGTGAAGGTGAGCTTGAACTTGCTCGCCTTGTGGAATGACGGTATGGCGTCGTTGCGAACGAATGGAAATTGCTGGTTCGCGTGAGGGGAGGTTGAGTCGGGTTAATGGGAGTTTTGTGTATAGAAAATACGAGTTATAGATTGATCGAAAGCTCTGTAAGGTCAGATCATGGCGGCTGCCATTGCGGTTCGAAGACTTGTGAGTGAAGACATGTACGAGACCAGCCAGCTTCTGCCGAGGCTAGACCAAGCGCTGGCGTGTGGATTGAATGAGAAATATGAACTTGGGATGTCTGTACGCAATGAGATATCTGAGCGGAGGTAGGTTTGCTGGGCATGCTATGAACAAAGGTATCCTCCAGCAAACTTCTCAAAGTTTTTTTTTCGGATTTTGGGCAAGTCTTGGCCGAAGAGTTTGCGCAACCTTCAGCTTTCACATGCCAGCCTTGGCATTTTTCCACTACCGCAATTCTTTCATCAGGAATTCGAGTCGACTCCTCAGCGTTCCACAAGACGGGTTGAAGTCGTGACTCAATCTCAGCAGCATCTACGCTCACCTGTCAACAAGCTGTTGCTGCGCGTCGGCGTCCCACTACTTCTCAAATGTAAACAACTCCAAGTAGGCCCTCCCGTCCCTTCCCGTCTTGAAGCCACCGTGTCGTTATTTAAACAAATTCGCGCCTTCGTCAGCAAGATTGTGATAAGCCGACGGCGGCATGGAGCGGCCTATCTGTACAACGAATACGCCTCTGGCGAGAGCGACAATCAGCTCTTCAGTACGTACTCCCACCGCCGTCTGCGACCTCTGACCTTGCCGCTGACCATGATCCCTGATCTGACGGCTCTCTTCAACTTTTTTGTTTTTTCATCGCGTTGTCGGCCAGCAGGCTGGAATTCGGAGAAGAGTGGCGTGGAATTCGAGAGGAGTGAGAAGAGTCAGCATTGAAACTGCCGTGTTGTTAGGCTGTTGCCTGACCAGCTTATCTTTGTGACAATGACCATTGTTGCGACCAAGGCGAGTCTCTCATCCGAAGTGAAAGCACTATCTTCAACAACCTTGCCGCCTGCTTTTGAAGCTTGATCGCAAAACTCTTCTCCTCTACTCATCGAGACCCGGTCGTAGCCAAGATACCAAGTGGCTTATTCTAACACATCTACTGTGATGCCAGCATGCAACAGCTCTTGCATATTCTACCGGCGGCGATACAATCAACCTACAGGCAAGAGCTTCGCGACGAGAGATCTGTACATGGAACATCATACCAAGCCTCGTGTGAGACGCACCACGTTGTTGCCAAGGACAAAAAGAACGAATCTTCGCGCGAACATTCACTCATCGTTCGCTTCCGCAGCCAATGACGATAGCACATGATGTTGGTTCACGAGGCTCTGCCCGGGCAGCAGATTCGGCTCAGCCCTTGCATCGGTCACAGGCACAGGCACAGGCACGGTGCACGGTGCAGCAGCTCAGATCCACATTCATCGGGGATGTTCGACATTGGGGAGAGCGAGAGGGAGAAGAATGCTGCATTTCTCCATAATCTTTCGTTGTGAAGTTTGATGCACCCTTTGGAGAGAGGAGTTTACATTTTACCTAATGCTGGACGGCGATGTCTTGGCAAATCTGTTTTCCTTTGAACCCTGCCCGCACCAGCCATCATCCACTCAAGCGTCTGGCATCGCTCCCGCTGTGCATGTTTGATGCAGTGGAGAAAATGCTATATCACATGGGCGCACACCGCAGCGACATCTACGACTACACGTCTTTCTTCCCGTTCGACGGAGCGATTGTTTACCATCCCTCTTGCTCAACAATCCCGCCTCTTCTAACGACGTGACCGCCGTTCCTGCTGACGACTTACGACTTCCGACTTGTTCGCGATACACCTAGACGTGCTGTAACGACACCATGGCCTCCGATGAACACGAAAGCTCCTTTGCCAACGACCCGTACTCGTGGGATGGTCTGAAGGGATGGAAGAGCTACCGCACCCTGCGCCCGTTTCGAGGCATGTATTGGGATGTCCGGCGACGACTTCCATTCTACTGGAGTGACATAACGGATGGCTTCAACTATCGAACAATGGCCGGTACCGTTCGGATCTTCTTCGTCAATCTCCTGCCTGCGCTGGCATTCGAGTTGGATATGATGAGACGCACCGACGGCTTCTTCGGCATCAACGAGGCCCTCTTCTCCTCTGCCTTGGCCGCCTTGGTGTTCAGTCTGCTCTCGTGTCAGCCTTTGACGGTCGTCGGAATCACCGGTCTGATCTCGCTCTTCAACTACACCATCTTCGACATCTGCGTGCATCAGGGCATTCGAGAGCTGTATCCAGAATTCCTGGCCTGGGTCGCAATCTGGGCTGCAATCACGCATTGGATGTCTTCCATTTTCAACTGGTGTGACTACATGCGCTACATCACAGACTTTTCGAGTAATTCTTTCGGCACCTACGTGTCCATCATTTACATGAGTGAGTGGCAATACTGCGCAGTTCGGGAGCCTGGCTGACTCCTTCCCCACAGTCAAGGGAGTTGAAGAACTAGTCGCTAATTTTGATCAATCGAATCTGGCTGCCGGCTACCTCGGTATCATCATCGCTTTATGCTTCTGGGCCACTGTCTACTGGCTCGAGAACATGGGCGATACGATTCTCTTCAAGCCATACTACCGCAAGCTCCTCGCAGACTATGCTTATCCCATCGCCACGATATTTTGGACGGGATTCTCACACATCCCTGGTCGCATCAAGGACGCTGGCCTACCGCGAATCCCACACACTCGAGCTTTCTATCCCACCATTGACCGACCGTGGTTGATCGAATTTTGGAATTTGCCAGTGAAGTGGGTGTTTGTCGCACTGCCCATTGGCATCTTGCTCACACTACTTTTCTACTACGATCACAACGTCAGCTCCCTCACAGCTCAAGCCAAGCAATTCCCCCTGAAGAAGCCAGCAGGCTTCCACTGGGACTTCTTCCTTCTTGGTTGCACCTCATTCGCCGCAGGCATTATCGGAATTCCATTACCAAATGGCCTGGTCCCGCAGGCGCCTGTGCATACCGACTCGTTGGTAGAGTACACGGATGTGCTCACGGTAACCAAGGAGAAGAAAGACGATGCCCCGGACGACGACCAATGGCTCAATCGGAATCATAAGAAGATTGAGGCAGTGCAAGTTCGCGAGCAGCGAGTGTCGCATTTCCTCATGTGTCTTGCTCTAACAGGCTGCATGACGGGTCCACTATTGACCGTCCTGCACACAATGCCACTCGGACTCTTCGGTGGCGTGTTCTTCGTTGTCGGCTGGAGCGGCATTCCCGGATTCAACATTACCCAGAATCTCCTCTACTGTCTCAAGGAAAAGCGATTCATCGATCCAAACGACCCTCGCAATACTCTCCAGAGACGAAGAATCCTCCTCTTCACATTCTTCCAGCTCTTCGGCGTCCTCTCCAGCGTGGCGATTTCACAGACTATCGCTGCGATTGGTTTCCCCGTCATCATCACAGCTTTGATTCCTCTCCGATGGGTCATCCTACCACGAATCTTCACGGAGCACGAATTGATGATTCTAGATTCGCCCACTGCAGACTCGGACGTGGTGCTTTGTTCGATGGGAGGACAGCCGGAAAGACCTGAAGTACGCATGGCTCGAGAGCGCCGAGAAAAGCGTGATCAGGATGGCGATGGCGAGGGACAGGAGAGCCAGAAGAGTAGCGGCATCAGCAGCTCAAAAGCTGCATCTCCCGGCATGAGATCGAGAGATAAGTTTAAGGACGAGGAGGAGTTGAAGTATGATGAGCGAGAAAAGGAACGGGAGTCGGAAGGTATCAAGACGACGCTGAACACCGGACATAATTAGAGCCGGACATGATTAAAACGAGTTGGTTTGTCGATCTGAGTCGAGCAACTCAATGGACGGAAAAAAGTACTTTGCTCGCATTAGACACGTGGCAATTTGATAAACCCGCAAGGCAAATGATTGTTTTAAATCTCTCTTCATTGCACTCGTTAACTGAAATCTTCAAAAAGTTTCTCTCTCTCTCTCTCTCTACTATATCTACACCTTCACTTCCCCATCATCGTCCTCAAATCAAATCAAATCTCCACCTCCCCCGTCGGCTCCGGCCCCATCTCAACAACATCCCTCTTAGTATAAAAAGGATTACTCATCCCCTCCTGCCCCAGCCAATTCGTCTTCTTCGGCTTCGGTTTCGCCGGCTTAGGAGCAGCAGCCTTATACTTAATCCTCCACGTCTGACAATTGGCCCTGCCGTAAAACGCGTGACTCTTGGATTGCGCGCACATGGCATAGAACTGTTTGTGACAGTAGATTTTCGGGACCCATTGGGCAGGGCGACAGGCGTTGAGGATGGAACCGTCGATCCACACGGAGGCGCCGCCCGTCGAGAAGCCTTGTTTTGCGTAGGTCGAGGGGATCTGCATGTTGGTGATGGCGCAGAAGCGGTTGATGGCTTGCCATGCGATGGGGTGTTTGGCGCGGCAGGTGGAACTGTTGTCGGCGGAGACGAACAGGGTGCCGATTAGGAGGGTGAGGAGGGTGAGGAGTTTCATGATTGGTGAGGGATTGGGGGGTGGGGTTTTTTTTTCTTTTCTTTTCTCTTCCTCTTGGGAGGGGAAGGATTGAGGTGGGAGTTTTTGGGGAGCTGAGGGAGGGACTTTAATGTGTCGGGGAGGGATAAAGATGGTGGTAGGGATGTTCTGCAAGCGTATGGTAGCTGGACCATGAAAGCGTGGTGGAGCTGATATTGTTCATATTGTTCTTGAGAAGGCTTGGCGCTGGTTGGGATCAAAGAGCATTCTTGGCAAGAAAGCTCGACACAAAGGGATTCTTTTTGCTGTTGTACGTCTCCAGGGATCTGTAGATGCTTGAGTTTGGGTCGAATGATCGAGGATCTGTAGTACATGGGAAGATCATGTTCAGATTTGTCTGATTTCGGCCTGTTCTTTGGTTGTGGTCTCTAAAATCGATCAATTCGAGGCGAGAGAGCCTTTGTTGCCGTCTCGGTTCCATCTCGATCCCGCAGCCAGCCCATACTCAGCAAGTCATGTCGGTGTCGATATTCGACTTGTAACACTATGCAAAGGAAGAGCCATTCTCGCGGCTTCCTTAGTCACCTCTCCACAGAACGCCTTCGCTAATGCCAACTCATCATGCTCTTTCTATGTCCCTAACCATGTCGCTCGCTACTCACACGCGGCCCGCCCGCCCAGCCTGAATAATCTCTCCTGTGTGCGGGTCGTCCGCTCGTAATACAGCCCATCCTCGGCCGTCCGCCTTGGCCAGTGTAAGCTCCAGCTTTGTACCCATAATCTTGAACTTGCTCTCGCCAGATTTGATGGGCCCGAACAGTTCCATTTCCGACGCATAATGCTTCTTGTCACTCGTATGCAAGTCAAGGTTCACCCTGGTCCCATCGTCACTGAATTCTACCCTGGACCGATCCTTGTCGATCTTCTTGAGATATAGCGAGGCAATGACAGTGGTTGCCGTCTGATAGAAATCATTGCGGACATCTTTGAGCTCTTCCTCGGACTCTTGATCCTTTTTCTTCCCAACGAATAGATGTCGTGACTTGGTCTTGCATCCTTGAATCTTCATGAATTCGTCAAATTCCAGCACACGGCGTTTGCAGCACGTCCAGCCTTTGCTTCCCTCATGGAACAGAGCCGCGCCGGGGTGATGCACGCATTCTTCGTCATCTCTATTCTGTCCTGCCTTATACGACTTTCCACACGTCTTTCTTTTGCAAGTGGCTCCATCGGGCACAGGAATGCTTGGATCGTCGTCCTCATCTTCGGGTGGTGCAGGAGTCGCAGCTCGCGGGGTCTGCGCAGCAACGGGAGCTCTTGCAACAGGCGGCGGCAGCGAGTCGTTGGCGGTGGGTGTGGGAGCAGCAGCAGCCTTGATCGTGGCGTCAAGCTCTTCGGCGGTCTGTTTAGGTCTCTCAGCGAGAGCAGGCTGGTCGTCGACGGTGCTATGCTTGCCAGTAGTGCATGGTGGAATGCTCATGAACTCGTCGAAGGTGAGTACGCGTGGCTTGCAGCACTTCCATCCTGTCTCGTAATCAGCTTGTTTGTATGGATGGAGGAGAAGTGCTGATTGAGAGGCAGACCTACCTTTCTGACCTTCGTGGAATTCTGGAGGCCTGTTCGGGCATACAGTTAGCCATTTTGCTTCTTCTCACCTGCTAGACCTAGCCGGCGCCCAGGCATGTACATTAAGGTGCCTCGCCGGATGTACGACGCTATTCTCGCTACTCACCCTGGATGGTAAACACAATCCTCGTCCGGATCTGTAAATACCTTTTCGCAGCCTTTATGCACACACTTTTGCGTTTCGGCCATGATTTCTGTGATACGCGGTGACTGATCAGGGAGCAAGTAACTGCTCCTCCATGTGAAATCGCGCGCGATCTATCCGGGGTTGCGTCAGCCACTTCACCCCTCGCCTGCGATCAGCGGGCGTGAAGTGACTGACGAAACCCCGGATATATTGGCCTGATCGAATGCGAAGAAGATCTCTGGAACACTTTAGAAACCACCGTGCAGAAGCTAAGCGCAGCGCCGAGCGGCCGTGCGTCATCCACAACCCCATGCATGTATGCATACACCATACACCTCAATATCATCCACAAACAATTGCGCTTCATTGCACGGAACAATGCAGGCAACGAGAGCGCTCTTCCAGCACTCCCTGAGACTGACACTTTTCACTCATGACCACTGCTCGCTGTGCCACTCCGTGAAGAGCGTGATGTCTCGAGTATGGGACCGTAGGCAGTTTGATTACCGCGAAATCGACATTTTGGCCCCGGAGAACGGGCGGTGGAAGAAAGTCTACGAGATGGATATTCCTGTCGTAAGTGTTGTAGGAATGCTCCCGTCGATTCTGGCTCAAGGCTCTGCAGGTCCACATTGATCGTACCGCCACTCTCCGAACACAACATGACGAGACGACTGCCTCGGCGCGTAAGCTCAAGCATCGTTTTACTGAAGAGCAGCTCGAAAAGGTCATGGACGAAGTTGAGCAGTTGTGAACGCGGCGAGAGTCTTGCCTGGTGCTCCGCCGCATTATTGCCGAATGGAACTACCGAGCCCCTCCATGAACTCTTCGCTGTGGCAGGAATCGGCAACAAGAAGATTACCGTATACGAGGAGAGACGTGCAGCCAAGTCGTCGACGTGGGTGGTCCTATATGTACACTTCACGTCCTATCGCATTTCACATCCATGACCGCTGGAACACTCAAATCACAATGCAGGCAGCAAACAGACTACAGAAAGCCCTGAAGAGCGGCAGGACCAGTCTTGGTGGATGGCAAATGTTTCCAGGAGCGAATCTCAGCAGAGCGATAGCACGCACTCCTGGCATTGATTGGTACGCAAGCGTTGTTGATCTGGGTTGAGACAATCGCTGACCTTTGAGTGGTGCGCTCCAGGATTTGTGTCGACACCGAACATGGAAACATCAGCGATGCTGAGATGCATGAGTCGGTCGCAGCCATAGCAGCCTGTGGTATTTCGCCTGTCGTGAGACTACCAGACGGTCAGCATTGGATGATCAAACGTGCTCTGGATGCTGGTGCCCATGGTATCATCATTCCTCTACTCCGGTCTGTCGAAGACGCCAGGAACATTGTCAAATTCAGCAAGTTTCCACCTGATGGTAATCGAGGACTGGGATCGCCATTTGCCATGGAAAAGTTCGCCGAGCAAGTTCCAAACGCCAAAGAAGTCAGCATGTCGCAGTACTTCCAGGAAGCCAATAGCAGTATCGTAGTGATAGTACAAATTGAGACTGCCTCGGCGCTGGAACAGATTGACCAGATCGCTGCAGTCCCGGGAATCGACGTGTGCTTTGTTGGACCGGTAGATCTAGGCAATAGTAGGTCTCAGGACCATCGAATAGCAGATCCACGTTTGCTAATATGTATTGGCATCCGTCACTAGGTATCGGACACCCACCCCAGAATCTTGGCGTTTATGCTCCCGAGCTCGAAAATGCAATCTCGAAGATCCATGCTGCCACCCAGGCGGCCGCCAAATACACAGCGATGTTCACTGGTAGTGGAGAACAGGCCAAGAAATATGTAGAACAGGGCTTCAACATGGTCAACGTCATGACTGATGTTGGAGCTATCAGATCAAGTTTTGCTCATGCAGCTGCCACTGCCGTAAAGCTGTAATCGTTGAAAAGCTCGAGTCAAGAGCGTTCGAGGATGCTGTGAAGGAGACATTAACCTGCACTTTCTGAATGCAGCCTTCACTCGAGGAAGCTGCTGACGAGGCTCTGTGTCGTTGAGCTCGGCGTTACACTGATTGCTTACTGCTCGCGTGGTACTACATTCACCAAACAACTTAACTTGCAGAAGCTCAAGCTTGATTTGAATGCTCCCAACTACTTTCCGCAATCTGTAACACCGACCGACTGAAATCTCAAAAAAGCACCTGACAACTAGACATCGATCATTCTGCATAAATCCAATACAGTTCCTCCTCCAGCGACGACGCGAGCGCCTCAACACCATGTGCTTCATCGACATCATCCACTATATCTGTGGAGGCGAGGACCAGATCCTGATCGAACGCTGTGTGCTTCCATCGCTATGCATTCCACATGTGCGCCGCACCTTGCATTCTACGACCGTGTGCGAGCTCTGCGGTCGAGCCTGGGAGCTTAGCGCACTCACAGAGGAAGCATACGAAGCCGTCACCACGCCTTTGATCATTGAATCGCGCCAAGCAAGTGGTGGATATTTTGGCTACTTCATGCAATCCGAGCCTACCAGGCCATCGCTGTGCCAAACGCAGCTGCCTACTTCCCCGGATGCAACTGCACTGCCAGAGCTCCCGAGGAAGCAGTCAACCGCAGGTCTTTACTATTCTCACGAGATCTCTATTCCGATTCGAGAGCGGCCACAAGGAGCTTCAACTTCTCCAAATACACGCTCGCCTTCGAGCTGCCAGTATCTGCACCAAGCACAACATCCGCCTCCATCCCCACTGAAACATAGCAATACGGCACCTTTCGTACATAGAAAGGCACACTCACGACGACACAGTTGTTAACGACCAGTCGGCAGCGTCCGCCAATATGCCCATATCCGCCCAAGCTGATGAACAGCATGACTCTCCTGCAAAGGCATCCACGGACAATCTCTCCGTCGGCGGGAAGGAGCGGGAATTGGTCGATGAAAAGCTCACGTCTGCAAATGACAAACAGAAAGGAGGGGAAGACCAGAAACCGAAAATTGACCTCGAAGATGCGTTTCGCAGATTGACGATGTCGTCGGGTGGAACAGCTACTTTCCCTGGCTCTAATACCGGAGCGCTGCCACTGAATTACTATCAACAAATCATCACCGAATGTATCATCGATGCAATGCCCGACGAAGCACAACGCCACCTCTTCCATTGTTTGATTATTGCGATATTCGAAAGCGACTCCTCCAAAGAAATTCCATATGGTACATGGAGAGACCAGAAGTCAGACTGGATTCTCATTCTCAAAGCGGTGAGCGGGAAAAATCTCGAACCGGGAAAGCCCGAACATTCTCTTGACACTGTTGAAGACCAAGACCGGCAAAAGGAGATTGTGGCCCTCAATGCAGACGTAGTGCAATTCTTTCAAAAATAGGATTTGTTGCAGGTCTGGGGTTCACGGAAAATATTCTCCTTATTGCCATACGTATGTATGCAGCCTCCGGCACCGACTTCTGCAGCAGCATCGCCGATAGATATCTCGAGTCAGCATGCTCGAGAAGGAAAGCCTGCTTCGAATGTCGACTAGAAGACGTCACGAAGTCCCGATCAGAAACACAGCGAGGCTTCCGAAGCGGACCGAATACTGCAAGGCTACTTCCAACAACTTCCTGAACTGGAAGAAAGTCCTCCTCCAGAGGACACATCAAGCGTGTCATCGTTGGAGATCACCACAACAATAAATGCTGTCAAGGAACTGGTGTTGCGGTACCCCGATTCATTGGACCTCGACAGCAAGTATCTTGAGCTCTTGGCAAAGAAGTCAAACATCGAAGCCAGGGTGGATGAGTGCGAAGATGATCTGTCTCGGTCGGAGAGGGTCGTACAGCACGGAGCATATCCCTTGCATGGGCAGAGCGACATGAAGCGCATGTATCATGCTGCAGGCGAGGTTCGCAACGGCACTTCTAGTCATGCGCGCGAGCTCCTGGATCTCATAGATTTGAGGGCAGACTTGTGTCGAGTCGAAATGGAGATTGCAGTACATCTTGCAGGAAAGTCTGAACGCAGACGTTCATGAGCGGAATTGTGTTGTGGTTCTGATGCCAAGGAGCGCCTTGAAAGGCACATGATTGAAGGTGACGCAAATCTCGATTGCTTAGGTCGGAGGTGGTTGCCAGAGTCAAATGGAGAAAGTGAGATCGATATCGTGTCACGACTCTAGATCGATCGCTTTCCAGCTGTGATGTTCTTCAAGAAGCAGACCAGCATCCTTCCACGTCTCAAAATCGACCTGCTTCTAACCCATCAACATGTGTCTCTTCGATGCCTTCATCTACACGCCCTGTAACCACTTGACTTCACATTTGCGCAGAAGATGCCGTCGCTCACCCTTGTGCAAGGTCAGATTTACTAGGCCCCAAAGAGTGGCATTTGCCTGTACTTCATGCACCTTGGAGCAGGGAGTACTCAATGCCGCAACTCTGGAGGACGTGAGACTTCGGGCCAGACGGGAAGATTTTTGGCAAAGAGCAGAAGTCGGATGGCGCAGTCAGGTCTTGAAAGATTACTACTTGATGATGGTCGATCGGGTAGCTGGTCCGGCGAGGTGCGAGGGTGAGCGGAGGACGAGGCTCTTGATGCATTAAGGTCCGAGCGTGAAGGGCTAGGACTTGTCGGCATAGTTGTCTGGAGCTTATACAGGCCATAGATCGGGCTTCATGCTGCGAGGCGATATCTCCGCAGTCAAGATCGTGTTCCAGGGCTGAAGCTTCTCGTTCTCAGCACAGTCGCTCGCAGCTTACAGATTCATATCACAAGATGACACGTCTCGTCTCGGCAGGCAATTTCGTATCTTCGAGCGAGACTGGCCCTTCTGTGCGCAGCATATTTTTGCCCGTTTATCCGACACGTCCAGCAGGAGGCGAATGGTCAGAGCAATCATGACAGGCGCTCAAGATAGCCTTGCTGTATCAGTCTCTCCACGTCACCCTGTCGAACATAGAACTGACTGTTCTTTGTCAAAGTGATGGAGCCGTACTCGGTCTGAATTTCGCCCGCATCCTTCAAAACGCGTACATCGATGAAGATATCCCTCGGCGGCTCCAGACTCCCGGTGAGATCGATATCGGTCCACTGGCCTTTGTATGCCGCAAGGAGATCGCTGTATCGATGAACATATTGCTCCTCTTCTGCACTCATGCTGCTGGTATTGCCATCCTGGCGACCAGATGATGAAGCCTGCGCAGACGCCAATGCCAGATCTGCGACATCCACACCTTCCCAGCACATCGCCTCGAGCTTATCCGTGCGGGTTTTGTGATATGCCAGAAGACAGCGCTTGTTGCGGCGCATGGACAGGTGGTTTACCAGTAATGCGCATGCCATTGACGGATCTTCTGCCGGATTGAAGGATGATTTCAACTGAGTGCCATCGCTGGATTGTGAGTCTCCCGAGCTGTAGGGCGCTAGAAGAGCGTTTGTTTCCCGATCCAGATCTCGAACTTCTTTGGTCACTGCGCGTACGGTCGTTGCTGCGTACGGCGGGAGATTGGGCAGGCCTCGAGTCCGCTTGGCATCTTCGACGAGCTTGTTGGCCTGTTCGGCGTACATGGTTGTGGTGGCAATATGGGAAGCCGGAAAATTGGTGCATGCTCTCTGGAAGGTCGATCAGATGAAGTGCGTACCTTCACTCGATGAATGAGAAATCAAAGTGACGCGCCTTGTTAGACTTCGGACAGAACTTGACGCGAACGTCTACTTTTGTCACCAAGGCTCACGACCACTGCCTCACAAGTCATAACAACCCGCCTTCACACCACATCACACCTGACCAGCCGACATACATCGTCACTGCATCAGACTCCGCCTCGCGTCGACGGCGACAGCATGTTTACGCTCTGCAGTTGCTTCGGAGCGGACTTGCGACACTCCATACCACAACACCGCCAATCTTGCATTCCAGAGCAATGGACCGCGACCTGCTCAATAAGAAGCAGATATTCGACATCTTCGACAATCTTGACGAGAGCGATGATGAGCCAGATGACGGACGAAGAGCCTCTGAGCAGGCCCTGAAGAAGAAGTCTCTGCCGAAAGCTCCGCTGCCTTCGATCAAGGCCGACGACTCAAGACCATTGGCTCGCTCGACATCGGACACGACCTTGACTTCACGCGAGCTGGCTCGCAAGGTCCATGTCCATGTCCATGTCCATGTCGATGCAGTGCCGTCGTCTACTGATCCTCTCGGTGCCGCTCGAAACAAGCCTCTGCCACCCAGCACCCTGAGGAAAACTGTGAGCGACGTCGCAAGAAAACCTGCTGCACCAGCTCCAGTGACTGGAAAGAGAAAACGTGAAAGCTCTTTCAAATGTGCCCCAGAAGACCAACAGATCTTTCGCCGTCTAGTCTTCTTCTTCTTTCCAAATGATGACAAAAACCCAGTTCGTCGTATGCGAATCAACAAAGCACGTGAGTATGGTGCAGTCTGGCAGCGCGACTTTGACGACCAGGTAACGCATGTCGTATCGGACAAGAACATGGATTTTGCCTCTCTACTGAAGTGGCTCAAGTTGGAGCAGCTGCCCACACAAGTCAAGGCAGTATCAGAGGCCTGGCCTGCCGAATGTCTGGCCTACAAGACCCTTTTAGATCCGACACATCCGCGATTTACAATCAAAGGCCAACAGCAGCGAGTGGCGCCCCAAGTGCCATCTACAAAGCCATCAGTCAGCGTGGAAAAAGCAGCAGTGATTGACTTCGCTGATGAGCCGGAGCCTTCTCGTGTTCCTGCAAGCTTCATTGATATGACCATTGACAGTAGCAAAGAGCTAGACGATGCCATTGCACGCGCGAGACAGCTTCAACACATACCCCTCGATGATGAAGAGGCCAACAGCCGACCCATCAGCTCCGAAGGTCCACTGTCAGAAGAAGAGTCTGGATCGGGTGGCCTCAAACTCTTGGCACAACGTACAACCCAGCGGAAAAGGTTACAGGAGCAAGAGAAATGGCAGTGCATGCAGAAGCACGATGGCAAAAAGTCGGGCAATCCGAATGAAGCCACAATTAATATCCTTCAGCAGATGGCAGACTACTACGGCCAGCTTGGAGATGAGTGGCGAATCAGGGCATACCGCAAAGCCATTGCGACATTGCGTAACCATCCGGTCAAGGTGAGCACCAAAGAACAAGCTGGAGCCCTGCCAAACGTCGGCCCTCGATTAGCGGAGAAGATAGAGGAGATTGCCTTCACAAATCGACTGAGACGACTGGACAACGCCAAGGCAGAACCTCGAGACCAAGTTTTGCAGACATTCATGGGAGTATATGGCGCAGGCCTGAAGAAGGCCACGGAATGGGTGGAGCAAGGATATACAACACTTGACGAGCTCATGGAGAAAGCAGAGCTTACGGAAAACCAGCGCATTGGAATAGAGCACTACGAGGACTTCAAGACACGCATCCCTCGTGCCGAAGTCGCTGAGCACGGCAGTATCGTACGCCGAGCTCTGCATGAGATTGATCCAGCATTCGAAGTGATCATCGGTGGCTCCTATCGACGCGGCGCTGCCACGTCAGGCGATATCGACTGCCTGATCACCCGTCCCGACACAGGCCCCGATCATCTCCGAAACATCGTCTTGGGTCAATTAGTCCCGCGACTGACCGCCGCAAAATTCCTCGTCGCTAGTCTCGCCATCACTTCTCGCGATGACGGAAGTAAATGGCACGGCGCGTCTTGTCTTCCTGGGAGCAAAATTTGGCGTCGCCTCGACTTGCTTCTAGTCCCATCAGATGAACTCGGAGCCGCATTACTGTACTGGACCGGAAACGACATTTTTAATCGAAGCTTACGACTCCTGGCGAGCACGAAAGGTCTGCGTCTCAATCAACGGGGGCTGTACAAGGATGTCTTGCGAGGGAAAGCACGTGTCAAGCTCACGGATGGTACCCTGGTCGAAGGTAAAGACGAGAAGAAGATTTTTGCGGCTTTGGGAGTGCCTTGGCGGCCGCCTGAGCATCGTATGTGTTGATGAGAGAAAGTGAGAAGATGCTGCATGCTCGAAAGGGCATACTATAGTTGAACAGATTTCGCACCACTGGTTTCAGGTCATTGGGCTCTTTGACCAATACTGGAGTTTGGGCAATTCTTGAGAGTATCTCGACCGAAAGGAAATCTTTCAATTCGAAATTTATCCATCTACGTAACAGTAAAAGCCACCCATTCCTCCTCTTCCTCCTCCACATCCTCGAAAAGAAAAAAAGTACAGACCAAAAAAAAAGTTTGTGGCTATCATCCAGCCATGGTATCTCAAAAAGCGATTTGCCATTCCCATAACACCGACCTCAATGCCGTCGCACCATCACATGTGAAAAGTTGTTAAGCGATACCCAGACCGACCCTGCCAGCCTCAAGTCCATCACGTCCTCCTCCTCTCTCGCGCATCCTCCTACCTTCCATCAAACCTCTCAAGCCTCGTTTTTGCAGTCCGACGACCGAACTCAAGGCCCCGTTCCACACTTCCTGATACTCTTTCCTGCTCAAGCGAGAGCTGAGACTCATTTCACTCTCGCTCATGCTGGCGTCTGTAGCAGCACTCATTGGCTCCTCCTCGTTGTCTTCGTGAGCTGTTGGGAGGTCTCCCGGCCGGAGCGTGTTGCGTGGGTTCCGACCATTGGCCATCTCGGTATCGATCCGGAGAGCTGATGCCGAGCGAGAGCCGTTGGCCAGAAGGCCTTCCAAGCCGGCAAGGCTATGTGTGCGGATTGGAATGTGGTCGGATGGAATGCTGCGAGCCGTGGGAGTAAAGTGTACGCTGTCACCACCTCCTGCGCCCATGGCTGCAGCGTTGAATATTGCAGCAGCATTTCGGCCATCGAGACATTGGTGCAGACGCTCAATGGTGGCTTCGAGCAGGCCATCGATCTTGTAGGGACGGGCCAATTGTAGCAGGGAGCAGAAGATCTGAGGCGTCGCTAATGGATGTGGTGGTGCAGGTAATGTTGAACTGTATAAGTAATGGAGCAACGCATGCAAAGTAGGCGCAGTGTGCGGCAAGTACAATAGTCTTGGTCGCTTCGACGGGGGTGCTGTCCGCGTGTCTGGCACAGCGGTCTCAATAGCGTTGCTGTTGTTCGTGAGGGTGGTGCCACCAGATGTGACAGATGCTGAGCCCGTGATGGTAGTGCTTGAGTTCCGTGAGGGATGACCTGACGCCTGTGGCCGAAGAGTCGCAGCGTCGGAGTCTCCAGACGCAGACATTAATGACTCGCGTAAGAGAGTGACGAAGTGCGGACCCCAACGGCGTGCTATGAGGTGTGAGTTTACAGGTACACGAGTGCCGTCGATGGCGAGGAAGTCCATATCTGCAAGCTCTTTGACATTCAGTGCAAGAGCGCCAATGTCTTCTGCCGCCGAACTGAGCAGTCTGCCAAAAGCAGCATCCTCCTTCGATTGATGCGGAACCAACGGCGGTGGTATTGCGCTGGCAGAGACGTAGGCAGAGTTTGGTTCAGCCGTCCTTGGATTCTCATAGAGGCCGAACGCTTCCAGCTCGACCACGCAAATGTTCGAAAAGTTGATGCGACGGTTGTTGTAGTCGTCCACTAAACTTCGCTTGCGGTTGCCGAGGATCACAAAAGCATTTCGGCGGCTCCAAAGAACACCTCTGTTCCAGCTGCCTTGACTGAAAATACTCCCACCAGCGTCGATCCGACTCCATGTCAATGTTCGCAGATCGAGCGCCCACAAAGCATATTCCTGCTTCGACGAAGTCAGGAAAGTCCCGGAAACCACGAAATGGTTATCTATCACGCCTCCATTTGGAAAGCGTAGACCTGGCGGCGAGACGGCGGTCTGCATTGGCTTTTCTGTTAGAGTCCCATCGGTCAGGCGCACTTGAAGCTCCAATTTGACGTCCAAGAAGTTGTAGTTGGAGTAGATTAGCATTGGCGATCCAGACCCGATTGTGGTGGGGGTGGCATCATCGTCTTCCTCCTCGATATCACTCCTCGCGTGAGGTCCAGCACCAATTTGCGTGGCAGACATAGTTTTCAGTGGAGTAACCACGCTTCGGTATGCTCCGCAGCTTCGTCCCATTCCTGTAGTGCCTGTCCACTTCAGGCTTCGCAAATTGAAAATGCTCACTTGCTCGATATAGTGGTTGGCGCTATCTTGGCCGCCGACCACAACCATCTCCGCACCTCCAGTGCCATCGATGTTCACACCAAGCGTCCCTTGGTTCGGGTTGTCACCTTCGGGATTGTGGTGGAGAGCAGAAGTCGGCGCATCGCGAGAGGCAAACACAGCAGCAGAGGGCAGGATCGCTGCGCAATGCGCATAACGGCCTTGAGGCGCATCAGGCGTATTCACTCGTGTCCATGTTCGAGAAGGCACATCGTATATGTGGACATCCGACATAACGATCACTTCTGGTTGTGCTTCTGTGCTCAATTCAGGTGCCGGGGCAGGCGACATACCGCCATAGCATACCAGCTTGGTGTCACCGAGCGCGCATACGCTGTGGAAGTATCGCGGTGGTGGAACGTCACCTTTCGTCTCAAGCTTGGTCCAGTGACGCCTGATGAGGTCAAGTTCGTACAGATTTGCGGTGAGCTGAGGTTTCGTCCTCGATAGTCGTCGACCACCAAAGACATAGAGTTTGTCTCCAAGAACAGTCGTCGTTGCTCCGACCAGCGGATGCGGCTCTTTGCCAGTAGTGCGATGCACATTGCAGACCAGACCGGACAGATTTGCTGCGCTCGCTGCTGGTGTCACCCGTGGATTTGCAGAACTCGTCGCCTGGGATGGTGTGTGAGATCCGGGAGCATCTGCAGCATCATCTTCGGCAGTGGATTCTGCTTCCGAGGCAGATTCATACTCCGATCGCATGCCCACCAGGCTCACTTGACTACTCTGTGCGCTGAGGTTGGATGTTGATGCTTGGCCATCATCGTGGACGTACAGCTTGTCTGGAGAAGGTGGGGACGTCTTCGAGTCCATCGTGTTGGTTCGACTGGATTCAGGTGTAGCCTCAGACATGTCGGGCGGTGAAAGTTGAGTGATGTCGAAGTAAGGACTGGTAGTGGTGGGCTTCGTAAGTGGTGGCAAGGCACAATGCTTTCTCGCGTACGGGTTCGCAAACTCCGGGATCTTCAGCTCCACATGCCTAGGTGATGAGCGTGAGCTGGCGGGGAGCGTCTCGTAAGACGGAGGCGTCGAACGCTTTGGCGATACGGATGAAGTGCTCGATGTTGTAGAGTAATTGAATGATCCAGATCCGAAATCGGGCAGATAGGCCGGCACGTAAGAATATAGGTCTGGGATGACAATAGGCACGTGCTTCGGTCTGGACGCGCACCTGTTAGAAGATGTCGTAGGCGAAGAAAAGTCAAAGGAATCGTGAGGCGAGGCTTCGTCGCTGATGGTGGAGAGTGAAGCCGAGCGCTCTGTGTTTGCGTCCGAGAGCAGAGGAATTTCCGTGATGGGCAGAGAAGGCTTCCTCTCCCTCGTCAGAGCAGAGACCCAGGAGCGTGAAGACTTTGGAACAGGCGGGGTCTTTTCGGGGTTGGTCTTGCTGAGGGGCGATCTTTCTCTCTCCACAGATCGGCTGGTCGACGGCCTTGAGTCGATTGAAGTGGCCTTGGACGACTTTCTCGATGCAGGTCTGCTCTTGGAGCTGGAGTTGCGGTCGTGCGGAGCGGCGGCCGCTGGGTAGGCAATGACGCCTAGAGGGAACGACATCTGTGGTCAGCTCGAAGCCTAACTGTCCAATGCGTAGGGGAGGAATAATAATAATCAATGTTTGGTACTCAACGCGCACAACAAGGCAGGCAGAGGGATGTTAGAAGCGCAGTCCAGGAGGACAGATGGACAGTTGGGACTCTTCCATGCTCGGGGCACTGGGCATCGGGACTGCACCAGCCGTCTTCGTCGTGGCAGGTGGCTAGCACGCTCGTTCTCCAAGCGCGGGCCAGGTGGATATCGCGGAGGGCAGACTGCGGAGGCGGAAGACGGTTGTTTGACGGCGGTCCAGTCCATATGCAGGTATCCTGCTGTGCCATGCTGCCGGATGTTTTGCATCGTGTGTTTGTTTCCTCGCGACGGCAGGGATACACGGCCGGAACCACAATGGCCGAGCGGGTGCTGCGGACGGGCACGCTAAGGAAGGCTGAAGTCAGAGACTCACCTGGTCGGATTGGCCGCGGCGGTCGATATGTGTGTGTGTGTGCTGCAGTGCAGGTGGTTTGGCGTATGGCTACGCTCACTCCGTCGTTGAAGGATGGATGTGCGCTGGTGCGCTGCAAATGGACTAGCGCCGCCAGCAATTAGACTTTCACCTTGCGCTGCCGGGCCCCACTCCTTGCTCTCCATCTGCTGCGACCACGAGAGAAGATTTGGTTCTGCTGCTAATTTCTGCTACATGAACGGTCCCTGGCGAACGACCAGCTGCCGTGCAATACACTTACGCCGGCGACTTCGCTCAGACATGGTCGCAGAATGCGCCCGCGACGGAGCGACGAGCGACGCAATGCCCCCGAGGGCAGAGATTGCGACGCATCTTGATTTCTGCTCTCACATCATCATCTGCATCGGCTGCGTACAGCAGTTCGCCGGCTGACCTGCACGCAGCCTCCCGGCCATTCACGCACCTCTTCGGCTGTACATTTGATCGCCGCGCATAACAAAGCAATTCATCCCACTGGTCATGGGGAGAACACGAGCAACGAACGTCGAAGCCCCGACGACCGTCGTCCTGGCGTGCAGTCGGATGGCCGTCCCATGGGAGCAGGAGGCCCGGCCCTTTACACTCCTTCACCATTTCCGTTACGACTGCTTCCGGATCGTCTTCCTGACACATCCGTGCGAAGCGAGCCTCCCGATCATATGATTTCGTCAAAGTGAGGCTGCAAACAGACGTTCAGGGAATGCCTCGTAAGGCCTGCCCCTGCTTCCCTTTTCAGAGAGAGCTTGTGAGCGGCTTCAAATTGCTATGTTTCGGCTCCATAGTGCACTCAATGTTCATGTTCGAAGACTTTGCGCAGCTCGGCGGGCATAGTCGCATCTCGCAACCAATCGAGCTGCCGCGGGATCCACGTTTGAGACCTGCGAGTGGCGCTCATCATCGCGTTCCCCAGCTGTCAGGCTGTGCGGACCGCTGGATTGCGTGAAACTTAGATCTCCGTGCCGCCCTGTAGAAAACTTCCACCAAGTACAGCAAGGATACGCGTGGAACATTGTTACGTGCGTTCATACTCATCAATGAGTGCGTGTTGGCTCATGGTCGTTCTTCATTAAACGTCGCTAACCTAATTCAAGCTCCTTCCTCATTGAAGAGTAGCAGGAACGCACTTTCCGAGATATCATCAAGCCAAGCTCTTGTAGTGCTCTTTCAAGAGCAGGTCTCAGTCGATCGAAATTCCCCATTCCTGGCCCCAAACGTGTTTGAACATCGTTTCACCAAGTCTATTCCGCATTAGCATGAATTCTTGGAGAAGCAATCGGTCGATCTGTAGGAGCTCTGCCGTACTTACCATACATTGGCAGAAGTCTCTTCCTTTGGCAGCGGAGTGAAACGGAGGTATGGCTTGACGACGTTCATCTTCGGGAACAGCTTCTCAGCCTCTGGGCTCTTGACCGATGGGTGAACAATCACATCATCACCTGTATTCAGAACATATTAGAAATGTACTGCACGTCCGAGCGCATTCTGCCTGCAGCTTACCTGGCACCCAGTTGATTGGAGTGGTGACTCTGTGCTTGTCGCCGGTCTGGAGAGAGTCGACCACGCGGAGAACCTCAGCAGTGTTGCGGCCAGTCGAAGCTGGGTAAGAGAGGATCAGACGGATGGTCTTCTTTGGATCGATGATGAAGACGCTGCGGATGGTGAATGCGATGCCCTTCTCGTCGACGTTGGTGGCGTCTTGATGGTCGATCCTGGTCACGCAAAGTCAGCAGTTCGCTCGCCAAATTGACCAGGCTGACCAATCTTCCGGCCATGGAATGCTCACATGTCATAGGCAAGAGCAACCTGGCGTTGCTTGTCGCCGATGATTGGGAAGCGGAGGTTGCTGCCCGAGATCTCGTTGATGTCCTTGATCCAACCGCCATGGCTCTCAATGGTATTGGCACTGAGACCGATGAGCTTGACACCGCGCTTGGTGAACTCTGGCTCGAGCTTGGCGAAAGCACCAAGCTCAGTTGTGCAGACTGGTGTGTAGTCCTCTGGGTGGGAGAAGAGAACGACCCAGTTGTCGGCGATGAACTCGTGGAAGTCGATTGGGCCGTTGGTGGTCTCGGCTTGGAAGTTTGGCGCGATGCTGCCGAGGCGGAGAGGTGTGGACGACATATTGGTTTGGGGGTTTGTTGTGTTTGGCAGTGGTGGTTGTTTTGTGAGCGCGCTCGAGTTGTCTTCTAAAGTCGGAAGAATTATCACGAGCGAGTCGAAGGTCGAGGCGTGCGTGTGATGAATAAACAAAAAAATTAGCTTCATCACCTTCGAAGACCCCGCGATGGCGACATCGCGGGCTTGCAAATTCTGCCCCTCCATCCTTTGTCTCCAAGGCACCGAAATGGCAAAGACGCTTAGCAGCACGAGCGCTGCCCCAACCAGCATTGTTCTCCGAAAATGGCTCTCAACCTATTGAAAGCGTCCAGTGTCCACACTATGGCCTGATCTCATCACATGCAATCACGGTTTTCGTGCCTTCGCAAGGACGGTGGCCGCGCCGACGTTGAAGTCAGGGTCTTGAGCAGGACGCACTCGCGCATGCAGGGACAGATGCTGTGTCGCGTGAACGATCCGAATCCTGGCAGAGCCTAGCACTGCACTGGACAGTAGTGGTACAACTTCAGAAGGCTGCCGAGTCGCCGACCTTGCTGGCGTCGTTCGGGGGTCATCCTCTCCCTGACACTGCGGTCGATCTGCTGATTCTACAACCACCTCGCCGACACACGGAATTACAGGAGGAAACAAAAGCTATGCTTCGTTTTATGTACTGCTGTCGCATGTGCTTGAGTTCCCTCCGGGTCGCCAATATTGACCGGGATGCTGGCACACCAATCGAGACTGCAGCGAGGCCGAAAGCGAGGGAGTTCATATCTACAAAATGAGACGGCTTTGATTCCTCTGATGAGTTCAATGGCGTGAGGCTCCAAGTGTGGAAAACGCATCGCGGCATGTTCTCTCAGCAGTGGGATTATTTCACCCTCTACCGAGCGTCGGCCATTGATGGCCACTTGCAGAGGGAGGTATTACAGCATCTCCTCCTCCCTCCGGTCGTGTAGCGCTCCAGACCGGCGGCTGGTTGTGGAATGTATGCCAGATCATTCGCAGGCGCTGCCCTGACCATGCTAGTGAGACTTTGCTCTGGACGTAATCTTCTCGCGCGTTTTGAGATGCTGCTGTCCTGCTGACTGCGTTGAAGAAGGCATACGCATAACTTTTCCATTGTCCAGGAGATCATTTGACTCCCATATACCGCTTGGATATAGACTTCGTCTCTTCTCTTTTCACACCCTGAGCCGATCCTGCGTTGTGCTCACAGCGGCTCTCTCACTATGACGCGTGAAAATGCTTGCGACGACGAGAGTGCGCGGTGCCGAGAGGGATGGGACTCGATGGTAGTGGAGGATGAATTTTCGAGACAGTCCATCTAAAGAGATGTTCGCAAGTCACGTACATACATTGCGGTATTCAGCAGCAGACAACGACGAGAAGATGCCAGTGACATCGGCTTCAAAACACCTGCGCCTGAAGGAGATGACTGCTGGCAAGGCTTGCGGCCGAGACTCGGACGATCTCCCAAGCCTTTCGTGCGGAGAAACGCACTTTTCCTCCCTCTCCCCTCCCCTCCACATGCGCACACTCGTCTGTGTGAGGTGAGCCTCAGTGCATCAGAGACGCCACCCGCGAAGCTTGTTGGCTATGCTCTTAGAGAATCATCACGGTCGAATTTGCATTCGAGTATCGTGGTGACGAAGAAGCGGCCGCAATGTTCCGCGAACTTGAGTGCTGCTCACATGCCTCCATCGTCCGGGAGATTATCTGCCAGCGATCTCATAGGACGAAAAGGTGGCCGCGTATGGAGACTATGGCTTCGGAAAGACGGCGCACCTTCTGCAGGCACATGTTAGCGTTACTGCAGTACAAACGCCAGCTAATGGAGGTCTTTGGCGAGTGGTCTGCTCTCTTCTCTTTTCACATATTGTACCGTCTCTTTGCGCGCCTGCATTCCCAATTTCAATGACGGCATGGCAGTCCAGAACTCCGCGCGAAGCCCTTCCGCCACGCATCGTGATGCCAGCAACCCAGAATACTCCCAGGAAGGTCTGAATGAAGATTCGAAAGAGAATCTTTGCTCCGATTCGACCAGTGGTCTGGCACGACCTCTCAGCATTCACGATTTTCAAAATGCAGACATCACTTGGCACTATCTGGAATTCGACACACATTTACCGCAGCCTGCATATCTATCGCATCCGGAGCTTCATCCTGCACCTCGAGTCCAACCACCACAATGTCCAGACTTGCGGAATTACGCTTCACCCTTTACCTGGGCAAAGTCGCGGAAGTCGGTGATGATGTGGATATCCTGCGCCGCCACCATGTTCACCGCTTACAATGCTGGAGCTTACACCTCTGGGCTTGATCAAATGATGGAAGAATGGCAGGTGCCCCAGGTCGTCGGCCTTCTCGGCGTCACTCTCTTCACGCTGGGCTTCGGACTGGCCCCGATGTTCCTAGCTCCCTTCAGTGAGATCAATGGTCGGAGGCCAGTGTTTCTGCTGACTGGGGTTTTGTTTGTGATATTCCAGTGAGTCGAGAGAAAATGCCAAGAACATCGAGAATTGCATTCGACTGACTTTCGTGCCAGAGTGGTTTGCGCCGTCACACCCACTTTGGCTGGCATGCTTGTGTCGCGATTTCTTGTAGGATGTTTCAGCAGCACGTTCAGCACCATGGTTGGAGGGGTCATAAGCGACATCTACCACGCAAAGGACCGCAACACTGCGATGACGCTGTTCTCTGCCTCAGCTCTGACTGGAACTGGACTAGGACCTCTTGTCAGCGGCTTTATCGGCCAAAACATGACCTGGCGATGGATATTCTACCTCCAGATCATCATCGACGGCGTTCTAATAGGCTTTGTAATACTGTTCTTCAAAGAGACTCGTGGCTCGGTATTGCTATCTCGCAAAGCTCAAAAATTGAACAAGTACTACGAAGCTCTGGAGTCCGCCGGATACTACGGCCTTACAATCTCCTCCACAAGCATGAACATGCAGTCACAACTCGAGAAGCCATCATCGACAGCACCAAATCACTCCACACGAACCACAATCCCCCGACTTCGCTGGAAAGTGCTCGCCGACGAAGAACGCGCCTCCCTAAGCACCATGCTCCGCATCTCCCTCCTCCGTCCCTTCCACATGCTCATCACCGAACCCGTCGTCTTCTTCTTCAGTCTCTGGATCTCCTTCTCCTGGGGCGTCCTCTACATGACCCTAATCGCAGTCCCCCTAATCTTCTCCACAACCTACTCCTTCAACCTGCAACAAACCGGCGCAATTTTCTCCGCATCAAGCATCGCAAGTCTCCTCTTCACCTTCGTCGCCATCTACCAAGAAAGAATCCTAAAACCCCATCTCCCCGAAACCCATCAAAAAATCCTCGACACCCCAGAAGGAAGATTGTATTTCGCATGTGCCGAATCCGCGCTCTTGCCGATTGGATGTCTATGGCTGTGCATTTCAGGCTCATATCCGAATTGTCCTTGGATCGTACCAGCTTTAGGACTCGGATGTGCAACGATCGGTATCTTTAGTGTCTACCTCTCCGTCTTCAACTACCTCGCAGACTCCTACCACCGCTACGCATCAAGCGCGCTAGCAGCACAAAGTTTCTGTCGAAACATGCTCGCCGGAGCCTTCCCATTATTCACACGCCAGATGTTTTCCGCCATGAAATTCCAAGGCGCAGGCGCATTTCTCGGGGCTATAGGGTTTCTTTTAACAGGGGTTCCTTTGGTTTTGGTTTTGTATGGGCCGAAAATTCGAGCGAAGAGTCGATTGGCCAGTGAGATTTTGAAGAGTGATGCATAACGATAGCATGATTTCAGATTACAGATTATGGAGCGAAACGAAGGACTGTGATAGAGATAAAACAACTACGAGACATTTTTCAAACCAAACCAAAAAAAACCCCCCCAGAACAAATTCGAAATCCTTGTTAAGTAAATCCATCCTCCATCCACCAACCATTATCCCTCACCTGCCATTCCCTCCCTCCCTCCCTCACTAACTCAATACCTCACCCGCTTCGACGGCGACGCCGGCCCCTTAGAAGGAGAAGCAGAACCCGCAGCCCTCTTCCTCGCCTTCTCAACAACACTACTCCCAATCGCACACCTCTCAACCTCTTCGCGAGAAATTTCTGGTAAATGCCAGGGCCATTTCTCCGGTTGAACGATCTCGTTGAAACTCTCCGCAGCTTTGAATTTTGGTGCAGCTGCAGCAGAGACGGCAGGAGGTTCAGGACTGCGGAAAGCGCTGGAAATGCTACCGGCCAGTCTGCCTGGGATGGAAGTGATGGATTCGAGAATTCCGGGGGATTGGGGTGCGGGAAGGGTAGGTTTTGCGGTGGATTCTTCGTGGCCTGGGGAAGAAGAAGAAGAAGGGTTTGTTAGTTTATGGGCTAGGCTGTGAAGATGATGTGAATTTTTGTTTTGGAAGGACTTACTTCTCGCGAGGTCTGCGTTGATCTGGTCACTCATGACTTTCTCCATATATGGCGTTTCACCAAAAGGGAAGTAAGGTGGCATTCTACGATGCCAGATTTCTGCGGCTGGCATGGTTTGGAAGAAAGGGTTTTCGCGGTCTTGTGGGCCCTTGTGAGGTTCTTTCAAGTCGTTGACTTCGACCCAGTCTTTTTGGATTGGTGGGACGACATCGCCGCGACCTTTATCGCTCTGTGGCCATACTGTCTGACCGTTTTCGAGATACTTGCGCTTGTAAGTTGGTTTTGCTGGGGAACGTGGTGCGTCGGTACCTTGGCGTCGTTTTCCTGGAGATGTGGACTTTGTGGGAGAGCGTGCAGGAGTGGTAGCCATTTGTCTTTTCGGAGTGGATGGCGATCGACCAGGGGAAGATCTTGCAGGCGTGAGGCGACTGGGCGAGAGTTGAGGAAAGTTATCATCGCGCGATCCTGCCACGCTTGCTGTCTTGTTTGCTTGTCTTGCTCTCCTGCCAGGGCTGCTTTGAGAGTGCATCATAATGCCGGAATCACCATATGTACTTGGAGCTTGTTCCTCTTGGGTTCCGTGAGTGTTAATGACTGTCTCAGTACGCTGCATCGCTGCCATTCTGCCACGTCTCTGAGCCTTGTTGTACTCACTCCTGGAGAGAAAATAAAGAAACTCGGGGTACGGCTCCATAGGCTCGCCACGCGTCTCTTCAAGGAAAGCCTGACGCTCAATCTCTTTGAAGATCTCAGCCCTGTCATAATCTTCATCCGGCTGTGCTATGCGCCTTTGAAGACGACCTGTTTGCGATGTTTGCTTCCGGCGTGGCGAAGAGCTAGCAGCCGCGGGCGCAGCAGATTTTGGACTTGCGCGAGAAGGTGACCTCTTGCTCGGCGAGAGGTCTGGAGCATTGGCAAGTTTATTAGGACTTCTAGTAGGGCCTCGAGGTTTGGCATTATTGAAAGGCGACCGATCTCCGAATTCTTCCTCGCAGCACTTGCGAAATCGCCAATAAAGCTTGTAGTTGCACTCGAGCTTCTCTTCCCCATGCTCAACGTTAACAATCATCATCGCGACATTCTGATCAATCGATCCGCCATCCTCGAATTGACGTATTTGCGTGATGAGTAGCTTGTCGATAGCGGTTCTTGTCCGGCCATCGAACTCCGCGAGGATCTCGTCAGTCGTCTGGTCAGGATCGTACCCGGAGTCGTCCTCGTCTGGAGAGCCTCGCTTACGTCCTTTGCCCTTCTTGCCTGGGCTGATAAGTTTCTTGGGACTGGCTGCCTTTTTGGTGCTGGTGACCTTTTTGGGGGTTGTGGTTCTCTTGGTTACTTTTGACTTGGATGGGCTGGCAGTACCACGTGTGTTCACTTTCCTTGGTCCCGAGCTGGTCGGAGACTTCGTGTCTGTTGCGGAATTCTTCTTCGCGGAAGGTGTTGCTTTACGAGGAGACGTTCTACGTTTTGGTTCTGCGCTGGCTGGGGCAGTAGGCTTGGTCCTTTTTGGTGATTTGCCCTTCGAGGGCGACTGCTCTCGCGTTTTTGCCATGACGAGCGGCGTGAATGATTCAGAAGACTCGTAGGGTCCGCAGTGGGTGTATGTTTTGGGGATGCGGTCGAGCCAGTGTAAACAAAGGAATGCCAGCAATTTCACAAAGGAATGCTGCGTCCAACTCGCCGTTCGCATCACACAGCCCAGCCTTACATTGTCAATCTACCCCTTCCTACGAACAGCGCGCAAGGCACGTGTCTGGCGCCGAAGTGCAAGTAGCAGAACTGCCAGCACGTTGCAATTGTGTCCATACAGTACCAACCTTTTACGAAGCGACCATGCCGTGCATCTGCTTCATTTCACGGTTTGCATGATATCTCAGACCCTCCCAGGGACCTACATGCTGGACCACAGCTAAAGGATACGAGGCGAGGCGAGGCGATGAAGTGCTCTGAGAATGGTGCATGCGTGTGAGTACGGTGGTAGTGGTGTGTCTAACTTCATGCCTGACTCCTGTTAGCCAAGTGCCCATCAACATAAGCTGCTCGCTCTTCTTCAAGCTCGCAGTCTACCGCAAGACTGTGATCATGATCATGATCGTTGCTGTGTGATGGTCTCTGTGCAAAGGATGCCAGCTGACTAGATCAAATGGTGCTTTGCGGTGCTTCGCAATGAGCTGGTGACCAGGAAGCTTCGGCGAGGAGGCTTAACCAGCCACGAGCAGACGCTTGATCATTTGCGAAAGGACATGCCGTATGTATCTTGTACTCGATGAATGAAGACGAAGATGTGCAATGCCTCGGCACGGTGTGAAGTCTTCTTTGCGAGAGTGCCATTATGTAGCCGGTTATATGCCTTTTATATGCCCTCTAATAAAGTCGTATCTAAAGCACTCGGCCTAGGACTAGTTAAATAGGCTCTTATACTCTTTAAACCGTAAATAATAAAAGCAACAAAGCAGCTACTACTCTACTACCTTAAAATCTATATCTAATAATAGCGGAAGCTATAGTAATAAAAGTAGCAAAAGCGGAAGTACTAGCTAAGTACTCCTACTACGAGTAGTAGCGCGAGTGCTATAGCGAGTTAGGATAGGGTTATAGTAACTATAGAGATTAAGTAAAAGAAGCTATAAAAGGAAAAGGTAATTAATATAAATAAGCTACCTAAGTTTATTAACCTAAGTAGCAAGAATACTACGAGGATACCGCGAGTTACGCCTATTCTAAAAGAGTCGAGCGAATCTAAGGACTAGTAAGCTAGTTAGTAAGCTAGTTAGTAAGGTAGTTAGCAAAATAGTAAGTAAGATAGTTAGTAAAATAGTTAGTAAGATAGTTAGAGTAGATAGATAGGTAGTAAAGAGCTTAATACTAAGAGTTAGAAGCTAAAGCGTACTTAGAAGCTAGTTAATCTATTAATTATAGAAATACGATCGAAGAAGAAAGAGGGTAGGAAATCTAGAAGTAGGAATAGAAATATAGACTCGCTATAGACTCGCTATAGACTCGCTATAGAACTTGCTATAGAACTTGCTATAGAATTCGCTACTTAAAGATCCTCGCTACTTAAAGATTATCTACTAGTAGCTCGCGATCGCTATTTAACTATAGCTCCTTCTATATTATATATATATCCTTAGACTTAATAATAGACTTATTCTTAAGCTATCGAAACTACGAGAGATAATACCCTTATAACCTATCGAACCTAGCCTCTAGTACCTTAATCTTTACCTCTAATATAGTATTCTTTACCTCTATAGCCTCGACTCGCGCCTATATCGCAGCTAGCTCGCTATTTCTATTATCTTCTTTAACCTTAATCTCGCTAGTAGTATAGCTACTCTTACCCTAATACTTATAATAAGCGTAGACTCTCTCTTCTTTAATATCTAGTACGCGATACTTATAGCTATTATTATCGCGAGTATAGAAGTAATATAGTAATAGTACTAGCTTTCCTTACTTAGTCTCTATAGTAATACTCGTAGCTAAGTAGTATTTACGTAGTCTATTTAGTATCGCCTTCTTCTTTTATAGATTTACGGTATCGTCGAGGAGGTCTTACTATATCTGCTCGCTATAGTACTAGAAATCTTTCGTATTTATAGTCGTAGGACGTCGAAGGCTAGAGCGAGTTAGTAGCGAGTCTATAGCGATACGCCTCTTAGCTTATAATAAATATAGTCCTTCTACTAGTAGGGTAGGTACTAAATCGGGTACTAAAGTACCTATAGTAGCTATAATAATAAGGTCGCGCGAAATACTAGTTATAGCTCGAAATAGTAGTAATAGTAGTAATACTACTATCGCTTTCGCTATTGCGATCGGTAAGGGTACTATAGAAAGAATAATATAGCGAGTCTAGGCGCGAAGTTATAGCGAGTCTAAGTAAAGTTTACAATATAGTAAGGAAGGCGCAATAATAATAGGAAGCGATAATGGACTACAGTAAAGCCAAGCCTCCATTGACAATCCAGTATGTGTAGAGCGCCGCTCAGCCGCCAACCTTAGTTCTAACTCAGACTCAACTTTCTTGATGAAATTGCCAGGCAAAGGACTCTCATCAGGAGGCGTATGTGTGCCACAGCTACACGCAGAACAATGAGCCACCGTCCTGGAAAGACGCATTGCATTCAAGGCCTTACTCAGAATTTATCCAGCACCTTCCGGCCCTGAACCATACATAGTACTCTCAGCTATCCGGTACTGCACTCTCCTGCATGTCTCATCATCAGAGAAGCACTCAACGGCTAGCCGGCAGTAATAGTATGATACCGGACACGGTCCGCTGACTCCTGCTAATATGAACGGCGGCCGCTATGCAAAACATCCCGCACTCGTCTCGAACACCTAATCGTCTGCTCATCGGTAGATCATCACCACGCTCACGTCACACAGACACCTGGCACCTGTTACAATTAAGGACATCAGACAAGACGACTTCGAGCCTGCGCAGAACTCATTTGCCTCTGGCCATATCTGACCCTTAATAGACACAGACCTTTGATGGACACATTAATAATGGCGTTGTTGGTCGAGGACACCCGGCCTAAATGTGCCACCACTACCGTCTGACTTGCCCGATAGAGAATCTCCTCCCCCATATTGGATCGACACCACCGGCAGTGGTTCCTTGCGTTAGCGCACCTGTTTCTCTCCGATGCTGCACGGAGGGCGGCATGCGGACGCACTTGTTATTACAGTATACTTCTTCACACTCCGTAGCAGTGGCCTTGTGGAGAACGAGTCTACCGCGTGCCTCTTTACATCGCGCTTGCTCTCGTGCCTAAGCATAGTGCCCGCGATTGGTTGCCAGCCATGGTAGAGGTCTGCTGGTCGAAAACGTTAGCTGGTTTCAATCCCATCCTCCGTCGCGTTGCTGTAGAAGTTTGACGGGTCAGCAGCATCGTTCGAGTGCCTTCAGGATTCGCAGCATAAGTAGACGGCTTCTTGCTGTTCCTCAGAACTCTAGAGGTTGGCATTTCTTTGTTTTTGTGCTCGCCAGGAACATGGCTTTCTCATTTCTTCTCGTCGCTAGCACTGCCATTCTAGCAAGCGCTCAATCTAGCTTCTCCCCTCTGCGACCACCTGCGATTCCTCTTGCTGTGAGGAGCCCTTTCATGAGCACATGGCAGCAAGCTGGAAGCGATAATGGAAATGGAGGATACCTTGCCGGCGAATGGCCGACTTTCTGGAACGGCCAGGTCACAGGATGGACGGGAATGGTACGTGTTGACAATTCTAGCTACACCTGGATGGGTGCACCGAGCAGCAATCCGTCCTACGTCAACCAGACTGCTTTCCAATACACCTCGACGAAGTCCATCTTCACTATGCAAGCTGGCCCGGTCCAATTGACAATCACATTCCTTTCTCCTGTCACGCCAAATGACCTACTTCGTTCTTCCTTGCCTTACACCTACTGCAACGTTGATGTCAAGTCAACCGATGGCAAGACTCACAGCGTGCAGCTGTACTCCGACATCTCGGCCGAATGGGTGTCTGGAGACCGTGGTGCAAAGGCACAGTGGGATTATGGTGTTATTCAAGGCGTCACCCAGCCAAGCGCGCAGGGTTCCTCTTCTTCCGCGCCATCAACGCAGCAGTCTGCTATCACATACGGAACCAAGACCGCCTTCAACGCCCCTCCCGCTACAACAGGCGGTCATGCACCGCAATATGCGTCAAGTCAAGGATTTCGCCCAGATCCAGCACACAACACTGCCAAGCCCACATGGTCGCCGGTCACAGTCGAGGCAGCAGAAGCGAGTGGCGGTCTGGCTTATCATCGGGTGTACAGACAGCAGCAGTTGGAGTTTGGTTCCATCAACGAGCAGGCTGAGTGGGGTTATTGGTGAGCTTCCACTTCTCTTCTTGATTTGTATGGAAGCTGATGTGCATCCAGGTATTTTGCGACTGCAAATACAGCCAAGCTAACCTACCAATCTGGTGCCGACACGACCGTCCGCGGTAATTTCATGAAGAGCGGCACTCTTACGAACACTAAAGACACCAACTATCGAGCAATCAACAATGCCTACCCGGTCTTCGGTTATGCTGTCAACTTGGGCTCCGTTGGCTCTACCTCCCAAAGCACCTTGTTCCAGCTGAGCTTGCATCAAAAGAATTGCGTGCAGTTCCAAGGAACTAAAGGTGCAGTACAGAAGTTGCCATGCATGTGGAACAGCTATTTTTCCACCGAGACTGGCGCAGTAAGTGATGATCGGATGTGTTCGAAGCTCAGTACATTGACAATTCCAAACAGGTCTCTTACTTCTACAACGACTACAGCAAAGGAAGCTCCATGGCATCTAGCTTCGACTCCCAAGTTCAAAGCGATTCAGCAGCCTCAGGTGGCTCAGACTACGCCAAGATCACCTCCCTCGCAGTTCGCCAAGCATTCGGTGCCATCTCCTTCACCAACACCCCCAGCACGCCTCTCGTATTCATGAAGGAGATCTCCTCAGACGGAAATGTCAACACTGTCGATGTCATATTCCCATTCCACCCAATCGCCATCTACACCAATCCGGCAATCCTCAAATGGCTCCTCGACCCCCTCTTCATCAACCAAGAAGCCGGAAACTGGCCAAACAGATACTCCATCCACGACATCGGATCCAGCTACCCCAACGCAACCGGCCACAGCGACGGCAACGCCGAAGCCCAACCCCTAGAAGAATGCGGCAACATGCTCATCATGACCCTCGCCTACGCCCAACGCGCCAACGACAACGCCTACCTAACCCAACACTACCAAATCCTCAAACAATGGACCGCCTACCTCGTGGAAGAAGCCCTCATCCCCGCGGACCAAATCTCCACCGACGACTTCGCCGGCTCCGCCGCCAACCAAACCAACTTAGCAATCAAAGGCATAATCGGAATCCAAGCCATGGCCCAAATCTCCAATCGCACGGGCAACCCCTCCGACGCTGCAAACTACACAAGAATCGCCACAGACTACATCACAAAATGGCAAACCTACGCGATCAACCAGAACGCCAACCCTCCCCACACAACGTTCAACTACGGAAACTCCTCTTCCCACAGCCTGCTCTACAACCTCTTCGCCGACGCCGAACTGGGTCTCCACCTCGTGCCGCAAAACATCTACACCATGCAAAGCAACTTCTACAAAACGCAATTCCAAACCTTTGGCGTCCCGCTCGATTCGCGACACACATACACGAAATCCGATTGGGAAATGTTTTGCGCGGCCATCGCGGAGACGGAGACGAGAGATTTGTTTACGGGAAGAATTGCGAAGTGGTTGGATGTGAGCAAGACGAATTTTGCGAGTACGGATCTTTATGATACGGTCACGGGGGAGTATCCGGCGGGGATACATTTTATTGCGAGGCCGGTTGTCGGGGGGTATTTTGCGGGTTTGGCGTTGGAGAGTAGGCCGAGGTAGGTAGGTAGTGGATAGGTAAGGGATAGGGGGTTGGTGTTATGGAGTAGAGGGGTTTGGATAGGTTGTAGATGTTTTTGTATAAGATTGTATATACATATGAGGGAGGGCATAGCAGAGGGGAAGAAGGCTCATTTTCATGTTCATCGTCGAGCAAGGAACTAACTACTCGATGGCTCAGTCGTTCTCATTGATCCGGGCGCCTAGAATGAAAAGCACACATCGCATCCTAAGCCCTCACCACGCGCGTCTGCATATCTCACAGCTAGTTCGAATAATCCATCAAAATTCATCACCACCATCAAAGGTACTTGCACATGATATATCCAAAAGTCTTGCATTGCATTGCCAGCACACATCCATCCGCATTCGTTACTGTATGCTGAAGCCATTACCGTTGACGTATACCTAGTGCAGGATCTCATCTCCAGAGGGCGACGCCTGCAATCGTGGCCGCTGAATGTGTGTAGACTCGCACTCGCACTCGGTCAGTAACTCATCAGCGAAACGATGAGGCGTAATGAATTTACATTGGAATCTTTCTTATTCATTCGTAGATTATAACTACTGTCTAAATGCTATACCCTTCCCTTCCCAACTTTAGCCATCGAGGCTCCTGAATCTCCTTGCTGCGCTGTACCATGCGTCCATGACTCCTCTTCTTTTCCTTGCCTGAAGGTGTAGAGGATTTTGAAACCTGATATCACTTTCGTGCTTCCCAAACGCCAGGCTATGTTCGCTACTCGTTACACTTTATATAAAGGTACAAAAGAAATGCTGATCTCGTTCATGATCCGCCAGCACCAGAGGCTGCAGGAGGAGGGTTATCTTCGACCGGAGTCGGTGCTATCCGTCTCCTCTTTTCGCGTCCCTGCTCTTCGGAATCTGTTTGAACGCCTGCGTTGCTGTCCCGTTTTACGCCGCTGACTGTGGGCGGGTTTTGACTTGTGGATGCGTTGATCTGACTCTGTCCTGGAGTTTGGGGCGGCGTGAATAAGGGCATCGAAGAGTTGGTACTGGATGAACCAGCAGCAACGTTGGAAGGAACGGCGCCCATCGAGGGGGTTGGATTGTTCATTACAGGCACGGCATTCTGGTCCGGTATCTTGGCGAAGCTGGCTTCCGTTGCTATGCTGGAGGCAGACATGCTACGGGCTGGACTGGCCGGTCGAACACCTGCCTCTCGCTGTACTGCAGCTGCAAAAGGCGATGGAGATGCGGCGGCATGTGGAGGAATTGGTGTAGGCTGCGCGAGACCAGAGCCGCTGTTGGTCGAAGAATGTCGTGGTACAGCAGCCGTTGTAGCAGCATTGCCGGTCGGTGTTGGCTGAGGCGTAGAAGCGGTTGATGAGTTCGCTTTCGAAACAGATATCGGCGCTGGCGATGGTCGCGAGGTTGAAGCAGATCCAATAGGCCCTTGGTATACAGCTCCGAGCTCGCCGGGGGCGAAGGTCAATGCTGAGCAGAAACCGTCGGAAGATGTCATTAAGAGGGTCAAGCCATCGCCTGACCAGCTGAGATCAGTAAAGGTGGCATAATGCAGGTTGCTCACTACACAAAGTGGCTTCTGTTGCTGTGTGTCGAACAAATGGACGGCATCCCTGGTTTGCAACGGCGTACACCATTCTATAAGGAAGACCAAAATGGGGAACAGGACCGGGCGGTGCCAGCGGGGTGGATGGATTCGACTCAGAATCCGCACGTGGCCGTGGCGACGCTGCAGTAGCGCTGGGAGCTGGCGAAGGCGCACCCATGAGTGGTGGTGGCTCCATTGCAGCATGTGACGTCGGGGCCTTAGATGGCATGGCTGGTTCAGGCAAGGGCGCAAGGTCCTCTTCCGTTCGGGTGTCGATGGTGATCTCCTTTGTTTCAGTACTGGCAGTGCGCAGCTGATAATAGATTGGCGAACACTTGACCGCAATCGAAGGCTTCTTGTGACCCGGTAGGTATGCTACTGGAGGCTTGTTCAGACCAGCTCTCGTGTATATGTAAACGGTGTTGATTATCTCATCGGTGTTCTTGCCCCCGTCTGCAGCAGGATGGGTGGTCTTGAATTGGCCGGCTGGAGTCAGCAGTAAGCTGCCGTCTGGCGTGAATGTCAACCTCCGGAAGAAAGATGTGAAAGTCTCGTTGGCGTAGATATTCGTATTCCGCACGCCGAGACCAATACTGCCTGATATGCTCGGCGACGCTGACGGCATGACTGCAGGTAGTGGCATTGAAGGACTGGGCGAGACGGATCGTCTCATCGACTGCGAACCAAACGATGACCTTCGGCTGTGAGAGGTCGGTGGTGGATTCATGGGCAAAGCAAGCGATTGTGGTGTGCCAGGCGCAGACGGCTTTGGTGAGCCGATGGCTTCCGAGAGCATGTCCTGGATGAAAGATGCGCGGTGGCTGGCCCCGCCTAGATCTGGTGGAGCTGGGCTGTTCGATGATATGCGTCGTGTCGGCAAATCCATTTTGGTGACTTTGTTGTGCTGGTTGAGGGTGAATTGGCCGTCCTTGGTTTTGAGGGTGTAGATGTGCACGGAGCGATCTGAGGATTGCGTTGCGACATATTCGTTCAGAGGATCCCATGCCACGCCCTGCACGTAATGGTTGTGCTCGGCGATCTGGCGAACCGTTTGGCCTGCACAAGGTCAGTATGCCT